GACAAAGAGAAAATATAAAAAAGAACCAATCAGAGATAAAGAACCCAACAGATGAAATTAAAAATACACTGAAGGGAATCAATAGTAGCTTAGAGGAAAGATAAAAATGGATCAGCAAGATGGAAGATAAAGTAATAGAAAGCAACCAAGCTGAACAGCAAAATGAAGAAAGAAAAATAAAAAATGAGTATAGGTTAAGGGAACTCAGCAACAACATCAAGCATTATAACATTCACATTATAAGGATCCCAGAAGGAAAAGAGAGAGAAAAGAGAGCAGAAAATTTATTTGAAGAAATAATAGCTGAAAATTTCTGTAATCTGGGGAAGGAAACAAACATCCAGATCCAGGAGGTACAGAGAGCCCCCAACAAAATCAACCAAAAGAGGTCCATACCAAGACACATAATAATTAAAATGGCAAAAAGTGATGATAAAGAGAGAATTTTAAAGGCAGCAAGAGAAAACAGTTAAATACAAAGGAAATCCCACAAGACTATCAACTGATTTTTCAGCAGAAACTTTGCAGGCCAGAAGAAAATGGCATGCTATATTCAAGTGCTGAGAGGAAAAAAAACCTGCAACCAAGAATACTCTATCAAGCAAGACTATCATTCAGAATAGGAGACAAAAAGTTTCCCAAACAAAAACTGAAGGAGTTCATCACCACTAAACCAGCCTTACAAGAAACATTAAAGAGAGTTCTTTGAGTGGAAAGAAAAGGCCATAACTAGGAGTAAGAAAATTAGGAAAGGAAAAAAATTTCACAGTTATATAGAAACATAATAAAAGTAATAGATTAATCACTTATAAAACCAGTATGGAAGTTAAAGCACAAAAGCAGTAGAATCAATTCTATCTATAAAAATCAGCCAAGGGATTCACAAAATAAAAGGATGTAAAGTATGACACCATATACATAAAACATGGGGGGGAGTAAAAACGTAGTGCTTTTAGAAAGGGTTCAAACTTAAGCAACCATCAACTTGATATAGACAGCTATATGCATAGGATTTTTTTTAAAAAGCTTTTTATTTATTTATTTGACAGAGCGAGGGAGAGAACAAGCAGGGGGAGCAGCAGGCAGAGGGAGAAGGAGAAGCAGGCTCCTCACCAAGCAAGGAGTCCAACACGGGCTCAATTCCAGGACCCCGGGATCATGACCTGAGCCAAAGGCCGGCGCTTAACTGACTGAGCCACCCAGGCGCCCCCATGCATAGGATGTTATATGTCAACATATTGGTAACGACAAATCAAAAACCACTAATATATATGCAAAAATAAAGAGGAAGGAATCTAAGCATATCACTAAATAAAGCCATCAAACCACAAGGAAAGAGAACCAGAAAAGAAAGGAATAGATAAGAACTACAAAAAGAATCATAAAACAAATCAACAATGAGTACATACCTGTCAATAATTACTTCAGAAATAGACTTATCGCTATAGAAATAGACTAAATGCTCCAATCAAAAGACATAAATGGCTGAATAGATAAAAAAGCAAGATCCATCTATATGCTGCCTATAGGAGACTCATTTCAGACCTAAAGACACATGCAGATTGAAAGTGAAAGGATGGGAAAACATTTACCATGAAAATGGAAGTGAAAAAAAAGCTGGGGTAGCAATATCTACATTAGACAAAATAGACTAAAACAGACTGTAACAAGAGACAATGACACTACATAATCATAAAGGGAACAATCCAACAAGACGATATAATAATTGTCAATATTTATGCACCCAACATGGGAGCACCCAGATACATAAAACAACTATTCACAGACACAAAGGAAGTCCAGACAAAAAATCAACAAGGAAACAGTGACTTTGCATGACAGATTGGGCCAGATGGATTTAACATATATTCAGAACATTCCATCCAAAAACAGCAGAATCCACATTCTTTTCAAGTGCACATGGAACATTCTCCAGAATAGATCACAGGTTAGGCCAAAAACAAGCCTCAACAAATCAACAAAGATTGAAATCATACCATGCATCTTTTCCAACCACAAGGGTATGAAACTAGAAATCAACCACAAGAAAAAGTCTGGAAAAAGCACAAACACAAGAAGGTTAAATAACATGCTCCTAAACAATAAAAAGGTCAACCAAGAAATCAAAGAGGAAATTAAAAGAATACATGGAGACAAATGAAAATGAAACCATAACAGTCCAAAATCTTTGGGATGCAGCAAAAGCTATTCTAAGAGGGACTATTATAGCAATACAAGCCTATCTAAAGAAGCAAGAAAAATCTCAATTTAACCTTACACCTAAAGGAGCTAGAAAGAGAAGAAAAAAATCCCAAAGCCAGTGGAAGCAAGGAATAATAAAAATTAGATCAGAAATAAATGATATAGGGGCGCCTGGGTGGCTCAGTTGGTTAAGCGACTGCCTTTGGCTCAGGTCATGATCCCGGAGTCCCGGGATCGAGTCCCACATCGGGCTCCCTGCTCAGTAAGGGAGCCTGCTTCTCCCTCTGACCCTCCCCCATCTCATGTACTCTCTCTCTCTCATTCTCTCTCTCTCAAATAATCTTTAAAAAAAAAAAGAAATAAATGATATAGAGACTTAAAAAATAATAGAACAGATCAATGAAACCCGGAGCTGATTCCATGAAAAAAATCAACAAAATTGATTAAAACTTTAGTCAGACTCGTCACAGAGAGGACACAAATAAATAAAATCAGAAATGAAGGAGGAGAAATAATAACTGACACCAAAGAAATACAAAGGATTATAAGAGAATTTTATGAAAAATCATATGCCAAAAATTAACCAACCTAGAAGAAATAATTTCCTAGAAACATATAACCTTCCAAAATGAAATCAGGAACAAGTAGAAAATTTGAACAGACTGATTACTTGCAATGAAATTGAATCAGTTAGTAGAATTCACCTCTGAAGCCATTTGATCCCGGACTTTTGTTTGTTGGGAGGTTTTTGATTACTGTGTTCCAAAGTAAAAAAAAAAAAAAAAAATACAGCTTTTGGAATCAGTTAACTTGGATTCAAATCTCAGTTCCATCACATAATAGCCATTGCCATTAGATGAGGTTTTGTGAGGATTAAGAGATGAGTGTTTAGCATAGCGTCTGAAATTCGTAAATTCTCAATAAATGGTAGTTATTGTTACTAAATGCCCAAGAGAACAAAGAAGTAGACAAAACACATGGAGACAGCAAATGGCCAACAAGCATATGAAAAGCTATTCAACATCACTAATCATCAGAGAAATGCAAATCAAAACCACAATATCACCTCACCCCATTAGGAGAGCCACTGTCCAAAAAATGAGGAAAAAAATGAACAGAAAATAACAGTGAGGACGTGAAGAAATTAGAACCCTTGTGTACTGCTGGTGAGACTTTAAAATGGTGCAACCACTATGGAAAACAGTACAAAGATTCCTCAAAAATTTAGAAATAGAATTATCACATGATCCAGCAATTTTTCACCTGTAAAATCCAGCAACTTCCGAGTATATGGCTAAAACACTTTGAAGTAGGGTCTCAAAGAGACATTTGCACACCCATGTTCATAGCAGCACTATTCACAATAGTCAAGAGGTAGAAGCAACATAAATGTTCATTGATGGTTGAATGGATAAAGAAAATGTGGCGTATACATGCAATGTAATATTATTGTCTTAAAAAAGGAAAAAAAATCCTACCATATGCTACAACATGAATAAACCTTGAGGACATTATGCTAAGTGAAATAAGCCAATCACAAAAAGACAAATAACATGTGACTCCACTTATACCACTTATATAAGGTATCTGAAGTAGTCAAATTCATAGAAACAGAAAGGGTTACCAGGGGCTGGGGAGGAGGGAAGAAAGAGGAGTTGTTTAATGGGTAGAGAGTTTCAGTTCTGGAAAATGAAAACTTCTGGAGATCTGCTGCACAAAAATGTGAGTATACTTATCATTACTGAACTGTACGGTTAAAATGATTAAGTTGGTAAATTTTATGTTTGCCCAGCTTTTTTATCACAATAAAAAGATGCATAAAAAAACATGGAGGCAAAGTACAAACTCTTTGACACACCAGGTGCAGTCTCCAGCCCTTAATGTATTTACCGTCTAGCGAACTCCTAGGCAGCAGGGACTATGTTTTACTCAGTTACTCCACAGCACCCAGCACAGTGTCTGGCATAGGGCAGGCACTCAAGAAATGTTGGCTAAGCTAATGAGAAGGTAGAAAGAAATAGGAGAAAGGGGGAGAAAGGGAGCGAGAGGAGGCCAGGGAGATGAAGAGCCCAAGACAGGAAAAAGGAAGACAAGGGAAGAAAGCATTGAGCCCTAAAAATGTTACTGTGCCCTATGTGGGACCTGGAGAGATGATATGCCTAGGGCAACGGGGGGTCATGGTATCTATAAAGTTGGCTGATGTGGAAAGCCAAGCAAGCCTCTGGCACTAGGACAAACCACACAATTACTCGGGACATGTATTGAACAGAATCACATAGCTTGTCGGGGGGAGGGGGCAGGAAGAACTGTAAGAATTACAGCCAGCTACCCACTGACACAAGTTGGTACATAACGGTTTAGTTTAAATGAGGGGGTGTTGGGACGCCTGGGTGGCTCAGTGGGTTAAATGCCTTCTGCTCAGGTCGTGATCCCAGAGTCCTGGGATGGAGCCCCCCCTGTGGGGCTCCTTGCTCAGCGGGGAGCCCGCTTCTCCCTCTGCCTGCCACTTACCCTGCTTGTACTCTCTCCGAGAAGTAAATAAATAAATAAAATCTTTAAATGGGGGGTGTTGCTTTCAGAGAGAAACGTAACCTCCGCCGCGCGCTCCCACACCACACCTTTGGACCACTTCCCCAAACTCTGAGGCTCTTAAACCCGCGCATGCGCCGAAGGTTCACGGCAGCAGCGTGACTGGTGAGTGGTCACCGCTCCCTTTCCCCTCCCGGCCGGGCTCTGCGGGATGAGGACGTTAGCACGCCAGCGCGGAGCACCGCCCAGTGAGGGGCGTGGCCTAGAGGACGCTTTACCCGGGACCACCGTCTCGGCGACCCAGACTTAATCAGAGCTTAGAGCGGGAGAGGTGTGCGTGAAGAGGAGAAACGAAGACGGCTTGCAGCCCTAGCCCCCGGCACCCTGGGGGCTGACGCGCGGCAATGGGTCTGTACCTCAACAACTGCTATAAGGCTGCTGAAGCCGCTGCCACTAAGGCGGCCGCCAGCAGCCTAACAGCCGACAGAGAGCACTGCGACACCGTGAGTGGTGGCGAGTCTGTAGTCACCCTCCTCCTTGCTCCTGGGAGGGGTCTCGGGGTGGCGGGCGGACGGAAGGGGCGGAGTCCTCATCAGAGCGAGGGGGAAAAGGGCGGGTGCTTGACGACTCAGCTTCAGGCTCCCAGGCCCCGCAGCCAGTAGCGAGAGCTGCCTGTGGCCAGGACCAGCCTTGGGTGGGGCACAGAGATCGGGCTGGTAACCCAGGGAAGCTGGGAGGCTTCCGGGTTGTCAGCAGGGAGGGCTCTTTCAACCCTGAGTGTAGGATTCTTTGGTTTATTTGGAAGTATTAGCCCACTTTAATGTGAGTAGATTGGTCTAAACTAAAAGAACAGTTCTTAAAAATCGACAGACTTCCTCATTGTATCTGACAGGGTTCACACAAAAAAAAACATTCCAGAGGTCGGAGCATCTATCTCTTGGATCTTCCTCTTGGGGTCAAGCTGCCTATTATCCCAGGAAGCAACAATATATTCTATACTACAAATATAAGTGAAAAGGTAAACTGAGTTTTAATAGTGCTTAAGTGATTTTCTTTACCCTTTTTAATAGCTTGCTATTAAACTTGAAACACTGCTATGATTTTGCTTTGTGTCAACTTCAACTTAACACACCAAGTTAAGTTAAATGAATTGATTAGTGTCTGAACTTCACTTTAATGATGGAAGGCCTCATGATATGCCTCAGCCATCCAGTTCAGCCTTATCTCCAACCCAGAGCCTCAGTTCCCAAAGGTTGGGTGGGGTCTTTTCTGCCTACCTACACTTATCTTGCTAATTCTTACATAAGTGTCTTTGTCCATCTGGCTCCCACAACCTGGAAGGCACTCTTCTTCCTGACCTTCGATTTGAGCCATCTTTTAAGAGCTGCTATACAAAGCCTCTCCCAAGTGTCACAACACCCAACGATCTCATCTTTCCTTAGAATTTACCTGCCCTTGGTCTGTACTATCTTACTCAGCACTGAATCAGCACTGTTAGTGATGCAGTGTGTTGCACTCACATTGTTACACATTTTAAGTCCTCTGCCTAACACCCCGTGCTCTGTCCATAATTTAGGCCAAGCCCGAAGGAGGTTCAGAACTTTCTAGTTTAGAATGTGCTTTGATCACAATAGCAAAAGATTCTACAGGAATAATTCTGACTTCCTTACTCTTGCACTGTCTAGCACATCATCAAGGATGAGTAGGGGCTTCTTGGTATTTCTGATAACTGTCTAATATATATGATTATTTTAGGTTTTATTGCTGGAAAACAATAGAGTTTCTCTTTTGAAAACGCATAATGTTCTACTAAATATATGCCAGCCTCACAGAAATTGACTGAGTCACACTCCCACAAGTTAGCTTTCCTGAAACATACTCAAAACCTATTTCACTACTAGTAATAACACTGCTTCCTAGTTTGTAACTGTGGCCCTATCTGCTGGGTTTTTTTCCTCAAATATCTTCTATTTGCTATTATTTCTATTCTGTTCCTGTTTTTCACTTGCGAACTACTTCTTATTTCCAGATTTTTTCTATACTAAATTATATTGATTATCTCTGTACTTTATTATATTGATTACCCCAAAATATATGCATTTGATCATGATTAGGCACTATATTCAGCTACCCTGAAGACTAACTTTGTGGGACCTTTATCTTTTGGCAGGATCTCCTCAAGGAAGTAAGACTTTATATTTTACACCTTTAGGTGTTGTTGTTTTTTTAAACTCATTTTACCCTCATGACTACCTTGTAAGGTGAAGCTATGATTTATCTAAGGTCACAGGTAGATAGTAGCAGAGTTCAGACCAGAACCACTGTCTCCTGATTCTTAGGCCATACTCTGTTACCTGACCTTGCTGCTTCCTCAGCTGCAGACCGCTTTAGCAGATCACTACAGAAACAGGGAATTTAAAGGTCTTTCATGTTGTTTTGAATGCAGATAGAAGCAAAATTATGGTATTTGACTGTCTTTTTTCCAGTCAGATTAAAATGTAACAATATAACCTACCTATCTTTAGCTATGCATTAATCCAAACCTGACAACTGATCCTATACAACATTTTGATACCAAACTTATTCTCAGGTAATGTATTTATATATTAATTCACTTATTAATGTACTATACTTAGGTAGCAACTGTTCACAAACTCCTTAAATTGCTTTTATTGGATGTTAATAGTAAATACTTTGCCAATTAACTTAGACATTCTGCTTTTAAGAAAAGATAACATTGTTAAGTGAAAGGAACAATTTGCATACTTTTGAAAGTCTCCCTTGTGACCTCCCCCTGGCACATAGTGATGCTATAATAGACTCTTCAGTTCAGGGAAGCCAATTATTGTAATTGACAATAGAAAGCTTACACTGGCCTCAACAAATGGATTTGTCTCTTTCTGGATAGGTCAGTAGCTCAGCGTTGGTCAACACATGTCTGTTACCAACAAAAGTCAACATCTAAAAGAAGAAGCAATAATCAATCCGCTAATTGCAGCAGTGTTTCAGCTGCCATCACTGTTGATCACTTCTTTTCTAGGAAAGATATGGGCTTCCTATCTAGTCTCACTGTAAATTAAATCATTGCCCAGAAGGATGTCTTTCTTTGCCCACATATGAAGCATCCTACCTGCCTTGCAGGACTCTTAGGGCCACACCTCAGTGTTCATGAATTGAACTGAGGTTGAGGCTACCACCCCCAGCCTAAAGACAGCTCTGGTAGAGGAGAGGGGAAGAGAATGGGCATTAGATTTACCTAAATCAATCCATTTTCCGGATTCCCTCACCTCAGGTTCTGCTTTCATGTTTTATTTTCACTGACCAACCTAGTCATTTCAACAACTTGAGGTTTAAAAGTGCAACTTCATTCATTTTACACACATAATGCTTTTGAATCTGTGTGTTTACAGCTTTATCAGCCTTCTTATGACTTTAACCTGACTGATCCTTGTTGCCGACGTTTGGAAACCAGCTATAAAAGTCTGCATGATCCCCATTTAAAAGCATACCATAAGCGAAAGGATATCCTAAGGAGATTAAAGAAGAGTGGTTACATCACCAGCAATAATAAAATAGGTTGAAGCCTCCTTCCTCTTAACCAGCAGAAACCCCTAGGGACTTGATAGACACTCGGTTCTGTACTTCACTAGGAGCCTGTTTCAGCTTTGTTTAAACAATAAAGAATATTTATTAGAAAACTCAATTACTCAGCATTTGGATTTCTAAATAAGACTACTTGTTCCTTCTTGACCTTTTTTCTTTTGTCAAATATGTAAAGACATACATACAAATGTTTTTATTTATGTATTTTTTCCCTACTGTAGTGTAGTGCCTTTCCTCTGGCTTTAAAAGTAATAAAGGCACAGTATACCTATCATGGAATATTTCCTATACTTTTTGAGAAGAGACAAAATGGAAACCTAGCAGAAAAAAGCATGATGAAGTAAATTGGGGGAGTGTTAAATGTCATTATTACACTGGTGTTTTAATAAAAAATTCATTGAGAATTGTAATTTCTGATTATGATGTGAACCATATTATTGAAATAATACCATTTAGATAGAAATTTCCTGGTGATACAGCAATTTTAGATACCGCTTTCCAAATTGCTCCCAAAATGGGCTATTATTACCCTTGATCCTAAAATTGTTACTAAAATGAATATTCTTATGACACTCTTCTCTGGAAAGCTTTATCATTGTTACAACTTTCTATTTATACGTTTGGTTTTTGATTTTGCTTTTATAGGTGATATGTACCTTGAAAGAATTGTTCATCTGACCACTTTAAAATTAGACTTTGAAAGAAACTATGTAAGAGAACAAGTAAGTTAAGACTTAAATTTATTTTGGGGTCTATAAGACAGTTTTTATGTAGGGTTTGGAAGAAAGGTTTGGTCCTTTGCAGAATATTTACTTATAATTACCTGACCTAGAATTATGAAGATAACAGATCAAATAAGATCCCTAGAGATTTATAAGAGATAAAAAATTAGACCTTTGCCTTTAATTTACAGAGAGAAATTTTCACTTATCTGGAATGGAGACACACTAGGCTTAAATGCAGGTTAACAGAATTAACCATTTGTGAAGTATAGGAGGTTTACCAAGCCCTACACTTAAGAGGGCCTATCAAAGGACAGGTCTATTTCTAGCCAGTATAAAGACTTTGATTTTTTTTCTCTCAGAAAATGATTGAAAAACAAGTAAATAAATTGTATGAAACCAGAAGAGCCTATAACAGTTATGGAAACGAACAGTTCCAAGAATGGCTGTTACAGGAAGACACACAAACAACTCCAGACCAAGAGCTGATAATAAAGCACAGGTATGACTGAAGACAATACATGGACATATTGTAGACCCTAGAAAGTTGTGGAAGTACTAGAAGGAATTGCAAGCAGGACTCAGAAAAAAGGATTAGACACTATTGGACCCCCTGTAGTTTTAATGTGGAGAGAAAGGAAAGGAGATTAAGAGGTAATGGGATTGGGAACCCCCTGGTACCAAGGCTTGGGGGGAGAGTTTCTACCTGAGAAACTGGACTCACTAGAAGCCCAAGAGGTAAGCCAAACTGAATTTGAAGAAATCCAAAGTCCAAATGCCTGAGCTTGGGAAACCCACATCCATAGTAGCAGAGAGAGAGAAAGTGTGTTAAGCATGTTTCAAAATTAAGTTGAAGGAAGTTACTGCAGGGTCAGAAAGGGAGAGTTCCTATAACTTTATCTGATACTAATACAAACAGGTGTTGTTCCCCAACCAGTCATGTATGTTCATTCAGCTACCACCCACACACATTCAGTGTTACTATTCAGAGGCCAAGCCCATGCCCCAAGAGGCAGAGATGAGCTATAGTTCTTTCTCTTTCTCCTTTATCAGGTACAAGGGCCAGTTCCCCTTACCCTGCCTCTTGAAGTCCATGGGTTCATGTCATGATATGCCAGAATACACGCTGATCCACCAGGGTCCCAGACTGGGAGTCTGCTGCGGACCTCTCTGTACATGGAAGGTCATTCAAGGACTTGGAAATTACAGAGAGACCAGTACCCACTTATTTTTAAAGGCAATTCAAATCAACTTGTGTTTTGAAGTTAGTCTGTAAGTTGATTTCAGCTGTCTTTGGAAATTCATGTTCCTAAAACTGCAGAGCTGTATGTAATCTCTATGTAAAATGCTTTTAATCACTCTGTTCCACATTTTGCCATTGTTCCAACCACAATAAGAGACTTGTATAACAGGGTCTGGTAAAATTAGTACAGTATGGTGAGCTGTTGGATCAGGTTAGCTTAAAGGTCCCTGAAAAACTCTACATTTTCTGTATTCAAGAAATAAAAAGCAACCCAGAAGGTGGTTTGGGAATATCAAAATTGATAATACCATCGTAAGGGAAGCACCCAATTTACCTTCACTTATATTTGCACTTTTACTTAGATATTTAGATATGATCGGTAGGGAATTAGACAAGGTTGAGCCCACGGCAGAAAAGCAGAGCATAGTCCGGATGCAAGAAGAACAACAACGACATCAGGACCACATTAGAAGAAAACTTCATCTCCGTAGACAAATCGAAGAGGTGAGGAAAACCAAATTTTAAACATTGGAGGGGAAACTGCATATATTTGTTGCACTGATAAACATTTTTAGCAGTCCCACCATATTACCTGAAGCTATTTCAGGTCTAAAAATTAAACCACTATTAAAAATAATAATAAAGAATAAACCACTATTAATCTTTTATCACTGTTATAATAGGCAAGCTTTTACTTAACATAGTGAGACTGATACCACAAATTATTTTGCATTTATAGTAACACCTCATCTGCTCTTAAAGCTTTAGAAATTAACTAGTGAAAAATAATCATGGTTGTATTCTCTCAAAATTCAGACAAGCCCATTTACTTATCTTCTCTACCAAAATACATTTAAGAGCAACAGATCACATATGATATACCCTTAGGCAATAAGAGAAAACCCTCTTGCCAACATCTTCTTAGATCCATCTTTGAAGCCATGTTTATACTTGAATTAAGTTTCCAAAAGCAAAATAATTTCCTTCCTTTTGCCATTCCATTGCATCCACCAACATATTCCCAGTAAAAAGCAGTGAGAAGCCCATTCTAAAGCCAACATGAGATTTTCATTATTGTTAACTCAATTTTTGTAAGGCCCTTGACTTGATCTAATTTGCTTATTGACATGATACAAAAAAAAAAAAGATAATGAAAGAGAACCCCTGCTAACTACCATAACATTGTGCTCCTTAGGAATGGAAGACAAAAGAGATGTTACTTTTGACAAAGATTGGAGAAGAAGTAAAAAGAGAAGCAAGAATTGAGGAACAACGTCAAAAAGTCAGGGAGGAAGCTCACCGGAAGGTAGAGTGAGCTTTTACTGATAACTTGGGCTATTTGAGGCAAAGCTTCTGCCAATTTTGGTATTTTAAAGTGTGAATTAGCAAAAGTGGCCTAAACTCACGAGGATAGCTATTGATGGAGAAACCTGGTTTGGTCTGAACCTGGACTTCAAGGACTACTCTGAAATGGGACCAGTCTCTAGAAAGGGCACTCTTCTTCATGCTGGACAACAAAATGAAACTTACCCCTTACTACCTTCCTAGTTTTGCACTCATGGTGACCAGAAATCTCAAAATAGGAATGAGGGTGCCCTTCAAGTAGACCATCATATTTGAAATATCTGTTTTGCATTTCCAGTGGCAAGCTGCTAATTAAATTTTTAAGCGTTAAATATATATTTTTAATATTTTAGAAACAAGCATGTCTAGAGAAAAAAGTCGCTCATCATTTACAAAAAATGCAGCAAAGAGATGACGTTAAGAGAGACAGACCAGAGGGAAATATATTTGAAAACAGAGGACAGAATGAAAGAGAAGGTGAGAGAGAAACAATAAATGATAAAGTATCTAAGTAGAAGATGCATATCTATATGTTAAATATTGGTGGCTTGGGAAAAAAAAACAACAACAACACCTCTGTGTGCTTATGTGGTGAGGTCAGAAGACGCCTGGAAAGGGAAATCCTAGAAGCTCACACTGCCTGTGCCAAGCACTATGCAAGGCATCTCCCAGTTACAGCTCAAGTTGTAAAGAATGTACACATACAATATTATTATATACATTATAACAAATTCAACACTTCTATAAAGTGGCTCAGTAGACAACACTGCCTGTACCACAGGTTTAAAAAGGAGCCAGGGGCACCTGGGTGGCTCAGTGGGTGAAGCAGTGAAGCGTCTGACTCTTGATTTCAGCTCAGATCATGATCTCAGAGTCATGAGATTGAGCCCCAAGTCAGGGCCGTGCCTGGAGTGGAGCCTGCTTGAGATTCTCATTCTTTCCCTCTCCCCACTCCCGCTCATGTGCGCTCTCTCTCTAAAATAATTAATTAATTAAAAAAGAGCCAGTAAGATGGGACATTACAGAAAAAAAGAAAAAGATACAACAAAGAAGGAGAAAGATGTATCTAAAGTGAGGGAGAGAGAGAGAAGAGGGGCCAGTAAGAGAAAACATTACCAAAAAAATAGACTGAAACAGAGGGAGGCAAAAAAAAAATATTTTAAAAAAGAAGAAAAAATTTTAACTGAGGACCAGTAAGAAAAGATTATACAAAACACAAAGAGAGCAAGCTAGCAAGAGAAAGAAAAAAAGGTTTTTTTAAAGGAGACAAAAGAAGAGTCATTTAAAATGTACCAAGCATGAAACAGAGATAGATAAAAAAAAAATAAATAAATAAGACCAAAAAGGTTAAAAAGTCAGAGGCAGTAAGAAAAGATGGTACAAAAAGAAAGAATGAAATGAAGAGAAGAAGAGGGAAAGAATGAATAAGAGAGAAAAAGAAAGAAAACTGAACAGAAGAAACCAGTAAGAAAACCCACACACTCACACACACGTATGTACACACACACTGGATGAGGGGGTGGGAGGGAAACAAAGGCAAAGAGATAAGAGACAAAGAGACTAGACGGAGGAGAAAGAAACAGGCAAAGAAAAAGGGAGTGAAAGAAAAGGGAGAAGAAACAGACATACAGGGGAAAAATAAATGAACAGAGAGAGAGAAAGAGAGATGGAGAAGAAAGAAGTTTAAAAAGCTAAGTCAGTAGGACAAAGCCAAATAAAAAGGGAGATTGTGAGAGTGAGAAACAAAGGAGTTTGAAAGAGCCATCTAAAAAGAAGTCAGTTTAGGGGCGCCTGGCTGGCTCCGCTGGGAGAGCACGCAATTTGATCTCGGGGTCATGAGTTCAAGCCCCATGTAAGGCATAGAGCTTACTTAAAAAACTTTTTAGGGGCACCTGGGTGGCTCAGTCGTTAAGCATCTGCCTTTGGCTCAGGTCATGATCCCAGGGTCCTGGGATGCAGCCCCGCATCTCATTGGGCTTCCTGCTCAGCAGGGAGCCTGCTTCTCCCTCTCCCACCCCACCCCCCCGGCTTGTGTTCCTGCTCTCACTGTCTCTCTCTGTCAAATAAATAAATAAAATCTTTAAAAAAAAACTTTTTAAAAAGAAGTCAGTTTAAAAATACATTAAAATTAGAAGGATGGATCAATCAATTCATACATACTTACATACATACATTCATATACAGACACGTAGATCTGATTTTTAAAAAGAGAAGCCAGTAGTAAAGACAGGACAAAAAAATAGAGAAAAAAGGGAAAAATAAAGCAGTGAATATAATGAGATTAAAAGAAATGGGGGGAGTAGGGAGGGAATTGAATTAAGGGAAGGAAGGGGCAGGAAGTAAAGAAGTTTATAAAAGGGGTGAGTCTGGGAAAAGGAATTACGAAGAGTATGAACCTGAGGGACAGAGACAGGATGCCGAAAAGAAGCAGCTAGTGAGAAAATTACATAATCATGGACAGGAGCAGGGAGATTGGGTTCTAAAAAGAAGAAATTAGTTAACAAATATAGTAAAATAAAATAGATACAGAGATACATAGATAGAAAAGACTGGACTTTAAAGGTACAGTACACTGAAAAGGAAAAGGAGCATAAAAAAGATAAATAGGAAGATGTTCTAGGAAGCGGGTATGACAGCTTAAGAAGGGAGGAAAGGCTGGAAGGACGGAATGGAAAGAAGGGAAGGAGAAAGCAAAGAATGTTGAAAGGGATGAGGCTAGGAAAATTGGTAAATTAAACAATAACAGGATGTGAGAGTAAGGGACATAGGAGTTTAAAAAGCAGGAGCTACTGTGAAAATTAAGTACAACTGAGGAAGGCGGGGAGAGAGAGAAGATCTAAAAAGAAATTACTTAAAAACAGAGTAAAATAAAGACAGGTAAAGTGATGAGACAGCTCAACAGTAGTGGGTGGACAGACAGACAGACAGATAGGATTTCATATAGGAGAAATCAGTAGTAAGAGAGGACAAAAAAACATAAAAGATGAGAGAGAGAAGGAAAGAAGTTGTTATAATGAGCCACAAAAAAGAAAAAGGAAGGGAGGGAGCAAGAAGAAGCAAAGAAGGAAGCAAAGAAAAGTTTGTACAGGATGAGTCAGTAAGGAAACGATACTTACAGGGGAGGGAAGACCAGTAAGAAAATCAAGTACGGTTGTGTGATTTGCAGGAGAATTAAAAACTAGAATGCAGTAAAGAAAGACAGTAAAATAAAGACAGAAAGATGATTGATAGCTGCATAGAGAGCCAGCTAGGCAGATGTATAGGTAGAAAAAAACCTGATTTTTTAAAAGATTTTCTTTATTTATTTGAGAGAGAAAGAGCACGTGCATGAGCAGGGGGAGGGGCAGAGGAAGACAGAGAAGCAGACTCCCCACTGAGCAGGAAGCCTGCTTCGGGGCTCCATCCCAGCACTCTGAGCCAAAGGTGGGTGCTTAACCAACTGAGCCACCCAGATGCCCCGAAAAAAACTGATTTTTAAATAGGGGAAAGCAGCAGTGAGGGCAGGACAAAGATGCATAAAGAGAGGGGAAAGGGGAAAAAAGTTTAAAAAGCGGAGTAGTAGAAAAGAGAGTAGAAGAAGAATGACAGGAAGAAAGGAAAGAGGAAGGAGGGGAGATCGAAGAAAGGAACACAAATGGGAGAGAGACTGAGCAGGTGAGCAGATGGCTGAAGGTAAGAAGAAGGAAATAGGGCAGGAAGGATGAAGGAAGCAGGAGGGAGGGGAAAGGGAAGGGAGGAAAGAGGAAGAAGTAAGGCAAGCATGCAGGCAGGAAAAGAAAAGAAAGAAAAAGACAAAGAAGGGAGTGAGAAAAGGTAAAGGGTATCTGGAAGAAAGGGAAGGAGGGAAGGGGGAGGAAGGGAGGAACAGAGGGTAGAGAGATGTCAAGAGAAGTGAGCTAAAAAAATAAGGGTGAGGGGCGCCTGGGTGGCTCAGTCGTTAAGCGTCTGCCTTTGGCTGGGGTCATGATCCCGGGGTCCTGGGATCGAGCCCCCCCCCCCGCCCCCCACTGCACAGCAGGGGGCCTGCTTCTCCCTCTCCCGCTGCCTGCCGCTCCCCCTGCCTGTGCTCTCTCTCTCTCTGTCAAATAAATAAAATATTTTTAAAAATAAAAATAAAAAATAAGGGTGAAGGGATGGATGGAAACCACAAAGATAGGTAGACCAGACTTTCTGAGGAGGGCCTCATACAAAAGACAGTATTAAAAGGTAACGGCAGAGAGTGTGAAGGGGAAAAAGTTTAAAAGGGGAACCAAGTATAAAGGAGTATATGAAGAATGGAGGGCAGGAGGGAGGAAAGGAGCAGGAAAAAGAAGAAAGGGAGGAGGTGAGGATAGAGGGAAGGCAAGAAGTAGGGGTGAGGAGGGAGGAGGGAAGGCAGAAGTGCAGGTTCACCAAAAGAAGACAAAGCAATCCAGAGGGGGAGAGTGAAAGGAGTAGGAAGGAGATGTAGACACAGCGGATGGAGGTGGAAAGGTAGAAGGGAGGGGCGGGGAGAGAGGGAAAGAAGAAGGCAAGAAAGAGAAGAATTCTAAACTGGGGTGAGGCTAGGAAAATAGGAAAATAAAAAGAACAAATATTAGAGTGAGACACAGGAGTTGAAAAGGAGGAGCTGGTGCGAGCATGAAGCACAGAGTGGAGGACAAGGAGGAAGCAAGCTAACAAAAGTCACATAAAACTGGAACAAAGATGGAAGGATGACAGCTACGTGGTAGGGAGGTGGATGGTAGCTATACAGATAATAAAAGGTGGAAGCCGCTAGAAGAGAATATATAGGAAAGGTAGAAGGAGAGAAGGAAAGGAAAAGTGTCTGGAAGTGGAGCCAGTACAAAGAGAGTAAAGGGAAAATGGGGGCACAGGGGAGGAGGAAGGGAGGGAGAACTGAAGATGGAAGGGACGGAGGGTTGGAGGGTGAAGAGAGAGACAGAGAAGGAATGTAGCAAGGAGAAGGGAAGGAGGACGAAAGGAAGGAAGAAAGAGCAGAAGTAGGAAGTTAAGGGGAAAAAGACAAGTGTATGAGCGATGAATCCATAGAGGAAAGTGTTAAATACAGGAGAGAGAGAGGGAGACAGTGGGAGAGGGAGGGGCCGCTGAGTAAAGCAAGTGCAGTCGTGTATGATGGCGGGGAGCGGGGAGGACTTACAAAGGAGAAGTCAGGTGTGTGTCAGCTATACTTCAATCAAAAACATAAAGTCAATAAAAGATACAGTGTAATAAAGATGGATAGATCTCTAGGTAGGTAAATGTGGGTCGATGATGGATGGATGGTTGGACAGACGGGCAGACATGGATAGAAAGATATATACCTAAATAGATAAGCCTGATGTGAAAAAGGACAAACCAGTAAAGAGTACATAAAAGAGAGAGTTAGAAAGGGAAAGAAAAGAAATGGAAAACTTTTTTAAAGTGGGCCAGTAGAGTAACAGAAAAAGAGTGGATGGGTGGATAGGATAAAATAGGGCAAGGGAGGGTAAGGTAGAGCAGGGTAGGCTAGGGCAGGGAAGCAGGAGAGAGGAAAAGGCATAGAGAGAAAAGAAGAAGCTTTAAAAGGAGTACAGAAAATGAAGGGCTTTTTAAAAGATTTTATTTACTTACTTATTTGAGAAAGAGAGAGCATGAGCGGGGTGGGGGGCAGAGGGAGAGGGAGAAGCAGACTGCCCCCTGAGCACAGATCTGGACACGCGGCTCGATCCCAGGACCCTGAGATCATGACCTGAGCCAAAATCAGCCGCTTAACTGACTGAGCCACCCAGATGCCCCTATATAAAGGGTTTTTTAAAAAAAAATGAGAGAGAAAATGTGTGCAAGAGAAAGTTTTTAAAGGACGAGCCAGTAAGAACAGACAATGCGAAAGGAAGGAAAGAATGAAAGTTTAGGAAAGGGGAGTCAGTAAGAAAAGCTCATAATGTATGTAGTTCAGTGAAATGATGAGGCTGTAACCTCTGCCTCTGGGATAAAAAAAAAAAATCACTTCAGCAGCTATATTGCTTCCTCCATCTTTGACTGTTAACTCTTACTTTAGGTAGGGAGAAAGTTTCAGGTAGGCATCTTAAAGAGTGGCCACCTCAAATGGTTTTTAAAAAGGAAAATATTTTAAAAAATCATGTTCACAGTATCACATAGGTGGACAGGAGAATGAAGAGATCTCTTTCACATATGAAATAGACTTCTACCACTATAATAAGGCCATCATCTTCCACCACGTAGACCCAAAGGGATGCACATCTTTTTTTGTAAAGATTTTGTTTATTTATTTATTTATTTGAGAGAGAGAGCAGAACGAGAGAGCATGCAAGAGTAGGGGGAAGGGCAGAGGGAGAGGGAGAAGCAGGCTCCCCACCGAGCAGGGAGCCCCACGCACCAGGACTCGATCCCAGCACCCCGGGATCACGAGCTGAGCCGAAGGCAGACCCCTAACTGACTGAGCCACCCAGGTGCCCGAGGGATGCACATCTTAAAACTCTGGTAGAAATCCAGTCAGCACACACAGTTTGGAATTTGTCTATCTAAATGATTAGCAACAGGAACTTCGGTCACCTCTTTCCCAGCTGAGGTCCATGCGCATTGTTGCCTCCACCCGAGCTCTGAGGCACAGCCCAGGATGATCACGAGCACTCTTGTGGGGTCTCCAGCATAGTTACTGCACTGTTGTGCCTCCCCACGCAGAGAAAAGGCCACATTCTCACTGGGCATGCTGGAGGGATGGCGTTTTTCCCTCCTCGCAGAAGACAATTCTGTTTCTCCGAGTAGAGCTTTAACTACACAAGATAATATTGTAAAAGCGATTGTCCTGCCTCCCCATCGCATCTCTCCTCGGGTCTCTCAGCCTTGCCGCTACTGACCTCTTGGGCTGGATAGTGCTTTGTTGTGGGGGCCGTCCTTTGCCTTGTGGACTGTTTAGCAGCATCCCTGACCTCTACCCACTAGATGCCAGGAGCAACCCTCCCCCGCCACATCTGTAACAATCACCATGTCTCCAGACATTTCCAAATGTCCCCTAGGGGACATAAGTGCCTCCCACTGAGAACCCACTACTTACCCTCTCCAATTCCTCCCTACATCTCCATATGTAGATTAGCATATGGCTCTCCTCCTACTGGGCCCAAAAGAATAAATAGAATATCTCTTGGATAACTTGGTCATTTCCACTATTTTAAAAAATAAATATTTTCCTGTGTTTCTTTAAGCTTCTTCAAAGATCAAGAAAGCAAGTGATACCGCCAGTGACCAGCAATCGCACCAGGAACAAAAACGTAATTGAAATGATTATGATTGGAAGTGCTAGTATAGTAATTTGTGGAAAGACGGGATTTGGTACTGACCTCCTCTGCTTACAGGGCAGAGAGATCCTCACTCTGTCCCCTGTTGTGAAAGACGGATTTCGAGGAATGCTTACCCACAGGGCCACAGCCTCTCTTGCCCTCTGGGTCAGACTCCCCACTTAAACACTCAGTTCATGTCGCTGCCCCCACATGCCCAGGAGCAGGGCAGCCCGCATTTTGCAGCTGACAAGTTCTGCACGCCCAGTTCAGGGCCCTTCTTCTCCAGGGCCCCTGCTCCCAATCTCCTTTCTGTACTTTTCCATTACCAACAAGACCCCTGCGGCATTTTTTTTTTTTTTTTAAACCTGTTCCTCACTGGCTGCCACTGGCCGCCACTGCCGCCTCTGCTGGTTCGGCCTCTGCCTCCCAGGGAAGCTTTCACCTGCAGCTCATGTGTTGCCTTCCCCTGGAGAGTCATCCTTGCAGATTGCTGCCTGGAGGTGCCACGGAGGTTTCTGAAGCCAGTGGCCCTAGAGACCTAGTGAGGACCGAGACCCCAACCAATGCTCCTTCTCAAAAACCTGCCCGCCCTTAGACTTTGAACTTTCCAGGCCTGAAGTAACTTCTGTTGCTTCGCTGGCGGCAGAAATATTTTATTCTGCCACATATTTTTCTGCAGCAGTGGACCTGCTATTCAGTGTTGCCCATTCTCGGTCCCCTGTTCCTTTTAGAACAGCCTGACAGAGTAGTAGGTGTTGTCGTTCTAAAATGTCAACCGATTTCTTGAGTAGGCTTTAGTACACGTGGGGCTAGCACTGTTTGCTGGATCTAAGTGCCTTCCTTCCTTTTGCTTTCTCGCTCAGTCACCGATTTTTCTAACCTATTCCTCTGGACTTTGCCTTTGTGGGGCCCCCATAATGGCCCAGACTTTCAGGGAGGCTCCCCCCATCTTTCTGCTTCTTTCCTAAAGATGATGTCCAGATGTCTGGGGTCAGAGGTGTGGCTTATGTTCTTACTCCTCTATGTGTCAGCAGTATGGGCATCACCTAAAGAGCTTATTAGAAATGCAGATTCCCAGGCCCCGCCCCAGACCTACTGAATCGGAATCTACATTTTCACAAGATCCCCAGGGCTTTATATGCTCATTAAAGTTTGGGGAACAGTGGCTTCCGTGACCTCATGGAGGTGGAATAAAGTCATGGCACTTGGACAAAATGTCTTCTGCCTCTTCTGATCTCCAGAGAACTGTCCTTCCCTGCACTGAGATAGTGCTTGGCCTGTTGGCATTTACAGTTCAGTGACTCATGGTCTGGTCTCACTGAGCTTAGAGCCCTCTGGCTTTCCCATCCCACCTCCATTCTGGCTGGCTGCCCCATAACGCTCAGGGTGGAGCGCTCTCACCTCCACCCCAGTGACCTGCCTTGGCAAGCTCCCCAGCTAGACTCTCAGCCCTTTCTGGGCCATGTCCATCACATAGGAACCAAGAGTGGCTTAAGAAAGCAAAACCTCAAGAGGAAATAGGAAGAGGTTGGTAAAAAGGTACAAACTTCAGCTATAAGATGAATAAAGTCTGAAGGGCTAATGGAAAAACATGGTGACTATAGTTGACAGCACTGTATATATAACAGAAATTTGCTAAGAGAGCAGAACTTAAAATGTTTTCAACAACAAAATATAAATATGTGAGGTGATAGATGTGTTAATTAACTAAATGGGGGGCCCTTTCACAATATATACATATATCCAATCACCACGATGTACACTTTAACTATCTTACAATTTTATGTCAATTAGATACATCACTAACAGTGAAATTAGGAAGAGAGAGAGGGAAAGAAGGAAGGGAAGAAGGAAGAACCAACCTCAGGGAAAGCCTTGCTCTGCCTGACCATACTATATTGCAGAGTTTCTGGGCCATGTCCCAGGTGAGGAGGAGGAGGCGACAAGCGGGAGGTAGCCTAAGAGTTTTCTTTCTAGAGTCCCAAATGGGAAGCAGAGCAATAGTTCTTTTCTCTCTGTGCTAACTTCACTTGTCTGAAGCAACCAGGGCCCAAAGTAAGAAAAATGTGAAGCCTCATCTGATACCTTTGCTCTCTAGCCTCTCCCACCACCCTTCCACTTTCCCACTAGCTCTGAGCTATTAAAGGAGTGAACTTTCCCTCCTACCTTTCCTTAAGTCATGTCTTCCTTCTTTCTGAGCCCAGATAACTCTTGTTGGTGGGCTAGGGTATCTCCAGTACACTAAGGGAGAGTTTTCTGAGCTAAGTATTCCACTCTGTTGCTACACAAAAAGGAAGGTTAAATTTTGGGAAGTTCTCAAGACAATTGCATGGCCTGCAAAGCATACTGTCTTGGCTATGTCATCCTATTTTGAATGACAGGTGCTGAATATTACTTGGGTGTTTATTGTGGCATCCCTCCTGTTAAAAATTCTAACCTCCTCTCCCCTACTTCCACCCCCAAGCAGGTAGATGATTATGGAAGACTAGGGTAGAGTTCTTGTACTTAGGGAGTCAAAAATGAGAAAATAATATAAAATTCTGAAACAATAGCCCTGTTGTATAATGGCTGTTTCACATCTGTCAAGCCCCAAAAGTAGGCACAATGAAAGATGGGTCTCCAGACCTACATCTAGAAGGTATGCTCACTGTAAAAAAAAAATGTATAGAAAAATTTGTGATGTATAGAATGCAACAACCTAATAAACATGGGGAAAATGCACGGACATTTTACTGAAGACATACAGATGGCAAATAAGCACATAAAAATGCTGCTTAATATTATTAGTCCTTAGGGAAATACAAAGTAAACCACAATGAGATACCACTACACACCCAGTAAAATAACTAGAATTTAAATAACTGAGGGCGCCTGGGTGGCTCAGTCGTTAAGCATCTGCCTTCGGCTCAAGTCATGATCCCAGGGTCCTGGGATCGAGTCCCACATCGGGCTCCCTGCCTGGCGGGAACCCTGCTTCTCTCTCTCCCACTCCCCCTGCTTGTGTTCCTGCTCTCGCTGTGTCTCTCTGTCAAATAAATAAATAAAATCTTTAATAAAATAAATAAATGAATGAATGAATGAATGAATGAATTTAAGTAAGTATTTGCAAGGACTTGAAGCAGCTAGAACTCGGACACTGCAGGTTGGGGTGTAAAGTGGTAGAACCACTGTGAAAACAGTTTGCTAACTTAAGTTAAACTACCATGTGATCCAGCCACCCCTCTCCAAGGTATGTGCCCACAAGAAATGAAAATATATGTCCATATAAAGACTCATAGCAGCATTATTCATAATAGCAAAAAAAAAAAAAAAAACTGAAAACAACCTAAATGCCCTTCAGTGGCCCAATGGATAAAATGTAGTACATTCCCATACTATGAAATACTATGTAGTAAGAAAAAGGAATAAACCATTGTTGCAGGCAACAATACTGATGAATCTCAAAATAAATATACTAAATGAAGGAAGCCAGACCCCCCCCCCAAAAAAAGAGAGAGAGTATATCCTGTTTGATTCCATTTATAGCAAACTCTAGAAAATGCAAACAATTTATAGTGACAGCTGATCAGTGGTTGCCCAGGAGATAGGGAGAACTAGAGAAAGAGGGATGAATTATAAGGGGAACAAGGACACTTTTGGGGGTGATGGAAATGTTTATCTTGATTGTGGTAATGGTTTCATGGGTTCGTACATATGTCAAAATGGAACAAATGGTATGTTTTAAATGTGTGTGGTTTCTTGTACTTCAATTGTATTTTGATAAAATTGTTTTAAAATTCTATGACTTCTCTTTCATTTACTTTTAGAACCAGGCCATTCTCATAGTTTTGTAAAGATTCCTGCCAAAAAATCATCAGTCTTCGTATCTTCTCAGCCTGATGTACAGAAAAACAAAGCAGAACAAAAGGTAGATGCTTTGTATTGATCATTAATTTATCTGGTTAACTGTTATTTCTATAGGATATCCTCTTCACTGGCATGGTACTGACTGGTCAGAGATAATGGGGTCCTACACAGATCTGGCTCCTCTCCCTAGCAGAGAAGGTTCTGAGTCAGCTTCATGTTAAATGTACCATACGGTTTAGCAGAAACTGACTTAAATATCTGATGATACTGATGATAGCTAATGTTTACTGAAAACTTGCTGTGGGCTAGGGCCCATGCGAAGCTAGAAGGGGGAGAAAGGGGCAAAACAGTTGACATAGGATACAGAGATGGAAGAGACATCATCACTGCTCATGAGAACTCACTGTCCAGAGACTTACACACATGTAAACAAAAGTCCTTACAATAAAATAAGAGGAGAGTTTTGATTTGTTCAAAATGCAGAAGGAGCACAGAGGATTTAGAGACTAGTCCTGCCTACAGGAGCCTAAAAAGGCCTTATTAAAGGAGGGCTTCATCGAATTAGGTCTTGAAGTGTGAGTAGGAAGTTTCCAGATGAACAGATGTGAAGCTATAGTGAGGCAGTATTACAGACAGGTGTTAAAGTGTTAAGCGAGAGCCGCAGTGTGAACCAGCGAAGCCAGGGCAGGGCCAGAAAGGAGACTGACAAGATAGGCTGCCGCCAAGGCTTTGTACACCTTGCTGGAGAATGGGTTTAGCCTCTCCGTAGTAGAGAGCCATTGCTGCTTTTTGAGTAGAGATGTGAAGTAAGAATGAGATGGGTTTTAAAAGGATAATCTGGGGACGCCTGGCTGGCTCAGCTGGAAGAGCATGCAACTCTTGATCTCAGGGGTCGTGAGTTCAAGCCCCACGTTGGGTATAGAGATTACTTAAATAAAGACACTTTATTTTTTTAAAAAAGATTTTATTTATTTGAAAGAGAGTAAGCCAGAGAGAGCACGAGGGCGGAGGAGCAGAGGGAGAGAGAGAAGCAGACTCCCCACTGAGCAGGGAGCCCAATGCGGGGCTCGATCTCGGGACTCCAGGATCATGTCCTGAGCCGAAGGCAGATGCCTAACCGACTGAGCCACCCAGGTGCCCCAAATAAAGACACTTTAAAAAAAGAGAGAGAGAAGTCTTTTTTTTTAATTAAAAATAAAAAGATAATCTGGTTGAAGTGTGTGACATAGATGCAGTGTTTGAGGAAGAGGAGATTAGAGGGAAGATTGTTTTCAGTCTACTGGGATGGTCCAGATAAAAATGATATGGTGAGTGCTGTGAATTGTGTAAGACTGTTGAATCACAGACCTGTACCTCTGAAACAAATAATACATTATATGTTTAAAAAAAAAAAAGAAGAAGATAGTAGGAAGGGAAAAATGAAGGGGGGGAAATTGGATGGGGAGCTGAACCATGAGAGACTATGGACTCTGAGAAACAAACTGAGGGTTCTAGAGGGGAGGGGTGCGGGGGGATGGGTTAGCCTGGTGATGGGTATTAAAGAGGGCACGTATAACTGGGTGTTATACAAAAACAATGAATCATGGAACGCTACATCAAAAACTAATGATGTAATGTATGGTGATTAACATAACATAATAAAAAATAATAAAAAAAATGGTAGGGCAGTGGCAATGAGGATGAGCCAGAGGCCACAGATTTAAGATACTTCAGAGTCAGACTATGTCCAAATTTGGTGACTCAATAGACATGTAGATTGAGAGAGAGGGAGAGGATGAGGGTGATGATGAAGATTTAATTTTTGTATATAGGTTCTCTTGAAGTGGGATGTCTTTTCTCTGTGCCCCCATAGTGCTCATGCTGGCCTCTGTCAGAACTCACTATACTGTATCATATTTTCCTGTCTGTCCTACTGGATGATAAACTTCTTGAGGTCAGGAATTGTGTATCTTATTTTAATTCCAAGCAGTGTGCTCAATAAGCATTGGATTGGACTGGATTGGCCCCATCTGAAATACGTGGAGTAACTCTAAGCTTTCTAGAAAAGATCACTGGATGGATTGTTATATCTTTAACCAAAAATATGGAAGACAGAGGAGGAGCAAGTTTGGAAAGATGGGAGTACATGGGTACATGATAAGCTTCATTTTGAACTAGTTAGCTTAGGTACCTGTGGGAGATATTCATCAAAGAGGTTGATCCTATGTATTAGCATTGGGACCAGAGCTTAGGAGAGAGGTAAGGGATCTGGAGCAAAGGGAGATATTATGTCAATCTGCTTGCTCTAGAGCCAGCAAGTCTCTTTTAGAAGCTCAATTACTAATGAATGCTTTTTTCTTGAATGTTAGAGCATACAGAAAGATAAAGAAATGACTAAAACATCACATACTTTAAATGATGAAGGTAAGAAAATGAACAATATTTATAATTGCTCGGTTATCTTTCAGTTAAATAACTATAGTTTTGTCATGTAGTTTTCCAAGTTATGCTTTTTTCCCAATTATAAAATCTGTGATTATTTGGATTAAGGAAGATGTAAAAATTATTCATGGTTGTAAATGTCAGTATCCCACATTTTTGAGTAATTGCTGGGTGAATAGGCCCTTTGGAATTTGCAAACCAGGGAGAAGTTAGAGTCTCTGCTGTGGCTGCCTATATGGATAGGCAGAGTAAGTTTCTGAAGTACTGCAATTTGTGCAGAGAATTCTCCCCCAGGAAAGTCTCTATCCTCTAATGCCATCCTTTCTCCCCAGACATAAAAATACATCCAGTTTCCATGTCCCCAGCTAGACTAGAGGTTACCTAAGTCTCTGTTAGTCTCAGCAAAAGATTCCCATGCATATTCTATACACACACCAAGAGCACTAGGACATCTCTGTCTGGGTGACCAATTAGTACCTCAAATCCAGTATGCACAAAACCAAATTCATCTTCCAGTCACCCCCAAACCTGTTCTCTGTTCCTCCTTTGATTCAGGCACAAAGCCAGAGTCATCTTTGACTCTTGCCTATTGCCCATATTCTACATCCAAAAGTTGTCACATTTTGTCAAATCTGCCTCCTTTAACTATCTCATAATCTTTCCCTCCTTTCCATTCACACCACCCGTGCCCTTAACTACCGCAATAATTTGCCTCCAGTCTCTTTTTCCTCCTGTCAGTCTAGCCTACAGTTTGTTGTGAATGTAATCTAATCTTCTCGAAATACAGCTTTGAACATATAATTCCTCTATTCAGAAGTCCTTGGTGGTTCCCCCTTGCCTACTGAATACAGTGCAAAGCAGTTCATTCTGGGGCAGGGGGAGTGGTGGGAGATTAAGCTGGCAGAGTAATTTAGGGCCAGAAGTTAGGGAATTCAGGCTTGTTCCTCACAGTGGTGGTAAGACACTGGAAGGCATCTTATATTTGGACATACTGCCTTTACTTGCATAAATAAATACATCCCTGACTGCAGTAATTCCAGACATTATGGCAGCAAGAACTATATCATTTTTTCATATTTAAAGGTACCTTTTCTTCCCCGCCCCCCCAGGAATTAAAAGTAGCTCACATCAAGCTCCAGATGTTTCTGCTAAAACAGAAAATGTCCCCAGACATTCTATACAGGCTATTTTGAAACAAGAGGCAAGTAACATTTCTTTTGTCCCAGATACAGACAGAACAAATGAAGTATGAAATTATGATCAAGATTGGTATAACAGAGTTTCATTCATCAAAAGACAATTCAGAACAGCCTTATTCCCTGAAATTAGCCACCCTATAGTAAGATTTTATAAAAATTGAAATGCAAACCCACGGTAATAACTCTGTGCTACTTCAGACTTCCAAAGCTCACAACTATCAGTTAGTGTTGTCATACTGTAAGTAGAGGGAATATCAGTAACAAGTTGTAAGCCAGCAAAAGTAGTAAGACTGAGACTTTAAATTTATTAAACAGATCCAAAATTTGAATGTTATATTTGCCTCCATTTTAATAGAGATTTACCAGAAGCAACTTGAATGCTCCCACTTAGCCCTTAAGTTAGAGGCTTCCTAAATGATGAGCTTCAAGAGCTTCAAAGTACAGACCTGTGCCCTGCAGAGAAAGCAACAAATCGGGCTTTGAGAATCATTTTCTTCTAGTGCTGATGGGTTGTGCAGAGACAGCCATGCTGCCTTACCCGGCCCCCCTGTGACCAGTGATCACTCACCTGATGGTGGAAAGTTGGCAGCATTCAGGGTGTGGCCTCTGGTCACAACATGGATTGCCTTTGTGGACTGCCAGATTGTCATTTTAAGAATCAAATCCACATCCTTGGCTCTCTTAGCACTGTATTAACTGGCTCAGCTGTTCTAAAAAGTTAACATGGTTTGAAAGAGATGTCATCAAGCAGGAAATTCACTAAAGTCTTCCCAAAAGTCCACCTTCACAACTAAGGTAGAAAGTGGCATCATTTGCAGTGTCCTACATGAAATGCATAGAAAGCAACAGACCCAATTATATATAGCTGCTCAAATGTAGCATGTTAGCCACAGTATGCTTCTCTGTATAGACAAATATTTATCAAACACCTGCTGTGACAGGGCACTGTGTCACTGTGTCCACATCCATAATCGCTATGCTTAGTTTCTGAAGAAAAAAAACTTCACTACTCTGAGTTAGTTTAGTAGTTGTCACTACTTTGAGTTAGTTTAGTAGTTGTACATCAGGAATCATTTTTTTCACTAGCCTCACTATAGAGCCAGGAAGAAAAGTATGCCCTGAGTTGTCACATGGATGACAAACTTCATCCTACATACTTTGCCCCCAAAAAAGTCAATAAACAAATTTAGACTATCTGTTTTTAAAGGAGGCTTTAAAATACACATGAACAATATGACTACAGCAAATGGTCACAGAAACCTAATTTATTTTGAGAAATAGCATGACCACTTTTATTACAATAGAATAGGATACTATTTCCCAACTTATTTCACCCATTCCATCAGTGCCAGGAAAGGTACTTCTTGTGGCTTGCGTTTAGCTCTCAGACCTGGGGAAAAAATTGGTCTACTCTGTTGGATTTATCTTTCTGTACAATGATCTCGGTAGGTAAAGCTCTCAGCCAAATCAAAGAGTCACATCCTATGTAGGCGGAAAACCTGCCCTCTGCCTTCCAGCTTTCTAAAATCATGTCCCCTATAGTTAACTTTGTTTAAAAACCACACATCATCTTTTTAGCTGTTCAACTGATTACCATCCATGCTGCTCAGTGCATTCCTCAGTTAATTTTAGAATAATGATGAATTCTATAAACCTGTGAATTTTCTAAGTAACACATGTAGTATAAACCAAATAAAACATACTTTTATCACAAATGGACTTTTAAAATCATTTTCTTAAATTTCTGTATTTCAAATGTGAGAAATAGCCGATGTTCAAATTCTTTTAAAACTCCTTTGAGGATTTTCATTGTTTTTTTTTCTTGGGGCATATATAGGTGACATATGCTGATGTTAATGAAAAAAAGATCAAGAAACCAAGTTTTAACCATGACTCAGGTAAACAATAGTAACAGTTATTAGGTAAATCCTGCAGTCTACTCATCCATTCATTCCACAAACATTTATTGAGCTTCCACTACATGACAGACATCGTGCTAATTATTGCATGCATACAAGGTAGAAACCATACAAAATGAAAAGCCATGCTCCCTATCCTGGATTTTACAGTTTAGTGGGGAACACTCACACCAATAATCACAACCCATTATGATAATTGTAATAATGGAGGTATGTACATAGTTCAGGGGAAGCATAGGGAAGCCAGGGAAACTTGTCCAGAAGAAGCCACAATTGGGCTGAGACATGAAGGATAAGAAAGAATTTCCTAAGCAGACAAATGGAAGGAGAACCTTCCAGGAAAAGGGAATACATTTACCAAGATACAGACATTAGAGCATAGTACGTTCTTGGAAATACAGATTTTTCTCAGAATTGCTTTATCTAAAAGTTCAAGCTAGAGAATTGCAGGAAATGAAGCTAGACTGCTAGAGAAAGGTTAGATCATTAAGTTTCTGGTAGGCCATGCCAAGAAATCTACCTTTTATCCTGTTATTGAAGGGCAACTATTTAAGAATATTGTCAGGGGTGTAATATAATCAGAATTTGTCTTTTCTAAAAAGGGAAAAAAGAATTAGAGGTGAGGGGACTAGAGGCAATGAGACAATAAAAATAATAGCATTTATTGAACACTTGCCAGTTACTACACTAAACTTTTTATATCCTCTCATTTAACCCCCCCAACAATTTAATGAGGACAGAAGTATTTTTATCTACCATTTTATATATAAGTAAACTAAGTCTCAGAGTGGTGAATTATCCTGCCCAAGGTTTCACAGTATATGTGACAAAACCAAGGTTTTAACCCAGGTCTGTCTTACTCAACCAATTCTAGCCGCAATGCCATGCTGCCACTTACTACAATTAAAGAGACTATTACAATAGTCAAGGCTAGAAATGAGTCTTGAACAAACTCAGTGACAGTGAGGGTACAGATTTGACTCAAACTAAGGAGGTCGAATAGATGAGATTTGGTTACTGATTGAATATGGGAGATGAAGGCTTTGAAGACAACACCCAGATTTCTAGACTGGGCAACTAAATGGGTAGTGAATAGTGGCACCATTCAGTAGACAGGCAGTACAGAAAGATGAACAAGTTTGGAGGCGAAATTAGTTCAGCTTTTTGAGGTAGATTATACTTTGTCTTCTTAATTCCCTCTTCGATCCGAGAGTTATCAACGTAAGTATGTTTCTTAATTATTAAGAAATTAATATTTTGGGTCACAATTTTTTAATTAAATTCAGCGAATATAGCCTGTAAATCTTGAACACATTGGAGTTGTTAAGGTTGTTGTTTTTTGTTTTTTGTTTTTTTGTGTGTGGCCAAATATGTGATCGCTATTTGAAAGTGCTCCATGGACATACCAAAAACAAATATGTATTCTCTATTTGAAGGATGGAAAGCTCTAAATGGATATCAAATTACATTTACTGATTTTATGTCTTTACAGATTTTTTTGTCTACTAGACTTTTTTTATTGTCTACAAATGTGTCCAGCTATTAAAGAGGTGCATTAAAGTTCTACACTCTAATTGTATATTTATCAAATTCCCATTACATTTGTAATAGGTTTCACACAGGCTCTTCAGGATATTTAATCCACCATATTCCTAGAAACCATAGAAGAGTTATTTATTTTTTCTAACAGTCATATTAGTTATCTATTGCTAAGTAACAAATCACCCCAAAGCGTGGCAGCTTAAAAAAAATTATCTTATAGTTTCTGTGGTTAGGAATCCAGGAATAATTTAGCTGGGTGGTTCTGACTCAGGGTCTCTCATGAGGTTATAGTCAAGTTGTCATCCAGGGCTGTTGCAGTCATTTAAAGGCTTAACTGGGACTGGAGGCTTCTCTTCCAAGATGGCTCACTCACATGACTGTCAGCAGGAGGCCTCAGTGCCTCACCTTGTGGACCTCTCTATCAGGCTTCTTGAGTATCTTCATGATATGGCATCTGGCTTCCCCCAGAGTGAGTGATCCAAGGTAGAGGGGTTGAAACCACAATATATTTTATAACCTGGTTTCAGAAGTTATATACCATCACTTCTACCCTGGACTGTTCATTAGGAGCAAGTCACTGAGTCCAACCCACACTCAAGGGGAAGAGAGTTAACCTCCACTTCTAGGTGGGAGTATTACCAAAGAATTTGTAGACATACTTTGAAACCACCACAACAGTATTATCTTCACACTTAATTTTTCAGGTTTATACACTATTAATTCCAGCTCCTTCCAAAACTGTACACATGCAAAAATATGCTCATACACAAACTCAAGAAGGCACATAGAATTTTAAGTAAATGTTTTCAAACAGGTCATTGGAATTTACTGGTTACTCCAAATACACTTTACATTTATTAGGAGAAAGATAAATAGCAATTTGCCTTGACTTTGGCTCCAATTGGTAATACTACTTTCTATTACTCAGAGCATTCTGTTTGTCTAAGACTTTAGTGGTGCATGTGTATAATTGATATACACCATTCCAGTATTCCTATGGAGATATTCTACATGAAGACTTGCTTTACTATAATTACCTAGAAATATTTTCTAATATCCGCTTATGGAACTTTGCTAGATGGCATGTTAGACAGTATTTGAGTGGGAAGAGATTAATGACTGTTAGACTAATAAACAAACATTGACCCAACACCTGTGTTAAAGAATTGATTCAATAAATAAGTGTTAATGAGTGCTTACTATATGCCAGACACTGTAAACTATAGCATAGTAAGTCCTATAATAGAAGGAAGTATAGGGTGCTTCAGGAGCATTGACAGAGGATGCCTGCCTGTGTCGGCGATTTCAAAAGGCTCTCTGAAAGAGATGACACAAGCTGAGTGAATCCTAAAAGGTGAGGAATTTAGAAGAGCGATATTAAAGTTATAAACTAAATAGTAAGGGCACAGGCAAAGGGAATTGCATGTTGTTCAGGATCTCTGGAGCACAGGGTATATGTAGAATGGTGACCAGAGGTGAGGCTGGTGAGGTAGGCAGTGGCCCCAGATCATAAAGTTTATTTTATGCCTCCCCGGCAGTCCCTGGAGGGGTTAAACACAGCAGTGACAACAGGGAATAAAGAACTATTAATAGATGTTAATTATCATTTACAAGTAGCTTGGGAAGCCTACCAACAAGTAGTTATTTTCTTTTTCTCTCTGAAAATTCACCTGTAGCTCAAGGAATCTTCCTTTCTTGTGATTCGTCAATTAAGTAAGTATCTAAGAAAGCTTAATAAATTAATGTGTTATTTTAAATTAACCTTTTAATAATTACACAGGAGTGCTGCTTAAGGGCAGATGCTCCCATGGAATCCTCAGTTCTTGTAGTTCTACTTGCATTCATTTTTTTTGCAACCTCTCAGGACTAAGCTAAAATTACAAAGCAGGCAAAGTTATTTATGTTCTTTCACCTTCCCTCTAGTCTCACTTTTGTTCTGTACTCCCCTAATCCCCAGGGCCTTCACTCCCCTACCTCTTCTTTCGAGGTAACTTTCTGGGATCTAGATCTATTCTTTTCCCCTCTCCACATTCAAACATACATTACTTGTGCCTTTTGAGGTTATTGGTTCTCTAATGATGATGAATTAGTTTACCATATAGTATTAATGACTTAATCTGTTACCCCATCCTGAGGATATTTTTACTGTAATCTAAAGTAATGAAACTCTAATGATACAAAAATCAAGGACAATGGATATTTTTTTTTTGGTCTAGGTGCCTTTCAGCCCTCAAACCTTGGTGGCCCCTTAGTCTGCTAAAGTGCAGTTCCCCTCAAACTTGAATATTTCATGCACATCAAATAACCCCTGATGGAACACACATATCCAACACCATCATCTTCTAAACCCTCAAACCAAATGAGGTCCAGGATAGGTTTTATAAATTCCAAATTCTGATGAAAATGGTTGGGTAAGGTGAAGTAGCGTGTGGTGGTAAATGGTATTGACATTCAGAGCGAGCTTCCTAGAAGAAGGATTTTATGCTTAGGAGTGATGAAGTAAGTTTCACTTACTGAGTGTTCATAAGATGCAAAGATGCTGAAGGAAATTGACTAGCCCAATATTAGGACAGTTTAAAGAAATAAAGGTGAGGAGTGATGATTATGTAGTTTTAGAAAGTGTAAATTCCTGCTTCCCTCTTCCTCCTGCCTTCCCGCTACCCTAGACTACAGAGCTACAGAATCACTTGAGTCTTTTCAAAAGCAGATGCTCTGGATACCCTTTTGCTAAAAATCTTAGCTCAGCTAAGATAAAGAGCTCTGCACATGACCTGGAGCTTCTTCCCCATTCCTCTCAAATACACAGGGTTAAAGTACTTTTAGCTAAACCTAGGACAATTCCAGGCCAGAGCACAATAAAACATGGCTAACAAGACCATCTGGTCTGGCTCTGCCCATTGCACCCATGTCACATCACCTTACCTTACAGAGAAGAACACAGGTTCAAGGGCTTGGACTTCATCCTCTTTCTCTGATGCAGCTCCTTGCTTCCCAAGCCTCAGTGCTAGATGCATCCCCTGTGTTCCACCACTTCCCTCTCTCCCTTCTCTCCTCTCAACTTCTTCTCTGTTTTTCCTAACGCTTACACAAAGGCCATACACCGTAAGCTTAACAAAATAGAATTAGAAACCAAAGAAATCAGGACAAAAGGAAGCAAATGTGATAAGATAGCAGTGGGGTAGACAGTTGGAATAATTAAGCTTTGCATTTAGATACTGAGTATGTTCTTACGATTGGGATGGAAGATGAGAGGAGAAGACCGTGCTCAGAAGTCTGTATTTCATCCACTGAATGACAGTTTAATGGTTTTGAGTTGGGATATGATATTATCAAGTCAGCATCTCAAGCTTTGTGCAGTGGCAGTATCGTAGCCAATGAGGTTTATCCGAGGTGCGATTATTGCTAATTGAAAACTTAACAAGTCAGCATCTCTGCTGAACACCTGTGACAACAGCATGTAGGACAAATGAAAGATAGTTAAATAGGTGCCCATTACAGAAGTCCATTAATGATTTGTGGCCTTGCACAACAGCCTTCCTTTTGGAGTAGAGAGAAGTATGCATCTAAAACATGTTAAATGGGAATTTATGTGCCAAACTTTCTTGAGAACCTACTATGTTCAAAGTATAGTTCTGGGTATTAGAGGGATACCAAGATGAAAAAGCACTACCTCTGACTTCAGCTGTGCTTTATACAGCAACAGGACAAAAGACAGGGAGACTTGAGGAATGCCAGAGAGTGAACTGAGTGCAGGACAGTAGATAAAATGTCAGGAAAAAGGAAGGCCACCCGTGGTACCACCGAGTTTTGGGGTTTCAGATTAAACCACTGATGTTAGGATACAGAGGTGCTGCTTTAAATTCCCGGGTAGCGGGCGCCTGGGTGGCTCAGTTGGTTAAGCGACTGCCTTCAGCTCAGGTCATGATCCTGGAGTCCCGGGATCGAGTCCCGCATCGGGCTCCCTGCTCGGCGGGGAGTCTGCTTCTCCCTCTGACCCTCTTCCCTCTCATGCTATCTCTCATTCTCTCTCTCTCAAATAAATAAATAAAATCTTTTAAAAAATAAATAAATAAATAAATAAATTCCCGGGTAGCCACTGGAATGAGTAAATAGATTAGGCAATAGGATAGACTATGTGTGTGGATGAGCAGGAGGTATCAGGCATCACCTCAAAGCTATGGGCCTGAGATATAAACAGAAGGCCACCAATTACATTAAAAATTAGATATTCAGAAGGATCAGGCAGACTAAAATTTAGGCTTGTCACATTAATCCTCAAGGGGTGCTGGCCAACCATATGAAGATGTCTTTAAGTTATCTTCAGGACTAAAGTGAGTTTGGAGGAGAAGGTCAGAAGCAGAAAGGTATATTTATAGTTTTGTGACATGGCAAGTTAAACTGTGAAAAAGTGTGCCTTCTCTTTGGGGCTTCTGGACTAATGGTCATTAATATCACTGCCCTCTTTAAGAAGTAGGAAGTTAGCAGTAAAGATGACCTAAACCTTAGACACTTTTCTCTAGTAGCGTCAAGCTGTCAAGGAAAACCACCTAAGACTAGGGAAAAGTAGATGGAATATCGTGTCACTCCTGGAATGGTGATGGGCCTTTCCAACATAACAGCAAGTTCATTTGCATGTTTCTGTTCAATTGACTCCAACAAAAATCTGATAATTCGTTGCAAATTGTAGATTGTATGTGATATCACAACTATTTTCTAGTGGTCTCATATGAGGTTTTCTCATTTATCTGGTTAGTTTTGTTCTCAGATCTTTGCTATTTCCTTTTATCTAAATGCATGCCTTTAGGACAGAAAGGCTTTGAGGACAGGTAGCAACAAATACACAGGACTTACTGGGTTCCACTTGCTGCCAGTGGTACGAGTTAGAGCAGAAAAAAGAATCTGGATGCATTAGGTTGCAGAGAACCTACAAGAAGAAATTGAGCTGGAGTTGGCCTGAGAAACTAACTGAATCTTAGAAAAATAAATGAAGCCAAAGGATAGGAACTGTGTCACTGACATCAGCACTCATGCTCCAGGTTCCATATTACAAAAGGGTACTAGTCTGAGGATGGGCTATTGCTCCCTAACCCTAGCTGAGACCTATAAGTTTTTCTTTTCCTACTAGGAGTTAGGTTGTAATTTCAGAGATGGGCTATGTTTTTCAAAATTGAATTGTAGGCCTTGGGGGTAAAAGAAATGTTGATAACAGAAGGGCAGGCCAAGTAAAAATGAAGATAGAGTATGCTATTAATTACTATTAATTAATTAGTTTTGATGCTTTTTCCTTTAAGAAGGTCAGGAAGAAGAGAAGCAAATGATCCATGTAGGCAGGAAAATATGAAAATAAATCGGAATTAGAGTCTTAGGCCTTGTTTTTTTTTAACTTTTTTTAGTATTCTATAATTTACATGATTGTGTTCTCTTGCTACAATTTAGTAAAATATATTTTTGGTTCCATGTAGTAGGTGATAATAAATAATTTTGATTAAAACATAGAATAGATTGCAATGACATGGCTGGAGCTAGAGAGTATAATGGCAAGTGAAATAAATCAGTCAGAGGAAGACAAATACCATATGATTTCACTCATACGTGGAATTTAAGAAACAAAACAAATGAGCAAAGGGAAAAAAGAAAGGCAAACAAGAAACAGACTCTTAACTATAGAGAACAGAAGGATGGTTACCAGAACTAAAGGATGGGAGAAATAGGTGATGGGGAGTAAGGAGGGCACTTGTTGTGAAAAGCACTGGGTGATTAAAATAAAAACTTTTAAAAAAGAGAAAAAGGAACACCTGGGTGGCTCAGTCTGCCTTCGTCTCAGGTCACGATTCCAGGGTCCTGAGACTGAGGCCCGCATCAGGCTCCCTGCTGCGGGGGGGGGGAGCCTGCTTCTCCCTCTGCTTTCCGCTCCCCCTGCTTCTGCTCCTGCTTGTTCTCGCTCTCTCTGACAAATAAATAAATGAAACCTTTAAAAAAATAAAATAAGAGGAAAAAAAACAGAATAGAATATTATAATACCTAGAAAAGGACTATATCTAATTTGGTATTGCATATGATCAGAAACCCATCATTTTAAGCCATCGTTATCAAGAATCATCCATGGATCTTTTCCTACTGTAGGGTGAAGGGGAGAAGACTAGGAGTTTTGAGGAGGTGGGCAGAAAGTGAGTTATCGGGAAGCTGTGATCAAGCAGAGCAGGCAGAAAGGACTAGCCCACCCCCTTTCTCCCCAACCCCATGCTCTTCCCAACTCACTACGAAACAAACATGGCTAAGTGGTTCATGAATAGTAATATCAGACAGATGTTAGTTTATGCAGCAGCTGTTTACTATTCTACTGTTTATTCAGCTATCATTCTACTCCTGTGAGTAATGGAGCATGTCCTGTACCCATGGGCCAATATCTAAGTAGGAGGCTAAATAAGGGAATTAGACAAAAAATAAAGCTTATTCTTTTTTGTGAATTGCTAGGGAGAAAAAAAATCTCCCAAGCACAAAGGAAATAATCTGATTCAATGCTTAGGAATTGGGGGAGGGGGAAGTTACATAAATTATTGATCAGAGGTAACAAAATTAGTCTCTACTTTTCAGACAACACTATCAAAATTGCTGTCAAGAAAAAGTATGTATGATGAAATTCACTGATAAAGCAACATGTTAAGGCTATTTTGTAATATGAAAGAGAAAAGTCTGTGAATCAGACAATGAGCAAAATCATCTGCTGACATTAGTCAGTTTCCCTCTTTGCCTTCTTCTCTTCTTGATTTTCACTCTCAGTGAATCTTGAGTTTTGCAGGGGTCCAAAGTTACTGTTATTGGCCCTTTGGGCAGGGGGCTCAGGAGGCTAGATTAAGGGAGCATTAGGAGGTTTAGTTAGCATGAGAAAAGCATCAAATACCACAAACCCACTCCATAATGGGAAACCATTAAGGGAAATGCCTTTACAGACCATTGAGATCTGGCTTAGGGCTGAGCATCCTGTCCCTTGGGCTTGTGAGCCAGGATGCCTAGATCTATCTCCTAATTTTCCCGGGAGTAAGAAAAATCTTAGGATGGTACTCCATCAAAAGAAGGGACCTGGTCACCTGAGAACTGCAGCTTGGACCAGGCAAAGATGAGGGTGAACTTGATGAGCCCCAACTCTGGGGCTAGACAGAGGAATCATGAACATGAGAGGGGTTCAGGGGACTAGTGCACACACACACTTTCACATATACACCCACTCAACTCAGAGAACATGCAATAAACACAAAGACCTAGACATACTGGAACCAAAAGGATGTTTCTTGGTTTAATGTGTAGTGAAAATAAGCTGAAAATCAGATTCTATTTATCACATTTCATTTCATTAAAAACTTTAGGAATGCTCCTGTTTTACATATCAAGGTTGAAAATGCCTTTTCTCAGCTACCTTAAGAGTAATAATGTAGGTCTTCTGTACATTTTCTCTGGTATTAAGAAAATAATATATATTGAAATTCTTAGCTCATATGTATTAGAACAGATTTAGACCAGTTTAGACCAAGAAGGTAAGTAACTTACCTATTAATGGTTAGCTATTATTCTTAGAAGTGTTTGATTTAGGACATGTTTATGTAAAAGAAGTGTTTTTCAACCATATGTTGTCATCCCCAACTATGTTTTTCAAACTCAATAGCCATTTTCTAGTCGGGGCAGAAGGTGACAAAGAATGCATTAAGAGAACTAGATAGTGGTGATGTTTGCACAACATTATGAGCGTGCTTAATGTCACTGAACTGTATGCTTTAAAATGGTAAAATGGTACATTTTATGTTCTGTTTATTTAATCACAATAAACATGCATTAAAAGATTTGGGAATTGGAGTGGGAAAAAAATGGCTTTATCTGAAGTGGTTCTCAAACCTTCTCTAATGGATCAGGAGAGATATGCTATATTTGATAAAGTGTTAACTTTTCATTGAATATTGGCCTAAACCTGAACAATCTGGAAGCTAACTTTGGAGGTAACTGGGAGGCAACCACATTCTAGGGAATCTGGTGCCCAAATGCCAGGATATCAAACAATGCATAGCCAGAATGCCAGGCATCCCACCTTTGCTGCCACCAACTTGTATCCACAGCTTTGAGAAATGAGGGTGTCTGCGGAAGTATGCATTCTTGGTCTAGCTGTCTTGAGGGTAACAATAACTTAGAAACAAATACTATTTTATTATAGGCAGGAGGATTTTTATGTTTCCAAAATATATCTGCAATAAGAGGTACATAAACAAGTATAGAGTTTTGCAGGTGCAGTTTGCATCTGCCCCCGGTCCAGTCTAAGCTGTGACAGTGAGTACAATTAACCATTGAGGAAAAGGTCATTCAGGTCTGGTCCCTGGGTTTCTACTTCAGCTCACAGTGAAGGAGACCCCCAACTTCCCTCTACTGCCCAGCCTTCTGGCCCTTTGAGTCCATCCCAGTTCTAGCTCAGCCTTTTTGACCGAGATTAATGTGTTTCTTTATTCCATGAACCATCCTCTGCCTCCCTCTCCAAGAGTTTGCACTGATAATCTCTTGTTGGACCCAAAGCCTATTCATTTCTGCTAAATCATCACTGCTAATTGTTGACCATTCATTAAACCTTAACAAGTAGCTGTGGTCATCTGCATACATAAAAACACAGTGAATGGACAAAGGAAGGCAGCAGCCAGTGGGCCACAGAGCCCACAGGCTGACCCTTCTGCTGTGGTACTTTTTCACCCTTACCTGCTAGCTGGACAGATGCCTACATAAAAGGAGGCTATCTCTGCAAAGGCACATAAATGTTTTGACTGCAAATTTTTTTCGTGAAATAGTTTGTCAGAGGTAATCTGGTTTGTATTTTTTTATTTTGTTATGTTAATCACCATACATTACATCATTAGTTTTTGATGTAGTGATCCATGATTCATTGTTTGCGTATAACACCCAGTGCTCCCTTCAGTACGTGCCCTCTTTAATACCCATCACCAGGCTAACCCATCCCCCCACCCCCTTCCCCTCCAAAACCCTCAGTTTGTTTCTCAGAGTCCATAGTCTCTCATGGTTTGTATTTTTAAGAAATATTGCTCGGATCATCAACACAATCTTCCTTTTTGCCAGAGCATTTGTCTTCTATGAGTCTAGACACCCTCTTGGCTATTTTTTAAACCAGGAAGCCATTTATGCTCAGCAATAAATGCTGAAAATCAATGTTCCTCGGGATTTTGAATCAAATGGAATCGTATTCAAAGAACAGATCACAGCCACAGAGAATAAACCAATTTGAAATTAATCTCTTATTCTAAGTAGATCCTTTCCTATGTTCTCTCTATACACCATGGCTGGATTCTAGCTATGCATTGTTTGATACAAGGAATTAAAGGTTAGCCCCTGTCTGTACAATAGAGTAAATTCATATGTGATTTCCCTTGTGTCCTGCTTACCTCCTTTCCAGGTAACTTCAGAAGAACTGAACAGTGTAGTTCATAATATAATGATCTGGGTTGTGGCTGCAGTGACCAGTATATTATATCCAGCCATCACAAAATATGAAGAAAGGTTGCAAAATATTATATACCCGATGCCTGATGACTCTACCCTCTCTTTAAATAGTGCAAGTTGCTGTAGCACATGCAGTGAAATGCTTCTATATGAACAGGTATTCAGGGAGAGACATTTCAGGCAGAGACCTGTGCTGACACAGATGACAGGTCAATAGGGCAACCAGCAGCACCCATAAAACCATCTTCTGCCCACAAAAAAAGAACAGTTACAGGAAAAACACATCACAGGAAAGGATAACCTAAAACCTCTGAACCTAAATATAATAAGACCGCTGAATCCCCCAAACTTAAAACCTGTAAACCCGGTAGTCACCTTTTTGCACTGATTGAAACAGGCACAAAGAAATCTGAAGATGCTACCACTAAAACAGTTGCCTTAGAACACCCACCGTCTTCTGATGAAAAAGCAAAAGTTGTAAAGGAGATGCAGGAGTTAAAGAATGTTTTTGATAACTTTAAATATCACCTAAAAGAGGAATCCGAGTTGATTTTAGAAAATATTTTTCATGAAATGGTGTCTGAATTAACCAAGACCATCCCCACTCTTACTTCTGTTACGGCCGAAACTTTGGTTGATCAAACTGACACTGACAAAGGAGACTTGCTCTCCAATGTCAATATCTCCTCAGCAGCTGCTGAAATTATGGAAAATGTGCCTGAGAAGCTACAGTCTGCAGTTGAGAAAAAATGTATTGAGGTATTTTCACAAGAAACTTTGTCAGTTCACTTTAAATCAGACTTAACAGCCAGTGGGGAACATTTCATTTCACCAGAAGAAGAAAACGTCAAAAGCTTCACCGCCTTATACTATAGAGAACATGAGTGGTATTGCAGAGGATATGGTTCATGTGATTTTAGAAAAGCTGACATCTCTTGCATCTTCTAAGCAAAATGAACTTGCTCATCTTGAAATCACGACTGAACCTACTTATCAGCAACACAGGGAAGGTCCAACATATGCATTCCTTCAAAGAGCCAGCAAAAGTAAATCCAGTGCTGAACCTGATTCAGCCAATTTGATTAGCAAAGAAGACATACAAAATTTAGTTTCAAATATTTTTTCCCAATCCTCTCTGGTTGGTTATATAGAGGAAGCAATCAACACTATACTAAGTTATATACAAATTGGACTTAACGAGAGACTCATTGCATCTGAGGAAACAGTGATCATCCTTCATCTACTTGATGATGTCTTGGCTCAGTTACATCAGAAACCAGCAAAAACAGATGTCCAAAAAAGAAGACACCCAAGACTGAGTAGTCCTTCTGGCACTGAAGAAGAGCACAGACTCACCAGCACCAGAGTAACTAATGATCCTAGACATGGATGCCTCTTTCCACCCATTAATGTTCCTGACATGGTCCTTTATTCTGAAGATGAAAATAAAGAAATAGACAAGATTGTAGAAAATGTACTGATTTCATCTATCAAAGATGAAAAAGCAAAATTACAAGAACAGGCTCCTGATCACTGGTTAACAAGGGAAAATGCTGATTTGAAGTACAAAAGAAATATGAACTTATCTACAAAGCCTGCTTATCAAGATGAAATAGCATTTCATGATTGGGGATTAAAGACTGACCTTCCAGCTTTTAATAATGACCTTTTTAAGGACAAGCCATGTTTGAATAAAGACCTTTTGATTTTCAGCCAAGATGAAAAGCATCAAATACAAAAAGCCTCAGAAGATATAATTACAAGTATTTTAGCACAGATGCTCCAAGACCTATCTTCTGGGCTCTCTGGTCACTCAGGTTATAAAAATGATAAGGAAGCTTCACTTCTTACATCAGGAAGCCCACGAGATCTGTCCAATCAAGAATGGATGAACCAGATGTTCTCTGCATCAGAAATCCAAATAGTAGCTCAAGAAATTGTAGATGCTGTATTAAAAATACTTCACATAGGGGTGCCTGGGTGGCTCAGTTGGTTAAGCAACTGCCTTCAGCTCAGGTCATGATCCCGGAGTCCCAGGATCGAGTCCCGCATCAGGCTCCCTGCTCAGGAGGGAGTCTGCTTCTCCCTCTGACCTTCCCCCCTCTCATGTACTCTCTCTCTCATTCTCTCTCTCAAATAAATAAATAAATAAAATCTTTAAAAAAAATACCTCACATAGCTTATAGTCACATTATCAGACATTCTTCATCAGTACCTCAAACTTCTCTAGATAATGCTGACATACCAAATAAAGAGCCATTAGAAATATGGCTTGAGAGTAACAGGAAGATGAAATTTTTATCTGTACTTGACATAGACCCTACAAAACATCCCTGGTTAGAAACTGAAGAAACTGAATCAACACCTGAACCTGTAGTTCACATTAATGATAGGATCACTTACACAGTTAAGAAGCTGAACTCATTTGTCCAAAATTGCAAAACTGCTTTAAACTAGAAAGCCATGCTGACCATTCAAAACCTGCACCTGACAAGAAATCTTCATTTCAATCTCACCTTAGTACTTACACAACTAAAGTGGTAAAAATTGTTTTGGATGCTATCCAGAAAGAACTCAAAGACAATAAGAAAAATCTAAATCTTGGGAAGTGTGGCCCTCCCAAAGACTTTATAGATACAGGAGTTTTTGCTGACAATGAAAAGGAATTAGACTCTGTTGTCACAAAGCTAAATAATGACATTATGACAAGTTCGTTAGCAACTTGCATTTGTGAATTGTTAAGTGGAAATACAGGTAAAAGCAATGTTCTCCCTTCAGATAAGCTAAGGTCTAAAATCTCATATGAAACTGCTGAGATTGATCAACAACAACTTGTGCCTTCTCAGTGCCCTCATATGCAAGAGGAAGTTCACAAATGTACCAGATTGCAAGTGTTAGAATTGGGGATACCTTATATGACATGTTACACAAGCTCATAGGAGACCGTCCATGTTCTCCCCTATCTGATGAACAAAATAGAGTGGATCAATGAGAATTTGAGAACAACTACTGCATGACAAATATTCAGCTCATTTCTTATACAATTCTAGAAGATATCATTAGAAAATTATGTAGTGCTGAGATGGATCAGATTTTCACAAATTCAGAATTTAAGGCTATCAGATTATATTGATACTGACAGCCTATCACTTGCTTTGCTTATTGAGGAAATGGGCATATGCTCTCACATAATCTCTAGCATGTTGTTCAGTGTGATCCAGCCAGGTAGTCAAGAGGTGACTAACAACAAGGGAAAGACAACTGCCCCCAAAACAGGAACCACAAAAGAAGAGCACCCAAATAAACTGGAAGTCATGGCTTCTGATAGCTTTGAAATGGTTTTTGCCAAATTGAAAGGGTTTGCCGAAAGAAATTTAGAAACTCTGGGCACTATAATCAATGGAAATAAAAAGAGCAACAAGAGGTACTGGGAAAGTGAAAGTATCAACATTTGTACAAACACACATGAAAAACAACTGCCGTCTGCTTTATATACGCATGCAGAGAAAGTATCAAGTACTATTTTGAAGGCTATTCAAACAATTAAATGTGAGCTTGCCAGATTTGGAAACAGGCATAACCAAGCCACTACAGGAGAAAGAAATGCTTAAGAATCTAGTCGATTTAATTTTAGATGCAGGGCCTCCTCATATATTTAATGGAACTGAACCAGAAGAGCAAGGCATTGAAAATTACAGATACAGGCCAACCTCTGGAAATTTTCTTCCAGGAGGGGCTGACCCAGAGTCCTATCTAGAAGATCCTGCAGATACAGAGAAAGAAAGTGCTGGAGAGGAAAGACCACCAGAAGAAACTAAATCAGAATCTCTTAAGCAATGGGAACTAGAAAGAACATTTAAAAAATTTGAAGTAGAACTCAAAGAACCAGAAAAGTCCCCAGTTGTGCCCATTATAAGAAATATTTTGAATGAAATTTTTCAGAATGACTTAATTGATCAATTAAATGTGCTTACTCTCTCCCAGTCCCCTTTATGTGACATTCCTCATCCTGGTGATAAGCCAGTTGCTCAAAAATCAATTCAGTCTATGGATAAAATAATGGATCCTTTAGTATCTGAGGCAGATGTAACCGTTGTTGTAGATAATGTTGTTAGGACCATACTTCAAAAACTTTATTCTGCTGTTATGACAGATAGAAATGCAAGTGAAAATACATCTAACATTATCACCTGTCCAGCACATATCTCTTTTCCTGAACACGCCAGTGGAGAAAAGGCCTCTCTTCAGTGTACCATACTGGACAGAAATCCATGCACACTTCAGTCCACATTTAGTAGTGGTAAAATGACCAAAGTGAATGTAGTTGAAGATATTATACAGTCAGTATTAACAAATTTAGAAACATTTGCTACTTCCAAAGTAAAAACTCTCTTTTGTCCTCACATCAATTTCACAATTCCAATGGTTTTGCCTCTACAAGAGGATGAGACTGTTTTCAGCCAACCATGGCTATCAATCAAAGATTCATATTCTGGTGATCAGTTTTCCTATTGCTCAGTGGATCATAACAAGTCAGGAAAGACCACCTCAATATGTCAACTGACTGCCTGTAAATTAAATTCATATTCAACAGAAGTGGCTAGACAGATTTTACAAGGAATCAAACATAAGTTAGATAAGGAAATGAAAAGTCCATTCTTAATCCATAATACTGTGGTTTCTGACAGTATCCCAAGCCAGGTTGTTAACACAGTGTTAAGTATTGTGTCTACTAAAGGCAAATATGAAAAAAACCTGTTTGACAGAGAAATTGATACAGGTCAGCCAGAAGATATTGTTGAAAAGCTGTTCAATAAAAGTGACTATCGAAGAAAACTTCAATTTCAAATACTTGATACCATCAAGGGTATCTTAGGTGACATCTGTGAGAAAACACTAGACGAGAATAATCTACTTGCTGCATCCACTCTTTAACAAGTGTAACAGAAGTGGGAAACATTTAGAAGCAAACTCTGAAATAAACCCCAAGTGTGCAAATAAAGCTATTCCAATGCTTTTAGTTCCTAAGTCGTGTGTCACAATGATTTCCAGTGATATGGTGGATATTGTTCTTCAAAATCTAACTTCTGCTATCATGCTTGGCATACATGCAAAGGATTCTATTTCTCTGAAATTGCCCCTGACATTTTCTGATGCATTTCCCAAAGCAGAGCATCAACCATCTCCTGTTACAGACTCAATGAATGAGGGGGAAAGGGAGATAATTCCATTTGCAAGAAAGGGAAGAGATGTACAGCTGAAATCAGTTTATTCTGATGATAATCAGACAGCTGTACTTAAAAAACAAGATGCCAAGAAATCTGCTTCCAACCCATGTGAGGAAAATGTTCACTTTATTACTAAAGCCATTTTGAATAGATTAAAATCTTTTGCCACAGAAAGATTTGATACTTACTCTTGATACTAAGACTACAGAAAAAACATGTTGGCCCAGAATTTACAAGTTGTAAACAAAACAACAGCATATTCCTTGAAGCAAACCAAATGCTATCGGATGTGAATATCCTAGAAATCTCAACAGCTAGAACCGTTCTCAGTCAAGAGGTCACAGACTACACATTTGCTAATTACAGGGAAAAACATGGACCTGCAATTAATATATCACAAGCTAGTCTTAGGGAATATGCTGACATAATTGCCAATACCATTTTGATGCTTATAAAAAATGACATAGATTTAGAAATCCAAAAGATGTATTCATATCCAAACAATACTTCATTCCAAGAAAACATAATTGTGAGTGAAACTGTCAACAACATCTTAAAGAGTTTACATGATAAAATATCCTTGAAGGCAAGTAGGTTTTACTCACAGCAGAATCCCAGCCTGTTTACACAACTAGCTGTACAAAATGAAATACTGCCAGGTCAAAGGAAGATGGAAGACAACTCTGAACTGTCTCTTTTTTCAAAATACTCATATCAAAACCAAATTATATCAGAAGCAGAAAACCCAAGAAGGGTTTTGGAAGAAATATTTAGAAATGGAGACTCTAGACAGGAAAAAACAACTGCTTTGTTAAGGGCGGTTAAGGAAATTTTAAAGAAGGTATATCAGAGGGTAATGGAAGACATAGACCACTGGCCTCCATTTAATGAACCCCCCCCCACTCTACATCTGATTCTAAAATGAAAACAGCAGCAGCTTGGAAAAAAACCTTGCAGTCACATATAAGCAGTGTTGCAAATGACATACTTGAAAGTGTTTTCAGAAAAATGTTCTCAATAGTCATGACATCCTTATATGAAAAGAATGAGGCCAGGGGAGAATTGGAAGCATCTGGCCATGATGAATTACTGGTGACCCCATCAAGCTTTCGGGAATCAAAACAAGCAGAACAAAGTGTCCCCCCTGAACCTGTGATACTGCGAGCTTACCCTTACATAGGCAGTATCAGTGTCACTTCATTGGAAAACACCTCACTGCAATTTTCTCCATTGCGAATGGGCGAAGAATTGGTCCAAAAGGTTCTCCAAAAGATTACGAATTTTGTTTTGCTGAGTGTAGAAGAGAATTTGTCCCTGAAAGATCAGTCTGATGGAATGCAGTCTCTGAGGCCACGCAGTTCTAATGCTAGTTCCAAAGGCAGCCCTAATGTAAGTTTTAAAACAGACTTCAAAGCAAAATCAAAAGTTATCTCTTTGCCTAAATTCAGAACAAAACCACAGATAGGACCTAGTGGGGCTAAGGCCAAAAGTACGTCCAAGTCCTAGAGAGAAGACTTTCAGAGGCAGTCAGTCCAGTACTGCCATTGGTCTGCCATACCTGCTATCCATAGGGGATGACAAAAACTCCTTGGTGAGAACAAAACTCCCCACTGCAGAACTAAAAATGTATGCCAAGGATATAGTAAGCAATATTCTGGAAACAACTGTGAATGAATTTCAAAAGGTGAGGCAAAATAGACTAATGGTAAATGTAAACACTTTAACTTCTGATCAAATCATGACAGCAAGTAAAATAGTTAATGCAGTTTTGCAAGGATTATATGCTACAAAGAATGACAATCTGGCCGACCAGATAAAAGGCTCATACTCACATGATCTCAAACTTTCACAGAGGAATTTTAAGACAATTTCTCTTGCAAATCCAGAAGTCCATTTCTCTTTGGAGAATGTTTCTTCCCAGCTAGAGAAATTCTTCCCTAAAGAAGGTATTTTTAGTCAAATGTTTGATAAATGGCAAACGGAATCAAATCACATGGAAAATGAAAAATATAAGCTATTGATGATAGCTGAGACTGTTTTGAATGAAATTTCAATGAAAACAAAGGAATTAGAACAATCTGTTTCACTTTTAAATTTGTCACCTCTTGAGGCTTGTGAAAGCAGGTACCATAACTTTAAAAGATCTGCTTCTGGAGCTGAGGGTTCCCAAGCACAAATTAATATATTTGGTCAGGAAATTGTTTAAAAGCTATTAGAAAAATTAGAGGTGTACTTCATGACTCAGATGTTCATAACAGATGGTAAAGAAATGCTAGAAAGCAAGAAAGAAACTACCTCTAGAAGTCAATGTAGCTCCTTAAGAACAAACAACCTCAACAATGTACCAATCTATAACACAAAGCTGAAAGACAAAATATATGGGGGCTCTAACCACCAAATTGCTCAAGAGATCATGTAAGGGGTTCTGAACACCTTAGAATCATTTGTAGACCTACAATTTAAACATATCTCTATATACGCTTTTTCTGAAATTGTGAAAATACCTTTTGAAACTTTTTTGCTGTCCAACAGAAACCATTCATGAAAACAATATTGCCCAAGCTACAACCACTGAATAAGCTTCCTAATGGATCTAAATCAAGTAGTATGATTTCCCAGGAGAACGTGCACAATACCCTTCGACAGCTTCACTCGTTACATTCAGAACTGCTTACTTAGGCTGCTAATACTGTCAATGACATGCTTGGTATAATTAAGAACAAGTTAGACAAAGGAAAATGCCAAATGGAACCATCGTCAATAAGCATATTTGAAAAAAACATTGTGGCAAGTCAGATTATCAGCACACTGATGGACCAATGTACTCATTTCTATGAGTCGATGATCAAAAGCCATCCAAAGGAAAATCTGCTCCAACTAGCTGAAAATGCCTACACTGCCAATTGGCCCAGATTTGCAACTGGGATGGGAATGTTCACTTCAAAATCAAAGGGAATTAACTGCAGGGATGATCTTCCACAAATCCCTGGCTTATTTTTTTATTCAGAGGAAGATAGTAAAGTAAAGGAGAAGGCTTCATCAAATCTACCTTCATATGTCAGATACTCTTCAGGAGATACACTTAAAATCACAGAGCTGTTGGAAGGGCTCGAATCGGAACTTAAACCGTTACATTCTAGAAGTGAAGCCCAAGGCCTTAGCCATTTTGATCAAGGGGTGGAAGGAAACAGCTCTCTCCCATTACAAAAACCACTTCAGAAATCCGGTGACTCTGTGCAAGCAGCACCAGAGCACCCCATGTCCTTCACAGAAATGGAAGAAGGTGAAAATCCAAAAGTTCTTCATGATGAGTTCCCCAAGCCAGTTAGTAAGCCAAACCAAATACAGACAACCGTTTCTCCACTCAAAATAGGTATAGCTGCAGGAAATATTGTTAATACCATGCTGTTGAGTTATGGCCTTCCAAGCCAAACCGCATATACTAATGAAAGTATAGAAACAATGAAGCCATTTTTTGTATCAAAGGAAGGGCCTTTGTCTGTGATGTCTGAAGAACAAAAGGATGAGAAAAGTTTGCTTAAAATATGGGAAAAAAGAATCAGCTCTAAAACCAAAGCCTTGCAGCAAGTGGAAAAGATTTCACTTTACTGGAAAAGTGGAAAGTTAAGTACCCAAAATTAGAGAAACCAGAATCCCCTGAAGAGGCTGAAGTCATTGCTTTTGCAGATCAGGAACTGGGACCACATGAAATCCACCTAGTAGCAAGATATGTTACTACAGCTGTGGTCACACATTTCAAGAACTTTGAAACCAGAGGTGAGTGAGGGATGACTTATAAAGAGTTGGCATCATTTTAGAGAAAAAAAGTCAATGAGTTTTGTCACTCTCACACCCAAGAAGCTGTATTCATTACTTCTCTGAAAATAGCCTTGGATGTGGGGTGGCTGTTTAACTATGTGCTTTTAAACTGGTCAGTATGCTAAAGGAAAAAAATGTTGAGCACATTTACCTAATTGTTATTTGAAGGAGTATTGTTCAGTTTTTGCTATCAACAGATGAAATTAAATGGGCATAATTTAAAGTGAGATATTTTGGGTGGGCATGAGTTATGACTATGACATGATGAAACCAGTTGTCTTGCTTGGGACATACAACTGCTCCAAAGGCAATTCCCAAATTGAAGTTCAAAGAGGGTTTTCTTTTTCATGTGCTTTTTAAAAAATGACTTCTTAAAGTATAGTCAGACTTCATACATAGTTGACTGTAATGATCCAACTTCTTTTTGAGATATACAGTTAAAGTCTTTGCAGTTATTGATGATAGAGTTTATAAGAACAATGGCATTACACTTCTTGTTCTGTTCATATTCCAGTGTTCTGACTTCTTTTTAAGTACAGTACTCCAAACCCATGTTTACAAATAGGATATCTGCACTCCCTTTCTACGAATGCTTACATGCATATATTGGGTTGAACCATATGAAATAATCATTTTGTGTGTCAAAAACTGTCAAACATCAGTAGTTTCATCCAGTTCAATTTACTGTATACTATATAGTCCCAAACTAGATAATTAGATAAACAGCTGAAAATATTTTCAAGAATTATATGAGGTCTGTAGTCATCACTGGAATCACTCTAGGGCATTGCAACCAAAGCTAAAAATCATTTCTCTGCCCTAGGATTTCCAGCTTTTAATTCCTTATACAAGGAAGAAACCAGCAGTTAGAGATCTGAATTCTATTAGGCTATTTTCTTAACTTCATGGCCGAAGTAAGGTTCCACAAGTGGGAAATAGAGATTTGAAGACAACTCAGTTCCAAAATTTCTTGACTAGGTTTTTCTATTTCTTGAGTTAGGTAAAATTCATGTATAAAATATTGCTAGTATTTTGAATGCTCAACATTTTCCCTTAATGCATGTTAAAAATAGTAATGTTTTCTGTTTTAAGGTCCTCTTGATGAAAAAGTATTTATTGTTTCCACACCGTTAAGGAAAAAATATAAATCAAAACAGCCTCTAAGAAGCATTAACTATGATACTTCACTTTATCAATTTTGTGAACATCTCACTGAATTGGTTATTTCCTATGTAATGTCAAACATTTGTGATTGTATTGAAGATGGTGGAACAAAACAGAAATCACTGGAAAACCAAGATGCAGCTTTTAGCAAGGTTATTTTAATTCATTCACAAGTATTTGTAAGTCAGTCAGTTTCTATCAGAGGACTTGCTTTAAGCATTTCTGAAATCATTATTTGAATCCTTTTTAATAGCGACATTTTAAAGGTAGACATTACACAAGAAATGGTTTCTGTGAAAACAAAATATATTTACTGCCCAAGAATAGCTGTGGCTGACTTCGATGATCTCTTTCAGGATCTCTTAATAGGAGTGATCCATGTTCTGTCCAAGGAAATAGGAATAAAGCATCAGCCTGACAGGAGAGGAAGAAACAAACCACTCTCCAGTCTTAAAAGCCATAGTTTGCCCACTCGCAACAAAACCAAAACTATGAAAAGACAGACAGGCTCCAGAGGTTGGAAGTCATCTCCTACTCACCGAATTAATCAACTAGTACAGAAAAATCTCTGGCATGCAAATTAGGCACTCTGGTTGGTAGCCTAAAAACTCATGAATCCAAAGAAGTAGTCAATAAAATTTCTAATATTGTTTTCAATTTGGTTTTGCCAGATCAATGCCCAAATTGGAATATGGATTCTGGTGAAATACCACGAAAAAGGTTCCTATCTTCAAATAACCAGCAAAGTCATAGAATACCTAGAAATAACTCAGGGCTCTCCCCAAAATCAGTTTTTCTTCTGAACATGGTATGTGAGAAATTTATCAAAATACTTTTGGAAGAATGTACAGCCAACAACCCCCTTACAGATGGTGCTGTTTCTGGTGAAATACCAGCAGAAGGTCAACTCCCCAACATACTTCAAAACATAGAGAATTATTGCAGGGGAACAATGGACCGTGGCTCACCATTTGAAGAATATAACATGTCAGCCCTTTTGGAAAATCTGGCAGAAATAGATCAAGAATCTATGCTTAGTGTTACTTCCCATACCTTAGTAAAATCCTTAATGGAAAAACTGTCCTGTGGTATAAATTGACCTCCCAGAAGTCCACTTTTTGCAAACAAGCATTTAATGTATAGAAGAAGACAAAGACTCCCTGGTTTCCCAAAAATAGAAAGGCCAAAATTAAAAGAATCAAGACAGGGTAAATGCTCTGCAAGATTCATGAATTATGACAGCAAGCCTTTGAGAGAACCACTGAATAATCTCACTGTGACTCATTCCAAAATACAAGCCCCAGTTGGTAAGCAGTTTTCAGGAAAATTCCCTCCTCTACCTCCTCTTCGAAGACCAGGTAAAAAGGAAGAGAATGCAACAGCTATTCTTAACATGCAATATCCAGGAGGCATAAACACAAGGAGTTTATTCTGCCACATTTCTGGAGGAAATATTTGCAGACATTTTCCTTAATCTCTCCACCTCCTTGCAGGGCAAAAATGTAAACATCACTGAAGCTCAGCTCAATGAGATAAATATATTAGATGTCAACTCTGTGGTGAATGAGTTTAACAATGCTCCAGTCACTGTTTTACGAGATGTTGAAGAAAGGGTATGTTTTCCACCAATCGATAAACTGTTAGAAAGATTGTTGACTCAGTTAATAGTGCTGTTTCATGAGAATATGCATTACAAGTTACTGGTGGCAGTCATCTGACACATGCTACCACCTCAACAGCAGAACAGATAACTAACAGCATATTGAGAGAGAGTGCAGAGTACCAACTCCCACTGTGCTTTGTAGGAAAGCTCATGCCTAATTCATATTACCCTCTTAAAGCTAAAAATATATTGCAGAAACTTCAAAACAACCTGAGAGAACTTAATTACCAAGGTCAACATTCAACGGGCTATACTACCATTTTATCACACTCATTTTTAGAAGATGTCATCAGGAAGTTATTATCTCAGCTCATTTCTCCACCCTGTAAGCCTTCATGCTTGGCAAAGAAGTATTTATTGACTTCAGATTTTAATGAGGTATCCACCTGTATAATAACTAAGATTTTGTCAGCCATTTCAAACCATAAGATTTGGCTCACTAAATATGATTGTCAACATCTATATACAGAAAAAAGCCTTCAAAATATGGTGGAGTCTGTTTATAATAATGTTTTACAGATGTCTGACTCTCTTGTGTCAGTCCAGAAAAGTATAGTAAGCCAAAGCCCAATTATGATTGACCAAATGGCCAGTCTCATTATTCAAGAGATTATTGAAAATCATCTTCAACCCTTTTTGTGTGGAGAGGGCTTACCTTGTGCAATGACTCCACTAGATGAAATATCAGATATGGTTAAAGAGGTTCTCAGTGAGGTCACAGGGTCACATAGACCCCAGAAGCCATCATCACTAGGTATGGACTTTTATCCTAATGCATTTGTAGAAGATATTGTTGCCTGGCTATTATCAAAGGTCTTCAATCCAAAATATAACACTGAATGTGAACTGGATAAAATGACCCAAAAATAGTAAACTCAATAAATAACCATTTTAACAAAGCTAAAATCTGCATTCTTCATGATGACCAAGAGCAGTCTTTCCCCACCGTAGATCTAGACACTGTGGATGAACTCGTCAATTCAGTTTATGAGAATGTTCTGCAACAGCATGGACTAACCACTGAGGTTGATAATGAAGAACTCAAAGACAGTGATATTTTTGCAGAAAATGTTACCAATTTAATTGTAGCCGCTATTTCTGATTATCTTTTTCACCCACTGTTTTCTGGGGACTTGTCGGCTTCCTCCTATGCTACTTTAACAGCAGAGAACATTATTCAGAATATCTTTAGTGGCAGCAGTGAATCTACCAAACCAAGCCAGCATTTATCTCCATATAGCACCTTGCTGCCATACACACTTTTAGAAGACATAATTAGAGTGCTGTTATCTAGAATCTTTCCTTCTACATATAACATGGTTCCATACAGCAAAACTCCAAAAGGCAGATCCGGAATTAATTGTGATGAAATCTCTTCAAAGCTAATCAGTGATATTAGGATGAAAATTTCCCAACATGAAATTCGATTTTCAAAAGATGAAGAAGAAACCAAATCTATTTATTCAGAGGACGATGTTCAGCATCTCATCGATTCTGTATTTAGAAATATGTTGCAAAACTCTGGGTCTCAAGAAGCAGTTGAGCACAATATTACAAGCAGTAACAATGTTCTTATTGATAGAATAGCAGGTCTTTATCATTAAAAATATTTGTCAACAGCATCTGCATCCATTTGTGTATGGAAAGTCATTACTTCCTCCATCATATACATATTTTGATGATGTGAGAAGGCACCATTTTTTTGCTGGTGTTTACTCCTCAGCCTTTTTGGAAGATGTAATCTCTGGGGTTTTAAGCAAAATATTCCACAGGGTGTTAGGTATTGTGCAAACAAACTCATTAAGAGATTCAGGAAAAGAACTATTGGAAACAGCTGAAAAACTCATATATTTGATAATGGAAGAATTCTCAAAAGCTCAAGTTAGCATCCTAGAAAATGCTAAGGAACAATTAGCCACCAGTGCATACAGAAGTAGTGATCGAAATTATTGACATGACATATAGCAAAGTTTTACAAGAATATGAACTGGAACCTGGTAAAGACTTTCTCAATGATACAAAAACATTGGCTGAAAGGGTAACTAAAATTATCCTGGCTGAAATTTTTGATTTCCAAATTCATCCATATTTCATAGCAAAGCTGCCTTTTAAATCATATTCAAGACTCCATGCTGATGCTTTGATAAAGAGAGTTCATTATGCTATTAGTAAATCAAGACTCCGGAGACAGACTTATACATCATATACCACCATATTATCACATACACATTTGGAAAAAATCGTCACTCAGGTTTTATCTCAGATAAATCCATTGAACTGCAGTGCAGAAGACCCAGACATTTTGCAGTCAGACTTCCACAACACAGTTGTGAGGCTGATTGATGAGATCATGTCTATAATTTCTAAACATGCAATATGCATTATTAAACATGGAAATGAAAAACAAAATGCGATTTCAGAGAAAGATATCCAGGCTATAGTTGATGCCATTTATGCTGGTATTTCTCATTCAAATCTATATCAGTCTCTTACAAAAGATAAAAAAGGCATAAGTAATATACCTGTTACAAAAATAGCAAGTTATATAATAAAAGAAATATTTAACCATCATCCTGAGTCATTTTTATCTGCAGATAAAATTCTTCCTTCAGGTACAGTGGGTCAAACTTATCAACAGAGAGCAACAGATCCTCAACAGAGAGAATTGTTGTTTATTGTGAATTCAGCGGTCTTTTTAGAGGATGTAATTTCTGATCTTTTAGGCAGAATCCTCTGTGTATTCTCACATAATGTCTTGGCTGCTGAAAACCCATGTAAAGCAAAAACCAATGTAACGAACATTGTTACAACATTAGTAAAATCAATTGTGCTGGAATTCACCACATCAGAAATTTTAGTTGCAGATCACTTGGATGAAAATCTGTATTTTTCAGAAGGATATAAAGAAATAGTCAAAAAAACTGTCAGCCTAATTTATGAAAAACTATTAGATGATTATAAATCTCTGATTCGTATTTATAGAGCTATACAAAGTGATGCTGTCAGTTTTGGGCAAAAAATATGTTATTTGCTATTAGGAGAAATTTATGATTCTCAAGTGGAGTCATTAGTTTTGGGAGAATTATCAGCTTCTTCCTATTCCACCCTCCAAGGTGAAAACATCATCAGAAATGTGCTTGACAGCATCAACGATGATAGCCATGTCTTGCCGTCATGCATCACTGTATTGCCGCGTTCCCTTTTAAAAGATATTACTTATAAGCTTCTAGCACATATATTCCCTTCATCTGAGACCGAAACTGAACTCAATGAGAAAGAGGTGCCACCAGATTATGAGTTTGTGAATACAGCTTCAAAACTGACAGATGAAATTATAACAAATTTCTGAACATGAAATTAGACTTGCCACAGCAGCGGAGCATGTGGAAAGTATGCAATTAGAGGCAAGTGAGAACTTTGTTAACTCCATATGTAATGGTATTATGAAAAAACTTAAATTAGAAAATGAAACACAGCGTGATACATACAAAAAGGGAGGCTTGTTCCTCAGGAAAATAGCTGGTTTCATTATGAAAGAAATTGTGGACCACCATCTGCAGCCATTTTTATATGACGAAGAATCACCTTCCTGTGACTTACCCAAAAATGCCCATATCATTGAACTCTTGAATCCTGAGAAAGAAAAAATACTCACAGGCTTCCCACAGGCTTCTGTGTATTCTGCTACATTTTTGGAAGATGTCATAATTGACCTTGTTCGCAAATTTTATACTCTCCCAAGTATTGCTGAAAACCCTAAGAACAAAGAGATATCAGAAAAAGACCCCATGGGCATGGCTATAAAATTTGCAAATGCCCTGGTAGGAGAATTTAGGAAAAGTAAAATTAAAGTCCTAGCAAATTCTGGAGAAATGTTTCTTTTCCACCAATAGATAAAGAGACAGTCAATAACGTATCTGATTCTGTGTATGATGAGGTCACAGAAATGTATGGATCTAACAATGTTCAGAAAGATGATAGAAGTAACATTGTTATAGAGATGATAGCTGCTTTAGCCAAAAAGGCAATCTCTGCTTTCAAGATTCAACCACTTTTTTCAGGAGACTGGTCTTCTGCCTTCTTTTCATTTCTAAATGTGGATAACATCATCCAAAGAGTTCAACACCTACCATATAATATCTTTACAAAAATAAATAAAAGCTTGAAGGAGAACCCAGTTTCTTCACTAGAACAATTACCTACACTTACTCCTCTAACCTCAGGCCTGAAAGACATAATGGACACTTTGGAAATAGGTAGAGGATCACTTCATGGAAAAGAGAATTCCAAAAAGGAGAAGACATTTATGAAGACAGGCAGCATCCAGGAGCCGATATGTACCTCTCTAACTAGCATTGTGAAGGGCGAATTAACTACCCTAGCATCAGGTGTAGTTGGAGGTGTGGCAGATAAGAAGAAAGGGGATGCAAAGAAAAAGGAAAGGTCAATTGGAAAAGAGAATGAGAAGGCATCAAAAGTTACTTCTCCAACAACTAATGTGGAAAGTGAAGATACTCGGGGACCAGATTTGAGTATGGCACCTAAAAAGAATGAAAGCAAGAAGAAAGACACTTTGGGTATAAAAGAGGAAAAAGGGCAAGGTGATGAGGTATACCAAGATCTTTCATCAGCTACTGATGACACAAAAAACAAGAAGCTTGTCCTGGAACCAGATTTAAAAATAGATAAAAAGAAGAGTGACAAGAAAAGAGGGAGTTCATTAGAAAAAGACAATAGAACTTCTGAATTACCATCTCTGAAATCCAAAGTGAGAAACAGAAAGATCCAAGAGAAGAGGAGAGATTCTCCAGCTTATGGAGTTACAGATGACAAAAAGACCTTGCGTCTTAAACGTGTCCAGAATTTCACTGAAAGCATTTACAGAAATGTTTTAGAATTGTCTCCTTTCCAAGAACCAGTAGATGATTCAAAATCCCCAAATCCCCTAGGTGATAAAGCAGTATATGTAACTCAAGCAGATGGCAAGGGTTTTGCCCAGCCTGACTCAACAAATCCAGCTAAACACAATGCTCCTGCAAAAGAGGAAGAGAATAAAAAAAGTAAAGATAAAGAGATTAAAAGTAAACCTAGTAAACCAGACAATCCACCAGAAAATAACTGTGGGATTTTTCCTGCTAACTTTTTAGGAGATGTTCTCTCTGAAACAGTAAACAAATTGGTTTTTGATTCCTCACTGGGTACAGATGATGCATGTCAAAGTAACCAAAAATGTAAATCAAACTGAGCTCTGTGACACAGCTATGAAACTGATTGATTGCCTGTTAAAGGAGTTTTCAGATGCTCAAATTAAAGTATTGAACCTAGGTCAGGGAAGTCAGTTCTTCCCATCTATAGATAAAGTTTCATCAGTTCACAATGTACCTCTCAGGCAAAAAGAACCATCTGTGAATTTATAGCACCTCGAGAGAAAAAAATGGCAGCTGCAACTAAGATAGATTCTTTAGATGAGGCACCTTCTATGGCTAACATATCATCAAGCGATAAAATGTTGGTCAACAAGATTGTCCACTCCTCTATATGCAATATTTTGCAGGAATACAGATCTCAAGACTCCATTTATAAAGACATAAATAGTAATGGTGAAAATTTAGCAAGAAAGCTAGCTAATGCAGTAATAGAAGACATTTTTCAGCATCAGCTAAACTTGCTACTTTATGATGAGGTTCCGGCTGCAGCATGTTTGCCTCTAGAATCTAAGGAGGTAGTCCAAACAGCCTGCAAAGAATGTCAAACATCATCACCATATACCATAATGCTACCTTATGAATTTTTAGAAAGTATAATTTCTTTTCTTTTATCAAAAACTTTCTCAACAGTAGCCAATGCTAAAACAGAAATATCTGAAGATAATTTGCACACAGAACTGGATTTCCTTCAAATGAAGTTAGTAAGTACAATTATGACAGAGATCTCCAAAGATGAAGATAAGATTGTACAGTATGTAGAATCCTTACATCCTAATGACGATGAAATTATTCAATTAGTGGCTCAGACTATTTATAATAATCTCTTGCCACAATTTGGATCTCAAGAGAGCATACAAAATTGTGTCAGCGGTGGTTGCAAAATCCTTTCAGAAACCATAGTTAATTTAGTTGTATAGGAAGTGACTGGCAACCAATTGCAGAACTATTTTTCTGGAGAGCTAACGTCACATGAGTATACAGAAGTTGACAGTGTTGTTGAAAGTATCCTTAAAGATGTCATCCAAACCACTGAAGTTCCCCAGCCTCAGCCATCATGGGCTTACAAACTGCCTTTTTACATAATAGAAGAAATTGCTGTAAATTTTTTGTCAAAGCTTTTATCTATGTTTCCAAAAGTGGATAAGAAACAAAACAATTCTCTAAATGCTGAAATGCAAACAATAATCTCAAAAATCCTAAATTCATTCCAAGAATATCTCTCTAAAAGTCTAATTATAGTAGTGCCACAGGCAAAGAATCACCCACTGTATCTTTAGGAGACAGTACAACTATTGAAAAAGTAGTTACTTCTGTTTATAACAGTGTTTTAAGGCGCTCTGGCCTCCCATATTTCAGTGTATAAAGATTTAATTGGTAAGAGCAATGTCCTTTCTGATATAATAGGATTTTTAATGGTGAAGGAAATTTCCAATTCAGAACTTCATCCTCAAGTAGAAGAAGAAGCATCAAGTTCAGAGTTAGTTCTGGAAGCTGTCAAAATTATGGAAAAAGTGGTTAAGATCATTGATGACCTTAAGTCAAAGAAAAAGCCTTCAACCAAAAAAGAGACTGTGTTAGATGCTAGATTTTTAGAGGAAATGCTGGCCTTGTTCTTGGCTAAACTAGTAAAGTTGCCAAGTGTCTCAAGCAGAGATGTGAAAAACTTATCAAAGTCTGAGGTAAATAAAATTGCATCTCAATTGACAAAATCTGTGACAGCTGAAATTTCCAGAAATAACATTAGTGTAGCTGCTAAACCTGAAGAAACATTTTTAAGTCCAGAAAGTATAGAAATTATTTCTCAGATCATCGATTCTGTTTATAATCAGGTACTACAACAATCTGGAACTCATGAAGAACTTTATTATGACATGAAAGGTACAAACAATGTCTTCCCTAAAGAGGTAGCTTCTTTACTCATCAGTAAAATTTCCAATTGTCTATTAGAAACAATTAGCCCAAAAGATTCACAGGCTGATCTCTTTGGCGATTTGGATCTTAGTCGAATTGTTGAAAAGGTGCATGAGCATGCTGTTAAAAGAGGGCCTGAGCTAGAGCAAAAAGAATTAGGTCAAGATTTAAGTGAAGAGGAACTTCCAATTAAAATAATTCCTCACCGTGGGAAACAACCAATCAATATCGATCCAGACATTGTGGCAGATCACCTAGGAGTCATTTCTATAAAAACACCACCTCTTGAGAAACTGCAGTTGGAGTGTTTAACTAGAACCGGATGCAGCATCGAGGCACTGAGAAGAGTGTCAGTGAGTGGGAGGAGTCACTCAATGGGCACACCTGATGCAGGAAAGCAAAAGCGAGAAAGACGCATCTCATTGGATGAGGTGGGACGATTGAATGTAAAACCATTAGAGGTAAGTGCTAAACGCAATGGTGAAAAGAAATGAGTAGTTACTGAGTCCTGGTTGTCCTGTGATCTCCTTCCTCGGGGAGGTCTATGGGAATGCATTTATAAAATATGGTCAATTTCCTCTTGCCCAGCACAGTAGAATTGGGACACTATGATTCAGCCACTTCTCTGCTTTCCTGGGACTCACCCATCAGCAGTGTGGCTCAGCGTAAAAGTGGCAGGCTATTTTCCATTAGCCAGTCAGACTGAACTGCCATTTCTTGAAGAATGGAATACAGGGAAATACCCTTACCAGCAAACAGGACTGAATGGAACTGTAGTCCTCATTTGGCAACCCGAAAGAAATGCAATTTTTATAGTCCCCACAGTTCTTTTTAATGGATATACATTATCATAGTATTATATGGGTCCAAAAGGGCCAATTAGAATAACAGGTCAACCTGTTAAAGATTGAAATCCTCAAACTTAAGGCTCCACAGTAGTATTGTTTTTACTTAGCAACATTCATCAACAAACATCAGACTGCAAGCTCTTTAGAGTTCATTTGCTTCTTATTTCACTTCCATTACATAATACTTTCCCAGTTTCCTATACTCTTACATACTGAGGAGGGACCCAGTTTCTTTCCTAGTCTACCCTTGTTCTAGACCCAGCTGTCTTCATACTTCTATTTTTATGAACTAGTTTTTCTGCAGTCTTATATTTGGGCTTTAAATATACTTTAAAGGGGCTCGAAATGCCAAAACACTGTCCTTGGTACAATATAACTATTGAAAAAGTAGTTCTGTTTACAGATTTTAGGGCACTAGGGCATAGGGATGGTCTTTCAGGGAGATGGAGTTACACTAATCCAGCCCCACATTCTCACATAATACCAAAGTCCATCTGCATAAATGAGCCTCTTGCAAGGATGATGGTATGCACTCACACTCAGGATATAGTCTGTGATTTACAAACTGAGCAAAGTTCTATAGAACCAGCCTGCCTGGAGCACAAGCCTAGGAGTGTGTTTTCCTTAGCATTATTTTCCAGCCCATTGAACTAAGTCTCAGAGCTGGTGAATACATTACGGGTACTTTTTTTTTTTTTTTTTAGTCTCAAATACTGAGATTGTCGTAGACACTGATGGAGTCTCCTTGGTCCTTAGTTTCTTGGACCAGTTAAAGGTCCTTTCCAGTTCTAAAATGTCCTTTTCTCTCTGGGTTCCTCAAAATTACATTATCATTTACTTAGTAGCTTTCATTTATATATAAGTAATTCCTTGGGCACAAGATCTATGTGTTGAAACTATAGAACATTCCTCTAAGTGATTACCTCTTAATCACCTGTCAGTTTTGGCTACCTGCTTTCTTCTTTTACATCCTTTATCAGTACTTTAACTATCTCTTTATAGCCCACAGAAAGTTGGAAGAGAATAGCTAATCCAAAGAAACTACTGCTGCTACTCGTAAGGGAAGCAAAGGCTATCTCAGGGAAAGCAAATGGACCTAGCTAGCTCAGTTAAGACAGATGCTTTGCAGCTAGGTGGACAGTGGTGCTGTCCATCCCCAACGTGGGCATGGAAGTTTCAGAAAGAACAGGAGAGGGGCGCCTGGGTGGCTCAGTCAGTTAAGCGTCTGCCTTCGGCTCAAGTCATGCTCCCGGGATCCTGGGATCGAGCCCCACGTCGGGCTCCCTGCTCAGTGGGGAGTCTGCTTCTCCCTCTCCCTCTTGTGCTCTCTCTCTCAAATAAATGAAAGTAAAACCAAAAAAAAAAGAACAGGAGATCAGTTTAAGGAACCCAGGCAACTCCCAGGCTAGTCCTCAGTTAGGAATCCATAAGCAATGCTTCATTTGCTATTCTGAGGTACCAGAACTTCCCAACACACCAGACAAATGCCTATCAGACTCCTACAGTGACACATCCTGGAGCCACAGAGACGACTTTGAGCTTTTGAACCACTATTTCCCTCCACCAGCACAGATCATCAAGACTGATTATGTTTCAGTTTCTTACAGGAGTTCTTCTTTCATTTTGTTTTGCACAAAAGATACTACGGTAAAGGCAGCATTTATCTGAAACTCTGGGTTGCAGTTTTACAGAGATCTAAGATTGATAACCCAAATTAATGTAAAGGTTCTGTGGCATCATCAAAGGCTACAGAAATGGAAAAGTCATTTATGACTGATCTGTCTTTACCATTGCAAAATGGAAAGTAACATTTGACCAGGGAGGTGAGGAGGAATGAAAAGTTACTCTCTGAAGCTGCCTTTGGAAAATATGTTCAAGGGTTAGAATGTGGAGGGTGAAAAGTGAACATGCAAAGTCTTTCACAATCATGTTTTAAAATCCAGGTCAGCCAATACCTTGTCTTTTGTTCATGAAAATATCTACATTTAGATTGCTCTTATGATTGGTTCTCTCACTAAAAGTTTAGAAAAACATGTCCTAAATCTGTCACAGAACTTTCCAGGTAAATGATGAAAACAGAATGTAATTACAGTATTTGTGCATTTTGCATTTCTTGGCAAGTAAAAAGTAAAATTTGAAGCAAAAACAAAACTTACTAGGGTTCCCTTCTTTGGACTGGATAACATTATTCTTTTTTTAAGATTTTTTATTTTTTATTAGAGAGAGAGTACAAGTAGGGGGAGCAGCAGGCAGAGGGGGAGGGAGAAGCAGGCTCCCTGCTCAGCAGGGAGCCCGATGTAGGGCTCGATCCCAGGACCCCGGGATCATGACCTGAGCCGAAGGCAGACACTTAACCATCTGAGCCACCCAGGCGGCCCAAGGATAACATTCTTGAATGCAAAAAAAAAAAGGATTACTGAAATGAGCAAATATTGCTTATGATTTTTATTTATTTCTTCTTTTAAATATATCACTATTACATACACACACACACACACACACACACACACACTCTACCAGTAAGTGGCATTTGAGGATAATTTTACTAAATTGAAACGGAAAACCATGTGAAAATTGCTTTATTACTACAGAACCATAGGAAAAATGACTGAGGCAATAGTTTTTAATATTTTCTCTTCAATTCCAGACTGCTAGTAGGAATTCATGCCTGACATCACCAAAGTGGAGCTTTTAAAAGATGTCCACAGCAAAAAAGATCTTATCATTCGTTTGGTAACTCATGATATTAATCAAGAAGTTTCAGAAAATAAAGTGGAAGAGGGCTTAACTTCCGATGAAGAGGAAGTTGTTTTACAAGACGTTGAGAAAGAAGAACTTCCAGAAGGCCCATTGGAAGATCAAGTAAAAGAAGACATGAAGCCCATTACAAGCACAGTGGCTTTTTCCAAGCCACTGAAGAGCAAGAGAAATCTGAAAAAATTTTTGTCACTAGGAAAATGTTATCATTGCAAATCCACTGAAACTACAACAAATACTGAATCATCACCAAATCAATGGACAGAATCTGAGGAGACACAGCGAAGAATTGTTTCTAATGCTGATATGACTACCTCCAAATCCTCGACTGGCACAGATTCTTCCTTTTGGGAGAGAAAAACACAACTAAGTGTAAGTGACAAATGGGACTCTCAGTGACCGGGTTTCTATAGAGAAGGTACAGAGTTTCACAAACTTAGTCCAAGTAATTTACATTGGGTAGGAAGAAGAGGGCAAAAACTGAATCCGGACAGTCTCTCCCAACTTTGATGGTATTTACAACTACAGGGAAATGACTAACAGATGAAGTTAGAAGCCTCAATTGAAGAAAAATAGATCATGGAAAATGTTCTAGGTTAGTCAGAAGCACAAGAAAAACAGAAAAAGGAAACCAGTTAGGAGAAGAGCAGTCTAATTATTTAAAATCATATGTTTAATTTTTCTTTGTACTCTGACCTATAAAAAGTCACTGGAAGTTTTGTTTGCAGAAACTCCATGCCAGTGGGCAGGACCAGAAAATGGGCTGGAGGAGAGTAAAAAGATTCATGCAAATTCAGCCTATCTGGGTTTGAATTCTGGCTTTGCCACTTAGTAGCTATGTGACCTTTGGGCAAGTTACTCTCAAAATTTCCTTACCCAATTTGTTGAAACATAGCAAGTTATTCAAAGTATGTTGAATATTCCTCAGTCCATAAGCCCCACTATCACTCTGACACACAGCTCCTGTCCCTGGTTCTGTATCATTCTAGTGATTGATCACTTATCATCCTCTTGGGTTGGCCCTACCCAAAAAAAAAAAAAAATTGCACTGTACATGCATTTGGAAGATACACATGATTTAGGATTTCCTGGTGAGACAGTCCCCCTGGATTATCCATTTGCAATGATTTCCAAGTTAACCCAGAAACTGCAGTTAACCCAGAAACTACAAGAAAACACAGAGATACAACTCTGGCCAATTCAGAGGCTCACCAGGACAGTAGCCTCAACACAAACTCACATCTGTTTATTAGGATCTATTTATTAGGAAGCCATGTGAGATTTTAGGGGCAAACACAGTGTGCCTGATCAGAATGCTGGCTACATAGATAACTAAGGAAACATTATAGTGTATTTTACTTAATACAAAATCTCCTTTTGTAATTACCTGACTTGTACTTTTCCAGAGAGAAGAAAGTAATGCTAGTACTGAACTGGCATATTACTTCTTACATAGAATTATGAGTTCATCCTCATACAATGAAGAGGGTCTGCCTTCATTTTCTAGGTACAGTCAATTAAAGCAATTGAGTTGGCTACGAAAATAGAAATCCAAAATGAAAATTATGTTAATGCGAAGCACGGGCCCCTCAAGTAAACATGTGAGAAAGCCAGTGTCTCTCCCCTCAAACTCCCCTCACTCCTTCCCCTCGTTCTCCTCTGTGGTTACTTCCTGGGCCTCCCTTTTCCATGTTCTCTCCTATTTCTATTTATCTGGCCTCTACTTCCTTCTTTCTAGTATAGTGGTCTAGTTAGTATAGTTAGATTAAGTCTTTAATGTGTTAGATTCTGGAACCTAAGAGACAGGCCCTGGGTCAACAGTAGTTCCTGCACTAATGGCCCACCTAAAGGGCTTCCTACTTAGTTTCCTTATGTACCTAAACACTCAACAGTGTGGCCCTGACTGTCATAGGGATCCCCAAAATGGAGAGGTTATGTAAGTTGGAGCATTCAGGGAAGAATCCTCAAAAGCAGTGGAGTTTGAGTTGGGCCTTGAAGGATGGATGAGCTTTAGACAAGACCATCCAAATTGGGGAAGACTGTAAGAGAAAGGATGGACTCTGCAGTATTTATAGGAGACAAAGAGGAATAAAGTACACTGTAGACTTGAAGTCTGGTTAACGCTTTTTCTAGAATAGCCTAAATATGCCTAAAATTGTTCCAGTGTTTATAAGAATATCCACAAACTGGGAAGGGTAGCATTTTGTATCATGGGAAAACTAGGGTATAAGGAGAAAAATCTACCTGATTATATTCTTTTCTACTTGGCACTATGAAATTAAGGTATCTTTTTGACCTGATGCTGTTTTAGGACACCTACCCCTAACCCACCATTGATCCTTTCTCCCTTCAAGATTGTTGTAACATACCTAAGTAGTAAAGCAGGCAACTCTCAATTATTTGTGTCACCAGAGAAGATAAGAGGGCATATATAAAACCAAATAAAAGTCAATGTAGCAGTCATTTTCACTTGATTTGATAACTCAGAGACATACCATTCTAGATTTACTTCTATATGAGTAATGATTTTGACACTGTTGTTTTACTTAACCAGTATTCCTTCATATATTAAATACACAGTAAATAAAATGTCTTTTTCCTTTTTTTTAGTGATGATGATGATCGTCCCTCAGATCCAAGTGCCAAAATAACAGAAGGTTGGATTGATTTTTTTTCTTAGATACTATTTAAAGGAGACTTTGTTCTTTGCTTGAAATGATAAAATTGATAAAATTTCCTCTTATGAAACATGAAATTAACACTAAGTTTTCTAATAGGTTGACCTACTTTGAGGGAATAGTTAACATGAGCCAATGAGTTTGCTTTTTCTGAATCACCAAAATTTCATTAATAATTTTGGTATAAAGTACATGATGTGATATTATGGGTGTAAAATTGCCATGCTCCTGTAGGAAATATCCAGAAAATATGGGTTTATCACATCTAAATGTGGATGGAGCTCATGCTGCGAGGATTTAATCTCTCTTTAAGAGTGTATCCTTCCTTTGTAGGACTAGCTTAGCCCCAGTAAAATATATTTAAAAAGCTTCTATTTTTTTAAGATTTTACTTATTTATTTTTGAGAGAGAGCACTAGCATAGGGGAGAGGCAGAGGGAAAGGGAGAAGCAGACTCCCTGCTGAGCAAGAAGCCTGCCCTGGGGCTCAGTCCCAGAACCCTGGGATCACGACCTGAGCCAAAGGCAGACTCTTAACAAACTAAGCCACTCAGGTGCCCCCAAAAGCTTTTAAAGCTAAAAATTAAACCTAAATTTATTTATGTTAGAATCTGGCTAGGGTAGACTTCACTTTATCTTTTGTCTCAACTTGAGTTTTTAGTCCCCATTCTTTTATTTTTTTTCTGAGTGCAATGTACTTCACAATACAAATTTAAAGAATTTTTAAAGCATGAAATAATATACAGTTTTTTTTCAATTTTAAATATTTGATTTCATTATATAGATGCAGTATCATCTACTTACAAATTTTCAAAGATTATCAGGTATTTTCCATTTAGATAAATAGATAGATATCCATGTTCGTATGTTTATATGCATATATTTATGTGTACTGAGTAGGCAGTGACGGATACTTTTCTATATCTCTGCAAATATGTCTGGAGGAAAAATTCTAGAAGACAAAGAGGAAGGACTTTTATAAAGGCTTTCAATGCATAATTTTAAATTATTTTAATTACCCTAATTATTTTAATTAAATATTTAATTAATTAAAATAATTATTTTAATTACCCTAATTAATATCTCTCCAAACTGTGTAATATACAGTTTTCAAATATTTATTTTCCCACATGATGTGGCCATCTCCCAGGTTTTTTTAAAGATATTTATTTATTTATTTGAGAGAGAGAGAGCATGAGAAGGGGGAGGGGCAGGGGGCGAGGGAGACGCAAACTCCCCACTAAGTGGGGAGCCCGACACGGGGCTGGATCCCAGGACCCTGGGATCATGACCTGAGCCAAAGGCCGAAGGTGGACGCTCAACGGACTGAGCCACCCAGGCGCCCCGGTCCCCTATTCTTTTAAACTGCAAAGGATCAATGTGGTTCTCACAGTGGCAGCACTGGCCTAAAGTTGGGGGTGTAATGTTTACTATAAAGGTGGCCTTGAAATACAAACTGCAGGACTGGAGTTGACCTTGATTATTTCAAGCCTGCAACCCACTCAAAAGGTTACTCAAGAAAGCTATCCTCTCCATTTGTAAGTGGAAACATTTATTAAAAGATGAACCATAGAGTATTGTTAAGTTTGCCAGAATTCCATGAACAGGGCATAGTCAGAAGATGAGAGAACGTATCAATGGTGTGCAGCCTGCAGTATGGAATCATTATAGGCTGTTAGAGCCAGAAAGAAGCCATCTACTATAACCTCAATTTAAAGATGAAGAGCCTGAGGTTCAGAGTGGGGAAGTGCCTTGTCCAAGGTCATACATTGAGTCAGAGTATAGATCCTAAGTCTCCTAAACCTGAATCCATTGTCTTGTTTTCCTCAACTTCATTGCACTACATTATGCTTAGTTCCTGTATCCTTTGGTAATACTGCACCTGTCCAGTTGGTTCATTCAATCACGTTCAACAAAGATTCTCTGAGCATTTTCTTTGTGCTGGACACTGTCCTGAGTTCTGGAGATAAAGCCATGAGTAAGAGAGACAAAGTCTTTACCCTCATTCTAACTTGGGAGCCAGGGGCAACATAAACACAATAAATCTAGATAAAAATAAGTACCCCCCCATCTCACACAGGGTAAAAGCCAGTGGCTTACAAGGCTCCACATGGTCTGGACAGCATTCCCCCCTCCCCATGACCTCTCTGGCCACCTCTCCTATGATCCCCTCTTAATCACTCCACCCCAGCCACACACACCCTCAGACATGCCAGGCATTTTCCTTTCTCAGAACCTTTGCACTTACTGAGCTGACGAAAACACTCTTCTCCCAGGTATCTGCAGAGCTCACTCCTCACCTTCTTCAGATCTTTGCTTAAGTATCATCTTCTAAGTAAAGCCACCTCTGAGCACCTTCTTTAAAATTGCAACCCCAGAACTCACTGCCACCCCAGCACTCCCTATCCTCCTGCCCTGCTTTAATTTGTTCCCTAGCATTTATACTATCTGATAGATTGTGTGTTTTTGTTTGTTTGTTGACTGTCTCCTTCCCCTAGAATTTAGCTCCATGCGGGGAGGGATTTTTGTCTGTCCGCCATACCCCCACATACCTAGAAAACAGGCACACAGTAGGCACTCAGTAAGTATTTGTGGAATTCATGAGTGAGTAAGAAGAAAAGAAAGCTAGAGAGTGGCTGGCTAGATTAGGCTGATCCAAGAAGTCCAGCAACATTAGACCTTAATGACAAAAGAAAGCAGCCACAGGAAGATCTGGAAGCAGAGGATCCCAGGCACAGGGTACAGTAAGTGCAAAGACGCTAGGAGGGGATGAGCTTGGCATGTTAGAGGAAAAGAATAAAGGCCTGTACCTAGAGCCCAGTGAGAAGGAAAGTGGTATGAGATGGGGTTAGAGAGATAAATAGCTAGGGGTCAGATCATGTTAGGGCCTGTTACAGACAGTGGAAATGAGTGTAGGTTACTTTTTGGGTTGCTGTAGGAATCCTGTGGGGGATTTTAAGCAGAGAAGTGATATAATCTAATTTATGAATTTTTTAAAATAAATCCCTCTGGCTACTATTTGGAGAGTGAGCTAAGTATAGATAGGATTAAAGCAGGGAGAACGGTTAGGAGGCTTTCATAATAATCCAGCCAAGAAATAATGGTGGCCTGGACTAGGGGTGTGGCCATGGAGGTGGTAAAAAGTGAACAGATACGGAATGTATTTTGAAGGTAGAATCAGCAGGAACTGCTAATGGAGTGGATGTGGGAAGTGAGGAAAACAGAAAAATCTAGGATGAGTCCTACAATTTTGGCTTGAGCAACTAAGTGGCTTGTGGTACCATGTGGTGAGACAGGCAGGGGAGTGAAGGTGGAGGGAACAAGAATTCCATTTGGGCTGTGTGAGATTGAAGCCATTGGACACTCAAATGCACAGATCACACGAGCAGTTGGATAGTTAAGTCTAGAATTCAGTGGGGAGGTCAGGGCTGGCAAAACGAATTCTTCGTTTCACAGAAGAGACAATAAAATCTCAACTTGACTCTGACCATCTGGAACTCTGGAATTTTTTCATTCCCTCTTTATCAAAACAACTTCTTAGGTATATCTAGAAGGGATGCCATGCATTTAGCCTAGATGCTTAAAAATTATATTGGAATGATGGCCCAGATAAACCCAAATGGCCCCAATCACCAAAAAAAGTCAGTGCAAATATGTACAGTGTACAAGACTTCCTAAAATAGGAAAATACATTCAGACACTTTTGAACAACTAGCAACTGATAATAAAATTGAGTGGATATTCTGGTTAACCAATTTCATCACATAATTCAAGTAATGGGATCTCTCTCATTTTCAAGGTAACTGAGGTTTTACTGTATTTTTTTCTAGAATCCTTGGCTCAAAGGTTAATCCAGGATCTTCTCATCTTGGTCCTTTATGATTACACATGTATAAAATGTATATCAAATACACATTACTTCACCTGGCCCTCTTGTGAGAAAGTAGTCACATTCCCATTGTACATATGAGGAAACAGAGTCAGAGAAGTTAGAACTCACCGTATTCACAGAGCTTTAGATAGTGAAGCTAAGATTCAAACACAGTTTTTCTGACTCCCAAACAAGTCCATTTCTCCTTTTACTGCTCGTTCCCTCCCTCGCTGTGGGTCTTTTGGAAACTTCCCTCTTGGTATCATTTCTACCTCCTTAGGCCAAATTTCAATCCCCAATGTCTCCTGGAATTCAGGATAATGCCTCAGCGCTCTGCTAATTTTCACAGGAAGTAACCATTTCCTAAGACCAGCCACCTTCCTTTCTAGCATTCCTTTAGCTGGCAGCCTCATTCAGTTCTTTTCAACTGTCTACAACCAGAGAGCTGTGGGGGTCCTTAGAAATCACCCACAGCCTAATTTCTCATTTTACAGATGAACAAAGAAGCCCACAGAGTTGTTGTGCAAGGATGCTAGTTGTACAGCCCCAGCCTTCCCTGATGTTCTGCCCGGTGCTCTTCCCACCACATCATGCCCCATCTTTCCCAGTTTGGGAGTAAAGAGTCAAGACCTGTGCCCAGAATTCTAGGGAATCTCACCTCTTTTCAGCTTTTTCTGTTTGCCTAATTTCTGCAGTTCTTTGATAAAACTCTTGAGGTAATTTTCGTGTCCAAATTTGTACATCTCTGAAATAACTATTTTCCAATATTGTATTTTGACCACAGAAAGTTTTGAATATCCAGATCTGGAGAATGCAAGCAGTATTAAGGTAAATATTTTTCACTGGCCCCTTATTGTGGCTAGTGAAGCCCCTACAGAAATAAGGGACTCCCTTCAAATAAGGGACTGCTTGTGTGTCATGCTTTGAGGGGCCTGAGGAACCATTCCCTTGTTCACACCTTCCCACACACAAATCTCTCCCAGCTGGGGCCAACCCCTGGTGCCTGAAAATCCCTTCATCGAAATCCTCGCATTTGGGTTATTGTCCTTATGCAAATGCACCAAGTAAGCCATGGCCCCCTTAGCACCTTAGCACAATGCCACTCAGTTTGGTTCCTGCAGCCTCTAGAGAAAAGCTGAACAGGAGTGAGTCATAGTACACTCCCAGGTAGGCCCAGGCAAGGGACCTGGTGAGGGCAGGGAGAGAACAGATGCTCTGAAGAGGAAGGGGCACTGCTTGAGGGAAATGAGTGCTGCTTCCAACTACTTCCAAATGTCCCTGAGCGCTGGGCGCCTGGGTGGCTCAGATGGTTAAGCGTCTGCCTTCGGCTCAGGTCGTGATCCCAGGGTCCTGGGATCGAGTCCCGCATCAGGCTCCCTGCTCCTTGGGAGCCTGCTTCTCCCTCTGCCTCTCTCTCTCTCTGTCTCTCATGAATAAATAAATAAAATCTTTAAAAAAAACAAATGTCCCTGAGCACTGACCCTTCGTAGGCAGCTTTCCAAATGTCTGGCCAACTCCTCAGTGTGATCCCAAGAAATTCCCCTTCCCTAAGGTGCTCTTAGGAAGTTTCCAGTAATGGCTGAAGCCACAGATCTGCCTGGACCCTCTTCTCTGTTTCATATCACTTTTGCTTTCCTCTAGGTTTACTCTAACTGCTCCCCAGTGAGCGTGTACACACACCCTCTCATACACCCCCCGTCGGTTTTCTAGACACTTCTCATTTAGCAACAGTAACATCTATTTGACAACCTCAGGCATCACTTAGAGGCCAGTCTGGAGGCCTGCTGACAGGCTTTTCCATTGCCAAGCTGATTCCCTGGCTCATTGTGACTCCTTGCTGACTGTCCTTCTTGCTTGCTGAGCTTTTTCCCATTGTAAATTGTAGTTAAAGGCCTGATCCACTAAGATATTCAGCATTCTTTATAGAGTAGCACAGAAATTCCTGCTTGCATTCAGCTCCAGGTAAACATTAGTCACTGTACACATGAATACATACACTCTCCAGCGTCAAGACACAGAAAAAGAAGCCATCATGTTCCCCTTAATGCCAAAGGCCTTGCTGTAGTCTACAGGGCCCTAATATGAGCTGCCCACCCTCTCTCTTCCCAACCCCCATTACCTGTATGTCACTCTGTTACCCCTCTGTCCACTCACTGTCACTCCTCCAGCCACACTGGCCTCCTTACTGCTCCCCTAAACTGCCAAGCAAGCTTCACCTCAGGGCCTTTGCACTTGCTCTTCCTTTGCCAGGGACACAACTATCCCCAGATAGCTGTGTGTCTTCCTCCCCCATCTTCTGCCAGTCTTTGCTCAAGAGTCACCATCTCTGTGAGGCCTTCCGTGACCACCCCATGTAAGATGGAAACACACACACTATCCTCCCTTACCCTGCTTTATTTTTCTTCACAGCACTTAAGTCACTATTCAGTCAACCATTCATTCATTTAACAAGTTTTTTATCAAGTGCCTACTATGTGCCAAGCACCGGAGATTCAGCAGTAAAGAAAGCAAACAAATATTCCTGTTCTCATCCTCTGGTCGACTTTATAATAAGCTTCATGATGGCAAGGGCTTTGTTTTGTTCATAACTGTATGCCCAACACCTAACACAGGACTGAAATATAGTAGAAGGCCAACAAACATTTTTTTGAAAGAATAGCCTTAGCCATCAGAGCCAAATTTAATCTCTGTGTTGGGAGTTCCCTAGCCCTCTCCCCATTAGTCAGATGTATAGCCATATTTGGGAACTACTACACAGAGGTTTTCGATCCTGGCTGCACATTGGAATCATCCGGCAAACTTTAAAAATGGATTCCCAGGCCTCAGCCCCAGAGATTCCGATTGGTCTGGGTCGCAGCCTGGGCCTGGGAAGTTCTAAAGGCTGCCCAGGTGATTTTAACGGATAGCCAACATTGCAAACCATTGACTCTACCTACTCATGTCAGGCCATTCAGAAGCACCCACCCCCCACCTTCCTTTAGACCAGGAGCGCTCAGCCTGGCTGCACATTAAGAGTCACCTGGATAGCTTAGAAAACAGATAAATGCTTGCCCCACCCTCAGGGGTTCCTGTTCAATTGGGGTGGGGCCAAAGCATGCCAATTGTTAATATTTATCCAGATGGTTCTCTTGTGCTGCTAGTGTTGAGAACCAGTTCTTTAGATTGTCCCTGTCCCGGTTGATCCCTTTAAATATCCTATTTTGCAATGTCTTGATCCATAAGCTGCCTTGAATCTTCTTAGAAGAATTAGAGTCAACTTTTACAATAATACTCCGCCCCATCGATATAAAACACAACTTCTCTCATCTTGCACGCATTTATTCCTCAGTTCATGGATCTGCTACTTCCTTTTTAACTGCCGCCACCATGGAGTGGCTACCCTGCAGCCTGTCCTTCTGGGATCAGGCCGCTTCTGCATCCTAGGTGGTGATAAAAGTCCATAGAGCAGAGCCAGCATCCGAGCCACTGTCCCTGCCCTACCGCCTCCATGTTCCTGCAGCCCCACACGGCCACTGACTTGCTCCACACCTCACAACTGTTAAGAACTATTTAAAGGAAGACTTACGAGGTAGTGAATTGGACATCCCTTTTCCCCCTTCTCCCCTAAAGACCCCCCCCACCATTATCTTCTCTCAGAGAAGTATCTAAAACATGTCATTTATTCCAAGCCCCAGGAGGGGGCTGGGGCATGCATGGCTGGCATTTTTTGCAACCTGGGACACTTGAGCCCTTGAAATGATCCTATAGGGGCAGTGCATGTCCAAGCCTGGAGCCAATCCTGGGTGTCATAATTGACAAAAATCGAGAAGTCATGCCTAGGAACAGCCAAAATCCCAGAGAATTATTCTTTTGAGACTGCAGAACACCAACACTGGGGTGTACAAATGCCACATGGTTGTGCTTTGTCCCTTGAGGGTTTCTAGGTACTTCTGGTGTTTGCTGTCCAATAAAGGACAGAGGCTTAAGCTAGTATTTCACCTCTGTCTTGGCAGTTTATCACCCTCTATCAACACGAAAGTGCTCTGGCCAGCCTGTATTCTTCAAATGATGGCACTTCAGGTACAACATATTTATGATTTTCTAATAAAGCTTTCAATGATGTCATTCTAAATATATTCACTCCCCCTGCAGTGAGTGGCTCCTGCCTTGCACCCTCCCCCGCCACCAGTATGGGGTTGCAATAATATTACTACGTATATAGATTGTGATTTGCAAGTTGGTATGCAGTTCTCAGTTGAACCTCCCAGCAAAGGGGTGACAGTCCCTAGCAGTAACATTTATCAGGCATTCTGCTAAGTGCTTTTCTCACATCCACCCTGTGAAGCACCATGTCCCAGGGCAGTGTCCCAAAGTGTTGTTCAGTGACGGCTCGTTTGTGTCACGATCACCCAGGATGCTTATGAGCAATACAGAATCCTGGCCCCTCCCCAGAGCGGCCCAGTTCGTATCTCTGGGAAATGGGATCCAGGCATCTGCATTCTTAACAAGATCTTCAGATTGCAAAAACAAATCTTCATTTTTTCCCCTCCAGTGAGATTTCCCGAATATGGCCTTGTAGCGCATGTCTCAAACCTGTAACTAAAAGTCGTTGGCTTGCTTTTTCAGACTGTAGATCTCTCCACTCAAGCCTTTATCTTTGCCTCTGCAGATTTTGACTTTTTCCTGACTAATTTCTAGGTGGTTCTTATTTTGTCAACTACTAGCACAATCCAGTACTGCATTATTACTTTGAAAAGCTAAATTTTTCCCCTTATTTGGGAGCAAATTTGCTGTCTCCTACCTTACTTTTAATCATAGATTCTTGAGATTCCCAAGGTTATATGGCTGGAGATTAAAAGCTAGGTAACTGCAAAAGCTAGAGGAGAACTTTGTCGTTTACTGGAAACAAGAAAGTCTATGCTTTATTGCCCTGTGTCTTTTCATGACATCCTGTCATGATGCATCAGCAACACAGATAAATGCTCATTTCTGTCCTTATAGACAGAGTAATCATTCTGTTAACATAAACTATGATATGATTTGCACAAAACAAGTGGTGCAGAAGAAATGGGTCCAAATGGAGACTCGTATTGGCCACACAAGTCCTTTATAGCTCACACAACAAACAGATCATTTGGGGTCAGTCAACTGAAAATTTACCCAAAGCAAGTCAGAAACGATAACCTTTTTTAATGCACTGCTGCTTTTACCTGGACATTCTGAAACGGATGCTCACACTGTTGAGAATTGGAAGTTACCTTTTCTTGTGGAGTCAGCTCCTCGGGCTATTTTGGATGAGGGAGAAGGTACTGCTGAGCTGGCTCGAGAAGCATCACGTGCAGGGAGGACAGAGCTGCAAACCAGAGCCTGGGCTCTAGTGCCAAGTAAGGCCCTCTGACATGAGGCATCCAACCTCAATGAATGTCTCTGCTTTCCTTCCGAAGGGGGATCAGAAGGAGCAAATAAAGAGTGTGTTATCATGATGAGTACTGAGTAATATATAGAATTGTTGAATCACTATACTGTATCCCTGAAAGTCATATGCCACTGTGTATTAACTACCCAGGAATGATAATTAAAAACTTTTAAAAAAAGGAAGGGGGGGCGCCTGGGTGGCTCAGTCGGTTAAGTGTCTGCCTTCAGCTCAGGTCATGATCCTGGAGTCCCATGATCGAGTCCCGCATCGGGCTCCCTGCTCAGCAGGCAGTCTGCTTCTTCCTCTGACCCTGCCCCCCATCATGTTTTCACTCTCTCTCTCAAATATATAAATAAAATCTTTTTAAAAAAAAAACTTTAAGAGTCTCTGTGAAAGCACTTTAAAACTCAAAAGTTATTATATAAATGCTTCTTTTGGAATCCTAAATCATCACCCCCAGCCTGACAGCCTTAATTGGAAAGCCCAATAATAAATGACCAGATTTCTCTTTTGGTTTGTTCACAGACGCTGATAAGCCCAGTACTTCCAAACAGGGGTCTGAAATGATGAAGAAGGTATCATCAGCTCTGTTCAAAGTATTTTCAAGATCTAATGCCAATGTTTCCAAATCTTCCTCACCCCCACACCCCCCAACCAGGACAGAAGCTGAGGCTGCGACAGCTAACATCAATAAAGTTGTTTTTTTTGACCTTCCTCAAAAAAAAAAAATGGTTTTTAAAACATGACATTGTGTCCTACACACTGATTCTTACAAATACTTTTAAATTCTTATAAATAAATAAGAACAAAGAATGTACAAAAAGGCAGCTGGAAAAAAGAAGGATTTGATAAATGCTTCTGATAGGCATTTGGCACAAAAAGAGGGACTGTGCCTCCCATCGAGATACATCTGCCAGTGGGACTCAATCTCTGCTCTTGAGGGCACTGAAGCCTTGCTGGGATGAGAAGACTAACTTAAAACCAAAAGGAACTGGAATTGAGGCAATCCTCAAAGGGCAGGTAGGTCTGGAAAGCACCAGGAAGGCTTTCACCTCTGGTGCCAGAGCTGCATATAAAGCCACCATGTCTGGACGATCTAATTCAGTGTTGTCCAGTGGAATCTTCTACAATGATGGAAATGGCGCACGCACACGCAGAGGTACATCGATATATAGATATACTCCCTCTGGCCACATTTTCATTCCAGTACAGTAGCCGCTAGCTCCACATGGCTATTTAGTCACTAGTATAAGTAAAGGAGAACTGAATTTTTCATTTTATCTCCATTTAAATAGCCATGTGGAGCTAGCGGCTCCTTCATTCGAGAGTGTCAGTCTAGTTAGTACATGGCTTCATGGGCAGTAGCCCATTCAGATCAGGAGAAGAATTCCCTGAAAGTTCAGTTCCAACGTCTATCCACAAATACCTAGGGCAAGGCAAGGCTCTGACTCCTCAGAGGGGTTTTGAAGCCTCCAGTTATCCTCTTGGCCCCTTCAAGACACATGAACCACCGAAGTGGCCAGAGGGAGCTCATGCTTTCCAGTCACATCTCTGCTCCTGCACTTGCCAAAATTCCACTGATGGGGACACCTGGGTGGCTCAGTGGGTTGAGCGTCTGCCTTTGGCTCAGGTCATGATCCCAGGGTCCTGGGATCGAGCCCCGCATCGGGCTCCCTGCTCAGTGAGGAGCCTGCTTCTCCCTCTGCCTGCCACTCCCCCTGCTTCTGCTCTCTGACAAATAAATAAAATCTTTAAAAAAAAAAAAAACTCCACTGATGGAGAAAGGATAGGTCCCTTCTAGAACACCAAAGTCAAGGAATCACAAAGAGCAAATCAGAACCTGTACCTGCCACCTGGCTTCAAACACAGTGCTTGGCTAGAAACTGCTTCCATGAGACAGAAACACCACTCTGGTACTAAAACCACCACTCCAGCCTCCCTCTATGCACTAACAGGAAGAGAATCACTCAACTAGTCATTCTCATACCCCAACTTCATCCAAAAAGTTAGAGGTCAGAGGAAGGTCCCAGCCTTATCCAAAACTCCCTGGGGAAATATTTCCAGGCAAGTACATTTCTTTTATGTTGTACCTATAGTCCATAAATGTTATGTTAACTGAACTTTTGCAAATAAAACGGCAGGCAGTTCTGCCCAAATACCACCTATTCCCAAGTTGGCCACCTTCATCTGCTCCCTCATTCCTTCCCCTACATACTGAAATTCATCACATGCAGCAGCCTAAGTTTTAAAGTCATTTTGTAATGGTTCACAATAATGACAAATACTAATCTTACATATGGATTTAATTTGTCTTTACTAATAAGTAATACGAATCCAGTTTCGAAGTCAAAAGTACAAATGGTGCAGTGAAAAGTAAGCCTCTTCACCTCTGCTCTTCTAGCTGCTACCTGGCTCTGCTCTCCAGAAGCAATCTCTTTTGGGCGCCTGGGTGGCTCAGTTGGTTAAGCGACTGCCTTCGGCTCAGGTCATGATCCTGGGGTCCCAGGATCGAGTCCCGCATCGGGCTCCCTGCTCAGCGGGGAGTCTGCTTCTCCCTCTGACCCTCTCCTCTCATGCTCTCTCTCTCTCTCTCACTCTCTCTCTCTCTCTCAAATACATAAATAAAATATTAAAAAAAGAAGCAATCTCTTTTACCAATGGATCCCTCCTAAAAGCAGAAAACAGAGAAAGGAAGAGGTGGAGGGAGGTGAGAAAGGAAGGAGAGAGAGAGAATGCAACCATGCTATTTGACAGATACTATTGTCCCAAGCCACTGATTTGGTCTGTTTCTAGGGTTGCATTTGTAGCTTCAAATAAAGTCGGACCTCATTTTAAACAAATGTTTTTTTGTCAAATGAGCTAAATGCCAAAAGGTGAGCCCCATAATGGGAGGAAAGATGCCTACCATAGCGATTCAAAGACTGCTGGTCAAAATACACTAAGCATGTTTGAGCTAGTAGCTACACTCCTTGGAGATGGAACCATCTAAATGTATAGGAATAGATGAAAGTACTAAAAGTAAAGATGCACAGCTTCACTTGCAATGGAAGAAAATGCAAATTAGAATAACCTGAAGTTATCACAATATACCTTCCAGAGAAGAAAAAAAGGAAATGATAAATTCCAGTGTTGTCCAGAATGTAGGGGAAAAATTATATTTGAACTCTACAGTGCTGATGGTGCCACAAATTTGATCTTTCTGGAAAGCAATCTAACAATAAGACAAGCTATGGTTCTGTCTGCACTTTTGGATCTGGTAACACCCCTTTGGGGGAATGTGGTCCAAGGGAATAATACAAAAGGAAAAATTTAAAAAGGACTCTGTATAAAAATGTTCATAACAGTAGTATTAATCATGATGAAAAATTAAAACAATCCAAGCAGGGGGAACTGGACAGCCTATTAACAAGAAAGAATGCTATATAGACACTGAAAATGACAAGGATTAGTGACAACCTAAACAAACAGAAATGCACATTTGAAAGAAGCAAAACCAGCCTGCAAAATAAGATGTGTGCTCTGACAACAACCAGAGTATACTTTATGATTTGGTAATTATATGGCATACTAATAAAAAATCTGGGGCACCTGGGTGGCTCAGTGGGTTGGGTGTCTGCCTTCGGCTCAGGTCATGATCTCAGGGTCTGGGATCAAGCCCCGCATCGGGCTCCCTGCTCGGTGGGGAGTCTGCTTCTCCCTCTCACTCTCCCTCTGTTCTCTCTCTCTCAAATAAATAAATAAAATCTTTTAAAAAAATCCAAAGAAGTTAGAGGTTTAATTTAATAATCATGAGGGTTTTTTGCTGTTGTTAGCTACTTTCTAATAAATGCCTTTCTCTTGAAGAAACATCATCATACTCATTATCAACATCACCTCTTAAGCCACTTGTAACCCTCTTCTAAGCCAAATGGAATGATATCTAATACCTCAGTTTCTTATGAGGCATGACGAAAAGGAAAACATCAGTTCACTTTTTAAAATGGCTTCTTTAATGAGGCTAGGTCATCTCCAATCATCCCCAAGGTACTCTTCTAAAGCCTAAGCTGGCAAAAGGTAGTCACGTTTTTGACTGAAGTTCATTGTAGAGAGTATACTGGCCTTAATTTAAATATACAATCACAATAGCCATATATCTGCATGATACACATGTTTTATTTAAAAACAATTTTTTTCACATACACTTAAGAGTAACAACATATGTCATACAGTTTTGCCCCTTTATAGGACCTGGCACATCATTTCTGTATTTTTAGTGATTTATCTAGAGACCAATGTATCTTTGATGACATACTATTGGTCATACTTAATTTATAGAATACCAAATGCTTATCATAAATGTAATTGTTGATTATTTCCTACTGAAAACTATGACCTGCTCTTATCTATTTTATGATGCAGCTTCCAGTAACACTTGCAGGAATCAGGAGCCACTTATTTAGTAAAGGAAGAATGCTAGGTTAAATCCTTCCAGTGCAAATAATCACACCCCAAATTATGTCTTCAAAGTTTACATTTTCAGATAAAATAAAAGACATCAGGAAGCATTTAACTTTATTCTTTGGTCCTAACAGCACAGGGAAAAGCATTTTACACTTCACTAGAATCCCACTTAGATGATGACCAGGTTATTCCTTTCAAAGAGCTTCAAAACATGTTTACAGGAGGCATGTCCTGTACCAGATAAGGATTATCTCCAATTTCGGATTCAATGAGTCCATAAACTGCTGAGATAGATACTTATTAGGTACATGCCCCAGTAGGTTAGAGGAAGCAAAAAGGGACAGACAGACAGACTACGGTGTTAATTAGGCCACCATGGAAGAAAAGCTGATACGGCAAGAACCAAAAAACGTCCTTAAAGAGCACTTCATTCAACGTGGCTGTTTAGCCTTGAGATCACTGGGAATTTGCCCACTAATGAATTCCAACTGTCCTCTGTGAAGTGGATCCATGAAAGAAACAAGGAAACATTCACTGTTCCCAGGGATCAAACCAGTTGCTGGCTGGTTGTGTCAGGCTTGGCCTGGTGCGGCGTGTACGTGCACCTCTCAGATTTCTGACTGCACGGGGCGCGGGTGACGAGCGGCGGCGGCTGCGGCCGCGGCAATCCGTTATCCCTGCATTTCCACGAAGGCCAAGCTTCCGTCAGTGCCCGAATGTGGCAGGGACACTGAGACAGGCCATTCCTGTGAGACATGGGGCTCCCTTCACAGGCGACTTGGGAGTCAGAGATGCTACCAGGGAAGAAGTCCAGCCTCACAAAGGACAGCAAGGACTAGACCTGTCACCATGTCACAGGGCGGGAGGTAGACAGTGAGACTTACTGGCTTAGAACAAGAGGGTGTATTACGGCACAGCAAATAGCATCAGCGGGAGTACTGGCATAGTTGTGCCGGCCCCCCTGTCCCAAGTCCCACAGGACAATGTAATGGGCTCAGGTGGGTGCCGCCCATGCACTGGGTTGCATGGCAGCTGAGGAACCCGGGCTCAAGGGCCTGGGACTTTTTGAGCAATGAGCAAACAAACCAGTGCCCCTCCCCTGGGAAGCAAGGAGTTAAATGGTAGTCACACTGTGGTCACCTTGCCCTACAGAAATGGCTCAGTATTTGGAGACCAATAAGTCTGGCTTTAAAAACCCTCACCAAGAACGTGCAAGGATGCTCACAACCCACAGTGGACCGCCTCTCCCAACAGACGCATTTTTTTGCCAGATGTTCTTAGAACTGCACTGCACAGTCCAAGGTCTTTCCTTCCCACCGCTCCGCCCTTCCTGCTCTCCCCCACAGGATTTAGACCTGCACCTAGTCTGTCCGGCAGCTCTCCTTGACTCCTCTGACATCAGGCATTGCCTGCTGGACAGAATGGACACTGTCCTGATGGAGGTGTGGGGCACCGATGGTCCCAGGCACAGGGCGGCAGTCCAACTGCTCAGGATTTCTCTGGAGATGACCTGAGAACACTGGGAGAATGGCCTGGCAGATGTGGTGACTCAGATCTTCAAAATACACGAGAAGAATAACGCCTAGAGAGATGGTGGAGATGGCTGGACACTGTGAAGTTGTACTGGACGCCCTGCAGCCAGGGAATGGAAATGGAGGATAGTTAATAAGGAGCTAAAGACCAAGAGTGGGGGCCAGAGGGCTTCTGCCGGAGCTCACAAAGCCCCTTTCTCCTGCAGTGAAGGAGCAGACCAAGGGAGAACATAATGGAGTGGCCGGAACTCAAAGGAGATTAAATACTCAGTATTTAACAATGTGGCCTGTCTGCTTTGTGCAAGTCAGGGCCACATGATTCCATGTGGTTGGGAAATCCTGGGACCCTGAGACATGGAGTGGGAGCATCTGGCCAGACACTCCTCAGGGTGTTGGCTCTGTGGACACCCCCACCCAGGCTTCAGTTTGCAGAGGGGACCACTCTTCCCTCCTAACAGCTAGCATTTCCTCTGTGCTGGAAGATACTGCAGAGCCTGTTCCCCCAACAAAGCCACTCGCGTCCCCCTCCGAGTTGTGCCCGGCCCCTTTCCTGGTTACTAAGCTGATAACTAGGATTAAATCCCAGCATAACCTGGCCACGTTAGTCCTGAGCCTAATTAAGAGAAGAAAGTATACACCAAAGAGCTGCAAGAATTAGCTGATGGGTACTGACAGGAGCTACGGAAGCACTGGGGTTGGATTTCAAGGGTGATATATCAAGAGGGCAGAAAAGCAAAAATTCAGAGACTTGGGAGCACATCCTCAAAATACAGATTTAATCCCCTGGCAAGGACCCACAGGGGATACAAAGTCTCTACTAAGTGGTTCTTAGAGGCCTAGAGAAAGTGATGGCTACCACTGAGCAAAGTAGAAACGCCTGAGCTGCCCTGACCAACGGCAAAAGAAAGAATGAAAAGGCAGAGGGAAGCAGACATGATGCAGTGGATAAATTGCACGAGGTAAAAAACCCCATGAGAGGGTAGTGTTCCACAGTGAGGGCGAGGGGGGGGAACAGCGGGAGGCAGAGGGTACCTCATTTACCAAGGCCATCAGGAAGGCTGTGGTAAAAGGGGCACCAGCATCACTATATTCAGAGGTGACCTCTGTAGGCCAGGGATGGCGGTAAGAGACCATCACAGAGCTGGGGCCCAGAGTAATAGAGACCAGGTGGAGGTGCTACCCACCAGAAGCCAGGAGGCCACAAATACCAAAACAAACCACAAGGCCTGAGGGGCAGCCAAGGGAGCTTTCCCCTCAAGGAGCTGCAGAGATGGCAAATGGACTAAGTGTCCCTAGGAATAATACAGATGGACAGCCAGCAAGGGTATCGAGATCTACAAGCTGAAAAAAACAACAGTGGAGGAGCAGGGGTGTGAGGGAGATTTCCCAATAAAAAGTCCTCTAATTCCTTGCTCAGTTTCCAGACTTCAGCTGTTTTCTGACCTGGAAGAGGTAGCTGGGTCCCTAGAAGGAAGGACAATGACAAATATCCCCCCCAAGTACTTCCCCTAACGGGACCTATAGCCACTAACTTCAGTGTATATACACAGTGTACATAGCCAGACATTTGAGGAATACTGGACTCAAGATCAAAGTTGACATTGATACCTAGAGACCTGAAGCATGACCACGGCCCAGTTAGACTGGGGGCTTCAGGGTTGAGTAATCACTGAAGTCCTGGCCTGAAACAAGACTCACAGGGGGCCGGCAGACCTACCTAGTGGTCATTTCCTACTCCTCAGAGGTGTAACTGGGATTGAGGTGGTGCTTGAGAGTAATGCCCACAGGGGCCCTGGGCCAATAGGGCGAGAGCTGTCACGGTGAGGAAAGTCAAGTGGGAACCTCTGAAACTGATCCCCTCCCCCAGGGACAACAATAAATTGAGATGGTTACTTTTCTGTGTCAACTTGGCTCAGGCTAAGTACTCAACTAGTCAATCAAACATCAATCTAGGTTTTGCTATGAAAGTATTTCACAGTTGTGATTAACATCTACCATTGGTTGATTTTAAGTAAAGGAGATTATCCTTGATAATCAGGGTGGGCCTTATGCAATCAGTTGAAGAACTTAATAGCAAAACTGCAATTTCCCTGAAGAAATTCTGCCTGTGGACCGCAGTTTCAGCTCCTGCCCAAGTGTTTCCAGCCTGCCGGCCTGCCCTATATATTTCAGACTGGCCTAATCAGTCCCCACAACTGCATAATTCAATTCCTTGCCACACACACACACACACACACACACACACACACACACACACTCAGAACTACTGGGGATTCAGTTCCAGACCGCAATAAAACAAGTCACTTGTATCTTTTTATTTCCCAGTGCATATAAAACTTATGTTTACACTCTACTGTAGTCTATTAAGTGCAATAACATCATGTGTAAAAAAAAAACAATGTGCATACCTTAATTTAAAAATACTTTATTGCTAAAAAATACTAACCATCATCTGGGCTTTCAGTGAATCATAACCACTCATCACAGATCACCATAACAAATGTAATCATAATGAAAACGTTTGAAATGTTGTGATTACCAAAATCTGACAGAGAAACAAAGTGAGAAAATGCTGTTGGAAAAATGACACCAAGACTTGTTCGACACAGGGTTGCCACAAACCCTTAATTTGTATAAAAATAACCACAACAGTTATCTGTGAAGCACAGTTAAGCAAAGCACAATAAAACGAGGTACGCCTGTAGGCTTTCTCATTAGGAATTGGCTTACAGCAGGATACATATATCCTGGTTGTTTTCCTGGAAAAACCCTAATTGATACATAAATCAAAACAGTATTACATCTCAGGGGAGACAGTAGAACAGTGCAACTTCCCTAAAAGACACAGAGAATGGCAGCCCCTATATCTTTGCACCTATAGCCAAATGGGGGTTCCTCTGTGACCAGCAGAGACAGAAAACAACTTGAGCTTGGTTTATAGGTGGGTCAGCTCAGTATGTGGGTACAAAATGAAGATGAATGGTATCTGCATTACACCCACATGCAGGGGTGCAGAAGTAAAACTTTTCCAATGGACAGGACCTCAAGCAGTGCACCTGACTTGGTATAAAAGAAGCGGCCTAAAGTAAGAATATTTATCGGATATGCAGACTCCTGGGCAGTGGCCAATAGCCTGGCCGTCTCGTTGGGGGACTGGAAGGACCAAGGCTGAAGATCAGAGACAAGGAGAGCTGGTGTGAAGACTGGGGACTGACATGTGGGAGGAGCAAAGTGTGACTAGTTCTGTATCCCATGCTAACAGCCATCAGAGCATCCACCATGGAAGAGGCACTAAACTGCCAAGCAGACACAGTGGCTAAGCCAGGTGCACGGGCCTTTGGTCAGCGGCCACCACACAACTGGCACAAAGGACACATAAACACAGGGCCACACGGCTGACAAAGGCCCAAGAGCAAGGACTCCTGCTTCCCAAGGCTGATCTAGCGGGACTCCTCGTGACAGGTGCTCTGCCTCAAGGACTTACTGCATCATTGATCTGGCTGACACATTCTCAGAACTCCACAGCAGTGTGAGACTTTTCCTACCCAACCTTCCTTCTTGCGTTCCCTCTTCTCCAGAGGTTAGACCTCTATCAGAGTCTGACTGCTTTCCCAGACTCCTCCAACCTCCTTTCCCATTTTCTTTCATGGGCATTTTCCCCTAAAAAAAAAATCTCTCGCACATCTAATCTTGGACCCAAACAAACATACCAGGTAAACTAATTAAATGTGCTCACTATCAAAGCTCTATTCCTTTGTTTTGCAGGGTCAGAAGTTCAATTTTAGTGATTCAGCAGCAGTATTAAGGTCCTGTGAACTAATTCCTACCTAACTCATAAGGAACTGATTGACAAAATAAAAGGACAAGATTCTCCAAATGAGAAAAAACTGCCAAGGAGACCAGAGAGATACGCAGTGAAGCTGACAAAGTATTCCCATCTCAGCAAGAACAGCTACTTGAAAAGGAAACTCAGCCCACAAGTAGCCTGGTTAGGTCTGAAACTCGGAAAGGGAGCTGGCTAGCCAAAAGGTAGAAACAACCCACATGTCCATCCACTGAGGAATGGACAAACAAAATGTGGTCTATCCACACAATGGGATATTATTCAGCCATAAAAAGGAACGAAGTCCTGGGACGCCTGGGTGGCTCAGTTGGTGAAGCGTCTGCCTTCGGCTCAGGTCATGATCTCAGGGTCCTGGGATGGAGTCCCGCATCGGGCTCCTTGCTCAGCAGGGAGCCTGCTTCTCCCTCTGCCTGCCGCTCCCCCTGCTTGTGCTCTCTCGCTCTGACAAATAAATTTTTAAAAATCTTAAAAAGTAACAAAGTGCTGATCCACGCTACAACACGGATGAAGCTCAACAACATACTAAGTGGAAGACCCCAGACACAGAAGGGCCATATGGTGTATGATTCCACTTATACAAAATGTCCAGAATAGGTAGGTCCACAGAAATGGAAAGCAGACTGGTAGTCAACAGGGACGAGGAGGAGGGAATGGAGAGTAACTGCTTCATGGGCACAGGGTTTCATTCTGGGGTGATGGAAATGTTTTTGAACTACACAGGAGCGGTAGTTTGGCACACTATGAATGTACCAAATGCCACTGAATTGTTCCCTTCAAAATGGTTAATTTGATGTTATGTGAATTTCACCTCAACAGAAATAAATAAATAAATAAATAAATGGCAAGGAGGTGCGTGGATGTTAAAAAAGAGACGTTTAAAAAATTTTTTTAAAAGAGGGTGGGGTGCAGAGGGAGCGGCCTGGCATTGAGAATCACTATCCCATTCACATCGAGCTGTCTAGACCTAGTTAAACCACCCTTCTTTATGCACGGCTGTACCTGCCAACTGGAAAGGTCACCTACACCTCTAGCACAAAGACCAGAATTCTAGAATTGCCTGCTATTTCCCCTTTCCTGGCAATTTCATCATACACTGGGGTCATAAATTCAAGGGCCACATTTATGAAACCAAATTTAGAATACCTCCTCTGGTAAGTACTGAGCATATTCCCAGGAACAATGGATTTTGCTCAAAAATCCAGGCCTATGGGGCTGTTAAAACTACAGCTCTTAATGACTCTAATACTCAAGGGATTGGAAGAATCCGGCCTCCGAGATTTTACTTACAGTAACAGTAAAAGCATAACTAAGCACAATTGCATTTTAAAGACCAAGTGCATTTCCAGTTCCAGTTCTATTGGGAAGAGAGAGAGGCCGCAGCTTCAGTGGTGCCTGCGGTCACCGGGGTTAGAGGACTCCTGGTCCCGTGAGCGCCGCGCCCTCTTCGGCCCATGGGACCTCTCCCGGCTCCTGCTTCTACTCCGCTGACTACGCCCCTCAGAACGCCCACTGGGCCGGCTGGAGTGTGTGTCTGAGCTTCGGCCTCGGTCTCTATCTCGGTTCTTTTCTTCTCTGGTTGAGGACCTATGTTCATGCTTCGGCTTCTCTTTCTTCAGCTCCCTCTCTCTGTCCCCTTCTCCACCGCGGCAGGTCGCCCTGACCTCGGGAGAGCTGGGCTGGTGCTTCCGCACCTCCCTGGGCTCTGACTTCTGACCCCACTCTGAGTTCCTGTCACTGTGCTTTTTAGAGCCAGGGTCGTCCTTTTCCCTTACCACCTTGTTTCTGGGTGGCGACCAGGGGGCCGGCTGCTCCGCCTGGACCTCCCGGTCAGTCTTCTCTTTGTCTTTCTTTCTTCTCTTTTTCTCCTTTTTGTCTGGAGGACAAAAGGGGCACAACCAATGAGGAAAGGAAGATGGAGGAGGGGAAGGTATGCAAAAGGAAAGCACTGCTGGCGGCAGTGGGAAGCAGTCGTAATCGACACTTCCAGAAAGTGTCTCCGAGAAGCCAACTTGGATGTCTGGCCCCCTTGACAGGTCAAGTTGCTGTATAAGGCAATTCTCACCCTTAATTACCTTTCTGAAGACACTGCCTCCAAATACAGTCACATTCTGAGGCACTGCAGGATTAGGATTTCAACATATGAATTTGGAGGAGACAGAATTCAGCCCTTAATATTAGTCTTCCACTGACACCTCTCCTTTCCCAGTTAAAGTAAGGTTCCCCACACCTTTCCCCCTCATACATAAGAAATGATTATCAGCTCTCAGGGAATGCTAGGAAGAGCAAACAATAAGACTACCCAGAATCTTCTCTTGGGTCTTAACGCTTTACCTTTTTTGTGTTTTTTTGTGGGTTTGTCATCTTCAGAACCCTCTGATGAACTCACTGAGGGGGTGTGAGCCCCACAGCCCCTCTCCTGGAGTTCTTTGGTCACATCATCTATTTCTTCGGAGTCCTTGGGAGCTCGATAGTTGGACACATGATCCACTCGAATAGTTCTTCCTTTGATCTAAGACAGACAGGCAGTGCTTCAGCAGAGATGGCCCTCCCGTTGAACTATTTGAACCCAGCTGCAAAATGCCATGGTTTGAACCACACCCTTTACCTTCCTGCTAATTCTGTTTCTGGGGAAATTACTCTAAAGGAGACCTGCCCAGTTGATGTGTCACAGCACATATACCTAGATAATAATTTGCTCAGCCCTTGGGGCGGCCAGGTAGGGCCTGGGGCAGCTGGAGTCCCTGAGGCACTTGTACCAGACAGCCTCCTCAGTTTACCCCAGTGTGCGACACAATAACCTTCATGTTCTACGTGTGCCATTAAGTGAAGAAAGGCTGGGCAGTACTGCCCCAAAGCACAAGCAGCAGGGAAAAATGAGAATTTACATGCATAAACAATGAATTACCCTCAATCTGTAACATTTATTCACAGTAAAACATACTGTGGCCTGGCAGCTAAAAAGAATTCCTGAAATCAAGTGCAGTGCCGAGCTGTTTTCTTGATACAGCAGTTAGGATGAGGCCAAGGAAGACCAATAGCTAAAAAGGGGGAAGGAAGCTTTTTTCTTAAGCCCTCACACCTTGCTCTACCCCCACCATAATGGACAACTGGCTCACACTGATATTTTTGCTGTGAATCACAACTCTCCGGGTGAACAACAAAAATTAACCCCTCACTTAGAAACATTCAGGCAGGGCACCTGGGTGGCTCAGTCAGTTGAGCGTCTGCCTTTGGCTCAGGTCACGATCCCAGACTCCTGGGATCAAGCCTCAGGGATCGAGCCCCAAGGATCGAGCCCCATGTCAGGCTCCTTGCTCAGCGGAAGCCTGCTTCTCCCTCTCCCTCTGCCCCTCCCCCTGCTCCTTCTGTCTCTCTCTCTCAAATAAATAAAATCTTAAAAAAATTCAGGCAGGTACAGACCTATTCTACAGGCAAAATCATCCAAAATTTTAAAAGTCTGGCTTTTATGTTCCCACACAAGAGCAGATTTTTATTCTTACCTTTAAGCCTGAGCAGTTGGTCATCTTTCCCATTCCCCTTTTGAAAACATTTTTGAAAACCTCCCTTTTATGGTGACTCCACTTGACTGCTGGCTCTCTTAAAAATCAAGCCTAGTACCTTGTTCCACCCTGTCCTATAGTTGCCAGCTATTCCATACTGATGCAATCAGTGACAAACTCTCCAAATCAAAAGTCACCCCCCCCAAGCTATGACAATGCTTATCCAACTGCAGTGCTTTTCCTAAATAAGCATCGGAACCAGGTAGAGCATAGATAAGCCTGACTTGCCCATCACCTTCTCTCAGGCCAAGGGTGGAGTGAGAGCGAACAGAGGAGAAACAACTTCAGAATGAGTTACTTTTGTAGAATTTGTCATCAGACTTTTAACTAGAGAATTTCCAGGGCCGAGCAATGCTATGTCAGTGGAGATATATGACAGACCCACAAAGCTATGTCTTAGAGCATGAAGCCACGAAAAAGCCCCAAATCCCCTGACAGAGCATAGCATGGAAGTCTCTTTGCTGCCCAATACATCAGAAATGAGAGTGGAATGTGAGAATGGAAAGATGAGAAACCAGAGGCGTGGGTGGGAGTGGGGGGCATGGTACCTATGCTCCTAGGAAGATGAACATGAGGAAAAGGAACAAGTGTTAGCAGGGTCATACGCCAATGAAATTATTTCCTGGGATCATTTCCTGGTCAGTATGTCCCCACACCTCTGCAACTCTCTCAATGCACCCAGGTGACCAGTACTGCCCTTGAACCTGTGGCAATCAGGTGGGAAATTAAACCTAACCCTTACATACAGGGAAAGTCCAGCCAAATCCTGCTTAGTGAACACACTCACCTTGATCCCATTAAAATTGTCAACAGCCAGAATTGTGCTCCTCTGGTCTTCATAGCAAAGGAAACAGAATCCTTTGGATTTCCCAGTCTTCTTGTCCCGCACCAGATTAATGTTAACAATCTCCCCATATCTATTTATTTTATAAAAGAGTAAGACACTATTGATTTAAAATGCAAAAACTTTCAGACTGAATGACAAAACAAAATTCAAGTAATATAATCTGTACAGGAGACACATCTAGAACAAGATAACATAAAAAGGTTAAGAATAAAAATTAGACAAGGACAGAGCAGGAACACCCAATTACAAAATGGGTGGTAATATTAAGATCAAAGATGAATTCAAGGCCAAAAAAGATATTTAAATGGGACTAAGAGAGCTCTGTTACACTGAAAAAGGTCCTAATACATTACAAAGAAATGTCATGAACCTTTATGCATAAGCTCACAAATCAAAAATTTAAAGAAACTATTAAAATTACAAAGAGAAACTGGCAACAAAGGTTATGAGATATTTTAACATACCACTTAAGTTTATAACACATAAAATTGATAAAACTAAGGTCAGATGAATTAATATCAATATATAATTATATAACATAAATATAAATAAATAACAATTATGTTGTTAAGAAATATTAATGTCAAACCAGTGGATATATAGATATATTTGAATCTTACAAAAAGAGGACAATTTCTTCTCAAGAATCCATGAAATATGTATTAAAATTGACTACAAAATAAACCTCAATAACTTCCAAAAACAGAGAATATGTTCTCCAATCACAATGCTATCCAGCTGGAAATAATATTTTAAATAAAAAATACCCTACTAGCTAGAACTTGAAACCTACTCTCCTAGCTAACAACTGGATGAAAGTAAAATAAAAAAAAAAATCAACAGATTACTTAAAAAATAACAAAAATGAGAAGAATATATACCAAAACATAATTATGGGATGCAGCTAAAACCACATTAAGAAAAATCTGTAACCTTAGAGAATTTTACTGTTAAAAAGGCAGAATGAATATAAAAGAAAACAAACCGAAGGAAAGCAGATGGCAGTTAATGAAGATAAAAGCAGAAATTAAGAGAAAATAGAAAAAAATTCAACCTTACTCCTTATACAAAGTTAAATTCCAGGTAAGTTAAAGATTCATAAATTAAAAAGTAAAGTCATAAAAATAAAATAGGAATTGGTGGATACTTAATAACATGATCACATTACATACATTCCAGCCAGATATCTAGCATCTTACCTAACAGAAAATACAGGTTTCTCCCGCTACCCAAATGTTCATTTTATGCCACGTCACTTTTACAAAAGACCTACATTAGTACCTGTTTTCACTAACCGAAAGAAAGCTGAAGAGGATTTTCACTCTTATGACATGGTAACTGCTTCATCACTTTATGCCGTTTTAGTTTAGAAAGCTTTCACAGAACACTCTACCTCCGGATAGCAGGGGAAACCTGTACTGGAGCTGATTCAACTAAGGTCAGGAACTATTTAACACTGTTTAACAGTATAGGTATAGGCCAGTGCAATCAGACAGGAGAAAACAGATGTAAAAAAATGAAAAAGTAAAACTATCTCTACTTGAAGATTTATATATAATAGTATGTATAGAAAACCCAAGAGAATTAATGATAAACAATGATAAAAACAAACAGTAGGATAATTCAGTAAGGTAAGAGGATATAAAGTTAAAAAAATAAAACACTCTCTTACAAAAACAATAATCAGTTAGAAGATATAACCAAGGAGAAACCCCATCTGTATTAGCAACAAAAAACTTAAAATACTTAGAAATAAACTTAGCAACAAGCAATGTACAAAGTCTATATAGAGAAAATTTTTTAAAACTGAAAGACACACACATAGATTTGAACAAATATAAAGACATCCCTTGTTTTTGGATAGGATGACTCAACATCATAAAGACAGCAACATCTTCCCCCAAGTTAATACTTAAATTTAATGTAGTACAAGTTGTGTTTTACTTTCCTGGAGCTGAGTAAGTTGATTCTAAAGTTCTCATGGATAAATGAACATGTTAAGAGTAGATGGAGAAACTTTAAAAAAGAACAATGAGGGAGAGTAACTCTCCCAGATACTAAACACACTGAAAACACTGTGATTAATTAGTGTGGTACTGGCACATGAAGAGACAGACAGACCAACAGAACAGAATAGAAAGGCAAGAAAGCGACTCAAGTATATATGGAAAAATTAGTAAGATGATACGGGTGACATCCCAGTTTGCTGGGGGAAAATGACTTTTTTATAAATGTTGGGACAACTGGATAGCCACTGAAAAAACATGAAATTGCATCCGTGTCTCACACTATAATCAGAATAACTCTAAATGGATCAGAGATTTCAGTGCATAAAATTGAAACCATACAAGTACTAGAAGGGAACACAGATGGGTGGGTGGGGAGAAATACTATCTAATTATGACTCAAAATCCAGAAGCAACAAAAAAAGACTGATAAATCTGACCATATAAAACACTAGAGTGTGAGATATACAGGGTCTGCACAAAGGAGTTTTTGGGGTGATGGAATTGTTCTTCATCCTAACTGTGGGGGTGACTACACAAATCTATACACACATTAAAGCTCACAGGGCTGTACACTCCCTAAAGTCAATTTTACCATATAATTTAAACACATGAATGAATAAATTTTTTAAAATTTTGCACAGCAAAAAAAAAAAAAAAACAACCCACAACAAAGTCAAAAGACAAATGACAAAACAGGAGAAAATATTTACAACTCATATCACAGATAAAGGACCGGAAAGTAATTTTTTTCCTTTTTGCTATAAAGAACATCATCAGGACAACTGGTAAAGCTGAATAAAGTCTATGAATTAGATCAGTGTTAACTTCCTGAATTTAATCACCATACCGAGGTTAAACAGAGAATGTCCTTGTTTTGGGGGGAAACAAATATTGAAGAATTTAGGGATAAATGGGCATCATGCCTGCAACTGACTCTCAAATGGTTCAGAAAAAAATAATAGGTATACGTGGGGAGAAATGACAAAGCAAATGTAGTAGTAAAATGTTAACATCTGGGGATTCTAAGCGAAGGGGAAACAGGTATTCTTTACGGTACTTTATAACTTTCCTATTTTAAGTCTGAAATTATTTCCAAATAAAATGTAAAGAGAATATAGGAACTCGTTTAAACGGGTCTGATTCCTACAGACCAAATTGGGACAATCTGAGCGTCAAGAAATAATAATGATGGCAATGTAGTAAAAGACATCAAATTAAGTAAAATAAGTCCACAGTAACACAATACATGACAAAGTGGTAAAACAGAGTTGAAACCATTAAGAGCTTTTGTAAAATCACTAAGAAAATGAGGAACACATCAACAGAAGAAAACAAGCAAAGGCTATGAAACTTAAAAAAAACAAGAAATAATGGCATGTAAATCTATGAAAAGGTGTTCTACCTCACTGACGATTAAATAAAGGCAAAGTAAACTCATAATGAGAAACCATACAACAAATATTTTTTTAAAATAACCACTGCCAATTAGGATTCAGAAAAATGGGCATTCTAGTGAGAGTAGAAACTGATACAACCTTCTCAGAGAGCAATCTGGCCATATTTACAAAACATCTTAAAAATGCTGATCTAGTAATTTCACTAAGGAAACTATCAGGAATGCATACAAAGGATGTATATACTACAATGTATATACTAAACATGCACACACATATGCTACAATGTATATACTATATATATGTATACATATAGTGTGTGTGTATATACATATATATACTAAAATGCAATACAATTTATAACAGCAAATAATGCCCAACATTTAAAAAAAAAGATGATAAAGAAATACACCAAAATGTTAACAGTTTTTCCTTAAAGTACATTCTGTTTTGTTCTCTATGCTTTTCCTTTTTGCCAAATGTCCTACAGGGATTATACATTACCTTGATAATCAGAAAACAACATTTTTTGAAAACCACTGCTACCAATGGCAAAGGCAATCTTCATGGAGAGCAATGTGTACAGCCAGAAGAGAGAATGAAAATAAACAAACACACTAGCTGATCATCACTCAATGCAAATAAGACAAAAACAGCCTCTAGATGGAAGGCTGGACCAGGCAGAGGTATCATAAGGGGTGGAAATTACAGGCTGCACCCTCTGTGACCTTCCAGCTCCCCAGAAGTTGGAGGAAACAGCCTCTGTCCCTCTCTAGGCGCTTTGCAGTGTGGGCTGCAGAGGCCCGCTCCCATGGCCTTCAATGTGTATTGCCCAATCGCTTTCCCATGGCCCTCTCCCCCATATGCTGCCCAACCACTCAGCGAGGGTCCTCCTCCCATCGGACAGCCCAACCATCCCCTGCCATGGCTGGCTGTGTTTGCTTCCCCAAACCCTTCCGCTGCGGTCCTCTGCCTGTACAGGCTGTCCAACTTCTCTGCAACAGTCCCCTGCCCTCAGGGCCCCTCTGGCCTTACCGACTGTCTAACCACCCTGTGTAGCTCTGGGTTGGAACCAGCCCCTCTCTACCACCTGCCAAGACGCTCTCCCACCCAATGCTGCTGCTTTCATCTCATAGTGGAATGAAGAATATATGGTTGACCTATTCATTCTTGTTCCTCAACAGCCTATAAGTCTCAGCTTCTGGGTAAAGAGACTGGCTCTAGCTCAATAACCTTATGCTCATCTAGAAACAAAGAAAACAAACTACTGCCTAAACCTTTTGCTTTTTCTCCCATTCCTCTGTGCTTTGCCCTAATCCTACAACACCACACAGGTGTAAGCCAGAAGGGCTCTGTGTTCATGGATAACCCTTAGTTTGCAGGAGCCCAAAGAGCCCAACATGGTAGCTTCCTGTGAGTTCCAGTCTGTTCCAGTGTTGGCCCAGGCTGAACAAGCCTCACTGAAGAAGCAATAAACAGACCAGAATCCCCAAGACAGCCTCCTAAATCATCCAACTTCTTGGACTGTCCATATTGGAAGAGTTCTACAACCATGTCCTGGTGCTGATCTAGACTAGAACAGAAGCTCCAGCCCTCCCCATGCAGGGAGGCCAGTCAGCCTACAATAAAATAAATGGATTTTGTGATGCCATAAAATGCATTATGGAAGCATACTCTGATGACCCAGAAGGCAGGAAATGAAAAAGGACTTACTGTGAGAACACACAGATGATGTCCCCTTCAGTCAGTTCATAAGGAAGCCCTCCTAGAAGAGAAAACCACATTTCAGTTCCACAAACATTTACCAAGTGTCTACTACATACCATGCACTAGGCCCGGCACTGGGGGTGCAAAGAAGAGTAAGCCACAGAGCCTGCCCTCAAAGAACTCACAGTCCGATGACAAAAGAGAAGCATATATAAGGTGCAGCATTAGTGCAGCAAAAGGAGTGACTAACTTTGTGGAAAGGTTGGTGTCCCCACTAACCAAATACTTCTTACACCCAAAATCTTATGGACAAAGCAGATAGTTTCTGGCATAAAACTCTGCTTCGACAAACATATCTTGAACTCACCTGCTCTTCACCCACAAATTCACAGCTAAGATCCAAAAATCAGTTTAAATATGAAAATATTAACCCGACCTCACATAGACTAAGGATTTTATAATCCTTAGTTGTCTTTATAAACAACTGTTCAGCACTTCATAGGAAATAAATTTCCCTGCAAATCTTTCCTTCCTCATCTGTAAAATGGGGACTTTGGTACTTACTTCACAGAATTTTAAGAATTAAATAAAACAATGGATATAAAGTGCTTAGCACAATAAAACAGAACAGACTGTCAAATTACTGGAAGTGACAAAAGTGAATAGAGAGATGACAATATGGCCATGGGCAGAAGGCAGGAGCTAAGTAGATGAGGAAAATGAATTCTGAGGGAAGGGGAAAGGGCAGGGGACTAGCAGTAATACAGGATCGTGCCTGAGACCATGAGTTCTAGAATCCCATAGTTCTGGTTGTCCCACTTACTAGCTATGTGACCTTACGTAAGTCCATTAACTTCCCTGCACCTCAGTTTCCTCAGCTGTGTAATAGGGAGACGCGGTATAACAATGGTCTCTGAAACCAAGAAACCAAGTGGCAAGACTCTTACCACAGTGAATGGCAAAGGGTAACTATCATGGACACTGGTTTGGCAGGGGGAGCAAACTAAAAATGGGAGAGAAAAGAGATACGGAAAACGGATTTACGGGGCAGCCAGCAGAAGGAAATAAAAGTGCGTGATGAATGCCGGGAGAAATGAACGGCGGGAATACTGAAAGGTTAGGAAGCAGGCCAGGAGAGGAGGAGGAGCCGTGCAGGGGAAAGATGTGGACCTTACCCAGGAAGATCCAGGCGCTGTCTTTGTACTCGGAGTGCCAGGACACCTTATCTGCCACCCCAAGCTGGACCTCACGCTCATTCAGCTCGTTGATCAGCTTCACTTTAGTTAAAGGGCTGCAAAAAGGGCGGAAAAGCGGACCTTAAGTGCGGCCTGGCCAGAGTTAAGAGTGAGCAAAACTAGGGGACTAGTTTTCCAGTCTCTGCGCCTCTGCCGCCCCTAGGCCCGGCAGACGCTCTACCACCCCAGTCCTGGTGGACCACCTCCCGCGGCCCATCCCTACTTCTTCAGAGGTAAACTGCGGCCTTACTTCATCTTCTCAGGTTCGCGCTCAGCACCGAGACACTTACTTCCGGACGAGTCTGCACCGCGCGTGCGCAGCCCCGACGCAGCGCTCCCATTGGACTCCGCGGAGCTCGCGTCGCGCCGGAAGAGCTGGGTCGCGCCGGGGTGTGGCGCTTGCGCACTAGCGCAGACAGGAACTCCTCGCTCTGTCAGTTATCGCTGCACCAGAGAATTTTTGTCTAGGCCCTCGGTCCGTCCCTCTATGGAACGGGGACATGGGTGTGAGCCGGGTTTATTATAGGACCCTCAGCCCCTGCACGACGCCTGGCATTGATTGGGCTAGCTATAAATGTTTGCTGAATAAAGACTGAAAAATGTGGGGCGCCAGGGTGGCTCAGTCGTTAAGCGTCTGCCTTCGGCTCAGGTCATGATCCCAGAGTCCTGGAATCGAGCCCCGCTTCTCCCTCTTCACTCCCCCTGCTTGTGTTCCTGCTCTCGCTAACTCTCTCAGATAAATAAATAAAATCTTAAAAAAAAAAAAAAAAGACTGGAAAATGTGCCCGTTATGGCGACTTTAGTCCCAGCCTTTGCTTGCTCCCAGTGCAAATCCCTACTGGGGCTTCATTTCCAGCCAATTGCTCACGCACACGCACACCCATCAAAGCATCCCTGTTCAGGAATTACAGCAAAGTGAAGAAAATATGTGAGAGGGTAAATTTTTTTCTTCCTCAAATTCAAATGCATAGCAACTGACCAGTGTGCCTCCATAGGCTGAATTGAATACCCAGATTTGTGTTAAGAGCTGTTACCCTCACCCACCCTTTTCCATTGTCTCGCTCCTACTTAAGCAGGATGCAGAAAGAAATAGTGAAAAAGCTAATAACTGAGCAGATGCTAGGTTGTGTGCTAAGAAATTCACATGTACTGGCCCTCCATCTTCACAACCACCCCCATAGAGTCTATACATACAATTACCCTCCTCATTTTACAGAGGAAGAAACTGAGATTCAAAGGAGTTAATTAGTTAATTCAAAAGAGGTACTCTGCCTCTACCTATCAGGTCTGGTTGATTTAATCAGTTCTTACTGAGCATCTATATTTGTCGTATAAGGCATGTCTGTAGACAGGAATGTAAGGTGAGGTTCTCTGCCCGAAGGAGCTAATATCATTAAGGAGACAAGATAAATTTGCTTGGTAGATTTCACTCCAGAAATAACAAGGAACCCATAGAAGAGATGGTGGCATATAATGTGTGATTTAAGCCATACTGAAGCTTTGAATCCATCTTGCATGTGTCCTCATCAATAACTGGTATCAGACCATACATGGTCTAAAAGTGAAGTTCCAGAGCTGTGTAGTTCTCTCTGTAAGCCTAGCTCAGAGCCCCAGAAATTAGGCACTTCACCAAGTACTTTGATGATGATGATGACAACTCTACCCTCAATGACTCACCATCTACCCATGTCCTTCCAAAAAGCAGGAAACTCCCCACCAATGATAGTTTCTCTTCATTCATTCTGTGTTTGTGCCCCTCCCCCAGTCCAAACCAGCTATTCATTAACTTTGTGAAATTATCTTGGCAATGAAAACTAAACGGTGACAGATTGCATACAGGTTTTATCTGCTCCTGGGAATCTTAGGTTGCTTAGTTGTAGGGTTGAAGTAGCCACTGCAAAGTGGTAAACTAGCATGCAGCATTATCTGGCTGGATTCCTCAGGCAACTGTGAAATGAGAGAAATAGGGCTAAACCTGTGTCTTGGTCATCAGGAGGGTTCAAAAGGAAGCTGAAGTGAAAGAGGAGATTAAGACCAACCAAAGGGAAGGACAATTTAGTTGGAGGAGGGTGTGGGAAGACTGCTACTATCTAGCTAGTGGGTTCAGCAGAGATATTCTGAACCTGGGAGAACTTAAAACCATCCCAGGTTACCTGGGACATCTCCATCAACATGCTTCCAATTGGTAGGAATTGGTAGGTAAGATGATGCCTAGAGATATCCACAAGTCTAAGTGGAAAGGGGATGAGGATCAAGGGGACCCTCTGATCTTGGTATCTGAGAGGAGGACCAGGGTTTGCTATTCAAGGTGGCTACTAGTGATCTCCACCAGTAACATTGATTTAGCACCCACTGGATGGACAGCTTAGGTCTAGGTCCTCTAGGCAATGCTAAGGAAGCCAAAGGCAATCCTCACATTCAAGGCAAGGCCAAGTAATATGTCCAGCCAATTTCAACTCTTCGCTTCCCACCACACCACATCCCAAAACAGCTTTCCCTCCTGACTTCCCTATTTCAAGCAATGCTATCACCATTTTCCTGGTTGCCCAGGTACAAAACAGGGGTTTCATATTTCAGTCATCCTTATTCCTCACCCAAAGATATCTATCCAATCACTAAGTCCTAATCATTGTGCTACTGCAGTGTCTATAAAATTCATCTCATCCAGTCACAGTTCTGTTTCTTTTTTTAAAAAGATTTTATTTATTTGAGAGAGAGTGAGAGACAGAGCACGAGTGGAAGGGAAGGGGTGGAGGGAGAAGCAGGCTCCCTGCTGAGCAGGGAGCCAGACACGGGGCTCAATCCCAGGACCCCGGGATCATGACATGAGCCAAAGGCAGATGCCTAACCGACTGAGCCACCCAGGCGCCCCAACAGTTCTGTTTCATTATCACATGCCTTCTAGTTCTTTCCCTACTCGTAGAACTGCCTTGGCCCCTATTCTCCTGTCTTTCCTCCCACTGCTCCCCAACACAAAGCCTCAACTTCAGTCAGGTTTCACTTCTATCCATTTCCTCAGGGGCTCCTTTCATTTCCAACCTAGACACCCTGCTGGGAGAGCCCCACACCCCTGGACGGCTCTTCTCTCTCTGAAACCTGCCCAAGCTCCAAACCCCCATCTGGCACCCCTTAAGCAGGAAACATTTCCTGACCTCATCAGTACACAGTGATGGTTCCCACTTCTGAACTCTGCAGCACATCATAACATTTTCATGTTATCTCCCCAGAAAGAGTGTGAGATCCTGGAAAAGAAAAGTTCTTTCTTTTTAAGCCCTCAGCACCTCAAACATTTGTCTGCACACATAGCAAGTAACCAATACAACTATTGGTTAATGAAATTGAAAACACGCAGAGCTATGGTTACCTTTGGGGAAGCAGATGAGGAAAGGAGGAGAGAGGCTTTTACTTACCCTTTGTTTCTTTCTATACTGTTAGAATTTTCTTCCCTTTATCCAGATTATCACTTACATTTTTTATTTTTATTTTTTAAAAGATTACCCTTAGCCACTATGCACAGGCTAAGTGGGGTTAAGAGGAACAGATCAGGCAGGGACATGTTGGGTATCAACTTTAGATTTGACTCAATGTGAGGTGAGAAGCCAACAAAGGATTCTGATCTGGCTTACAATTTAGCAGGATGACCTTGGCTGCAAACTGTGGGTTGGAGATAGTGCCTAGGGTAGAGCCAGGGAGACTAGGAAGCTTTGCAATAATTCAGGCAAGAGATGATGGTGGTTTGCCTCAGGGAGCAGCTAAGGAGAGGTTGGCCCATGTTGGTATTTTTTAAACTAAAAAATATATTTTAAAAAAAGAACACACATGACATCAACACTTATTTTACTTGACAGAGAGCACACGCGGGGGAGTGGCAGGCAGAGGAAGAGAGAGAAGCAGGCTCCCTGCTGAGCAGAGAGCCCAATGCAGGGCTTGATCCCAGGACCCTGGGATCATGACCTGAGCCAAAGGCAGACGCTTAACTGACTGAGCCACCCAGTTGCCCCATCACTTACATTTTTTATTGCCATGTTATCTTGGCAGACAGAGCATGACCTTTATTTTCTCACTTTTGTCTTTTGTTCATTCAACAAATATTTATTGAACAACTTTTACATGCTAGACACTGTTCTAGGTGCTAGGGTTATAACAATAAACAAGGCAAGGAGAGTTCCTTTCCTCATGGAGTTTACATTCTTGGGGAAGAAGGAATATAAACATATAAATATACATCCAACGTTGAAAAGTGCTATAAAGGGTAAGGGGACAGAGAGTGACAAAGTTTTGCTATTTTAAAAAGGTGATGGGTCAAAGAAGCCCTCCCTGATAAGGTGACATGGAGGCAGAGACCTGCAAGAAGATGGGGAGCAAGTCATGGGGATGTTTGGGAGAGGAATGTTCAGGCAGAGTGAACAGTAAGTGCAAAGGTCCTGAGACAGGAGCATGTTTGAGAAACAATAAGGAGGCCACAGTGGGCAGAGAGGAGCAGGCAAGAAAGAGAATGACAGATTTTCGTTTATTTAACAAAATCTGATTTAATACCCACCATGTACCAGACACTGTTCTAGGTACTTTATATACATTAACACATTTACTTCTCACAACAATCCTATGTGGTAGATACTATTACCCCATCTTGCAGATGAGGAAATTGGGGCGCAGAGAGGTCATTTGCCCTGTCACACAGCTGGTCAATGGTAAAGCCAGGATTTGAGTCCAGGTGGTATGGCTCCAACGTCTGCACCCTTAGCCACTATGCACAGGCTAAGTGGGGTTAAGAGGAACAGATCAGGCAGGGACATGTTGGGTATCAACTTTAGATTTGATTCAATGTGAGGTGAGAAGCCAACAAAGGATTCTGGTCTGGCTTACAATTTAGCAGGATGACCTTGGCTGCAAACTGTGGGTTGGAGAGAGTGCCTAAGGTAGAGTCAGGGAGACTAGGAAGCTTTGCAATAATTCAGGCAGGAGATGATGGTGGTTTGCCTCAGGGAGCAGCTAAGGAGAGGGTGGCCCATGTTGGTATTTTTTAAACTAAAAAATATATTTAAAAAAATAAAGAACACACATGACATCAACAGAAAGGTATATTATGTTTATGAGTGCTCGGGTGCTGGGTTAGATGCTGAGGATACTACAGTAAGCAAGATCACAAGACCCAGTCCCTGCCCTTGAACAGCTCACAAAGTTGCCAGACAGTTGTATATGTGAATAAACATAATACAAAGAGATGAGGGTCAAAATGAAGGTGTGAGTGAAATGTCACTGGAACCAGTTGAGGAATCAATTAATTCTGACTACTGGGGGTCAGAGGGTGGTGGGGGTGGAAA